TTCAGGCTTGTTCTGCAACGTGGAACACCATAGCCCTTCGACTCCCAGAGTCAGGCTCCGAGCTCACTTACTTGACAGGATCGGAAGAACCGAATGAGATGTGTTCATCTCAACCCCGCCCGGATGGAGAAGGCGCAACCAGTGAGACGGGCTCGACCGATGCCCAAAAATGGCAGCTTCCTGAAGAAATGATTGCCGGAGGGCTGCTCCGGCATTACGTCGAGGTTGGCTCAGTCGTCTATCAATGCACATCTTGGCAGGTCGACCGACCCAGTAAAAGATTCCGATGACTTTGAAGGTTCCCTGGGAGTGACTCGGCCCACACAGAACCCTAGCAAGGGATGCGCATAAGCCACGATTGAGTTTCTCGGGTCACGCGCGGAATGTGCGGTCGCTTTCAGCAAAGTCAATTCATATGGATGCAGTCACCCAGAAAGAGTTATAAGAATCAATCCAGTGATCGCATGGCACCCATCGACCTTTGGACGGACCGACAGCGAGCAGTGCGTCCACTCTCGGGAGAATTGCCGTGCGGGGAAGTGATCGGGGAAGTTAGCATGTGGAAATCGCCGACTTCTTTATAATATTGATACATGGCATTGAAGATCTGGTCTCTGGGTATGTGCAATTCAATGTGTAAGTGAATCCTAAAGTCTCCGAGGCCAGCCGAGAGCTCCCATAGGGTTTCGAGATTCCTGTATTAACATTGGCTTGCTTGCTCATTCGCCTGCACAAACCATCCTGATGACCACTGCAGTCTGTCGATGATGCTCACGAATAGATGACTGTCGAGGAGATGCCAACACGTCGGTTCGGAGGTGTCACAGAAGCAGTGACACGGTGACAAGCAGAACCCAACGGTCACGTGATGTAGGAGAAGTCCCACATGTGTCGACGTCCGAAGCCACAGGCAGAAAACCAGACAGACCTTTTTGTCTTCCAATAGTTGAAGACACTCTTGTCAATAGCGCCGAGAAGCAGCAGACCTCGGATTGATGTCACACTCAGCTTGGGCCGCGGCTATGGCTGACAGCGGCTCCCTCTTGGCCTCGTACAACGTGAGGTTATCCAGTGTTTATCCAACCTTCCACCCCGCATCGTCTCTTTGGATGGCAACATCCCCGCGACTGTATCTGTTACTGGCCAACGTGGCTTGACAAGCACACTTGTCCGACCGTGGGACATATCCAGTGAATCAGGTGCCAACCCGGTTAAGAACAGTTCAGCAAATGCACTGCGACTCTTAGATTGCGAGGCTTAGGTTTGGCTGTTTATCAAAGGGCGAGAGTGAGCTCCAGAAAGATAGTCAGCACTAGCCCTGTAGATGAAAATCAAATTTGGAGACAAGCGACGGGCGTCACTCTCGGCCGGCACCTCCACATGGCCGGGAGAAGAATGTCTACCTAGCTCTTTCTACGATACTGTATGACACCCTCCATTCAGGTCCAATCTGGCCACGTCATTTGATTAGAAAATGATTAATGAGCCGACCAATGATATTCGACAGACCGGGAGCATACATCGCCCCCAAATAAGGTTGGGATCCTACAATGGTGCCTAGTTGGCATCATTCGGGTGCAATCAGCTTTGACGTGCTCGGGTCAATTCTTTGAACGGCGGTCCCTTCCCGTGTGAAAAGCACCATTTCGGATGTTTTCGCATGCCTGCTTTGCTTGTTCGATAATGGCATCTTCCACAAGAAATTAGGCTATAGGATGCCGTGCAGAACCTCACCAATGGTATTTTCCCCGAAGATGACCCGACCACCACAGGAATACTAGGTAGTGAGACAAGGTCAATCTATCATCAACTCAATTTACTCCGAAGCGATGCACTAGATTAGAGGCAAGTTGACTAGTACCTTATCATCCTTCCTGAAGATTATCCAGCACGGCAACGACTCCACCCTTAGTGTCTTGGTCCCTGGCTTAGGCAATCTATCTGACGCCAGAAGAGGGAACTGGGTCCGATGACAAACTCTTAGTCAGGAGGACGAAGATTTAGGCAGCTGAACTAGGCTCGAATCAGCATTCAACCAGGGACTGGACCCTGATCGACTGTAATCTATCCGTGCCGGGCCGGAACACAACCAGTCAATTCGCTCCTCGGCATGCCGAGTCCGGTGGAGTCCGATTGATAACCTTCAACGTTGCCTTCACCGGATACCCGTTTTTTGTTTCAACGTCAATGGCGTGCTGGGTTCCACTTGACAGTCTTTCCGCGGAATTATCCCGTCGCTGACCGATCGTGTGTGTATCTTTGTCTAGTTCAGGTGTGAAGAGAGAGGGAAGGGAAGGCGGAAACCGCCCGCTCAGCCTCAGGGGTAGAGCTATATAACCCTGATGGAAGCAGGTGAACATTGCAAGAATCACCAGGGCCAGACATCTGTTTCGCCATGTTCCGACCGGTTTTTCTCCTGAGTGCCCTGACGGCGGCATTGGCCTCGCCCATCACATACGCCTCCCAGGCCGAATACGACTACATCGTCATCGGCGGCGGCACCAGCGGATTGGTCATTGCCAATCGCCTGTCGGAAAACGCCAATGTATCTGTCCTCGTGATTGAGGCGGGTGATTCCGTGCTTCATAATGCCAATGTCACGGCCGTGGACGGCTATGGCCTGGCGTTTGGCACGGACATCGACTGGCAGTACCAGACGGTCAACCAGACCTATGGCGGCAAATCTCAGATGGTCATGCGTGCTGGTAAAGCCTTGTCTGGAACCAGCGCCATCAACGGTATACTACATCCCATTATCATCTCTGTCTCTCAGACATGCTTACTGACTCATGTTGTTGTTTCTGCTCAGGGATGGCCTACACCCGTGCCGAAGACGTGCAGATCGACGCCTGGCAGCAGATCGGCAACGAGGGCTGGACCTGGGATAGCCTGTTCCCCTACTATCTGCAGAGTGAGAATCTGACCATCCCAACCCGCAGTCAGCGCCTGGACGGGGCGACCTTCAACATCTCCTACAACGGCGAGCAGGGTCCTCTGACGGTGGGCTGGGGCGAGATCCCGACCAATAACCTGACTGCCACGATCAACGCTACCTTCCAGGGCCTGGGGGTCCCCTGGTCTGAGGACGTGAACGGCGGCAAGATGCGCGGAATCAATGTCTACCCGGCCACCATCAACGTGGCTGCCAACGTGCGCGAGGACGCCGCCCGCGCCTACTACTGGCCCGTCGCCGCGCGACCCAACCTGCACCTGCTGCTGAACACCTTCGCCAACCGCCTGGTCTGGCAGGATGAAGCCCCCAAGGGCAAGGCCGTCACCGCCGCCGGCGTGGAATTCACCACCGCCAACGGCACCACCACCATCGTGACTGCGCGCCAGGAGGTCATCATCTCCGCAGGCTCCCTGAAATCCCCAGCCATCCTCGAGCTTTCCGGCATCGGCAACGCCACCCTCCTGCACAAGCACAACATCACCGTGCAGGTGGATCTCCCCGCCGTCGGTGAGAACCTGCAGGATCAGACCAACACACACGCTGAAGCCGCCACGCACGCCACCCTGGCCGGCACCAAGTACGTCGTCTACCCGGACATCTACGACGTGTATGGCAACGAGACCGCCGCCGTGGCTGCCTCCCTGCGCAAGAAGCTGGACGACTACGCCCACGCCGCTGCGGCGGTCAGCCACGGCGTCATCACGGCCGCGCACCTCAAGGAGCTGTTCGAGGTCCAGTACGACCTCATCTTCACCCAGCGAGTCCCCATCGCCGAGATCCTGTACTACCCCGGCGGCAGCGCGAGCATCTCCTCGGAATCCTGGACGCTCTTGCCTTTCGCGCGTGGCAATGTGCACATCGCCTCGGCGGACCCTGCCGCCATGCCCGCGATCAACCCCAACTTCTACATGTTCGACTGGGACCTGGACAGCCAGATTGCTGTGTCACGGTATATCCGGGAAACCTTCCACGCGCAGCCGCTGCAGGGGCTGGTGGAGGGGGTGACGGTGCCGCCATTGGAGGATGATGCGTCAGACGAGGAGTGGAAGGCGTGGTTGCTGGATGGGAACTGTGAGTCTGCTAGTTTTTTTTTTTTTTTTTTTTTTTTTTTGTTTGTTTCTTATCTCGTATCAAAGAGGATGGCTAATGGATGCTTGGACAGATCGCTCGAACTTCCACCCCGTCGGCACCGCCGCCATGATGCCCCGCGAGAAGGGCGGCGTCGTGGACCCCAGCCTGAAGGTGTACGGCACCCGCAACGTGCGCGTCGTCGACGCCTCGGTGCTCCCCTTCCAGGTCTGCGGTCATTTGACTAGCACCTTGTATGCAGTCGCGGAGCGGGCGGCGGAGTTGATCAAGCAGGAGTCTGCTTTGTTTTAGACTGGTCATTGTTTGATTGTATGTTAGAGAATGGCATGGACGTGATTTGATAGAGTATCTGTTTGGGTCCTGTTACGATCATTGAATATGGTTTAACTTGCTGTAGCATAGCACAAACCTTCCTACACCCGCCTGTCGACCTCGAACCAAAAGCTCCCAAGTCCATCCGGTTGTTTATTTATCTATCTATTCATCTGTATCTTCATTTAATCTTCCTGGCCTCTCATATTGTGCCGCAGTATGCAACAGTACTTCTCGCCTTGTCACCCTCCTGCCCTATAGGCACAGTGCGATGACTATGTCAAATTCCACCCATGTTGTATTCTGGGACCGCTCTTGGAGAAATCAGTATAGGAAGTGGAGAACCCAAAGCTTTTGGAATTATCGGTGGCGAAGGTGAATGCCTCCTTGATTCTCAGTAAAGCTCATTTCAAATGTCCTGTCATTACAGTACATTACGCATTACCCTGCGTGCATTTCCGCCTGAGAGAGAAGAGGGGTAGGGGAGAGAGGGAGCTACAGTACAGTACAGTACCATTAACATACAAGGACCTCTGTCAATTTCGGTGACCTGTTTTCACGTGATCCTCTCCCTTCGGAGGATGAATGAGTGGATATCCATGATCCAGTTTCCCGCTTCCCATTCAATCTCCCTACAATTGACTTACTCGTCGTGGGACAATCCTCGCTCATTTGCCGACCGTTCTCAAACGTGGTCCGCATCTACCTACTCTGTTTCGCAATGAGTCTTACATGTTCCCGTTCCAACTGCATACCACAGTACAATGTCAGGAATCAGACTGATAAGCGAGTCCACCTATGTCTTCCTCAACCTCACGGACAACACACTGGATGATGTTGACGAATCCCTGCGGCTGGACAAACAATTGAAGCTCGATCCTCATTCTGCGCGCTACGGGCTTGGTTCTCTTGAGAAGCTCCCACTCGGGATTCTCCACCTCACCCTCCTTGCGCTGGACATACGGTCCATGACGGAATTTCGTCGCGTCAACAAAAGAGCCAGGCTCGTCACGGGCTCGATTCCGCAATATCGCCAGATCCTCGCGCACACGCCCGCCGCCCTTCGCGGCAGCCTCAACCTCGAAACCGCGCGGAATTTCTCCTGCCAGGCGCTGTACGAGACACTCTCCACCGCCGAGTGTGACGGGTGCGGCGATTTCGGCGGCTACCTCTACTTGCTCACCTGTCGCCGCGTGTGTTTCCTGTGCCTCACCGAGAAGACCGACTACCTACCCCTTGTCCCGGAAGGATGTGATTCGCAAATTCGGGCTGCTGGGCCCGACTCATCTAGCGCGTCTGCCTCACATGAAGAGCTTCCCGGGCCAATACTCGCCTCGAGGGATCAAATGTCGACGCCGTGAGACCTTGTTCGATCATGGCTCCGCACGAGAAGCGGGATTCGCTGTCCATGGGACAGCCGAGGCGATGGAAAGGTACGCGTCGGAGATGATCTCCAAGCAACTCGAGGCTTACAATTCGCGACTATCTGTGCGCCAACCGAGTCAGAGGCCCGGGCGGCCCCCCAGATCTGCAGACGTTTTCGATGGGCATTGTTCGAATCCCAAGCGTTTCGTGGAGATTATACGGGCGCCATTCTTCAGCCGCAATACGCTATCCCCCGAATGGGGGTTTCACTGCTTGGCTTGCAAAGCCCATCATTATCGTCGGCCGCTTCACTGGCGTCGGAAAGTATACTATCGAGAGTTACCGAGACCATACCAGAGAATGTGGGAAAGTGGTAGGGGGGAAGCACGTGCGGTGAATCAGCCAGGAGTAACCGTTGCATCTGTAGGCGAACTAGTATCCGGGGCATTTAGTAAAGGATACTCCCGGCAAAGGTCATTGTAGCACAATCTAGCTTACCAATTGTTCTTTGTAAGGGTTTACATTAAGAAGGTTCGGGTGTAGAGAGATGGGCTTTTGCCGCCGGGAAATACTTTATACGTGAGTCATCGGCTCTGCGGGATAAGCACGCTTTGGGAGTCCGTCGGTTAGAGGCGCCAGAAGCCTTCCATGATCTGCGCACGGTGTTGCTAGCACTATAGTGACTTTGTGCGCTCAAAGACAGGGGAGGAAGAAACGCAAAGAGGAACAGATAGAGGGAAAAGATACCGACTTTATCAAGCACCCAGCTGAGAATTCCTATTGCAGGATATAGCATGGCTCTAGGCAGTATCGTCCGCAGGTGCACAGTCGAACAAGCCAATGACAATTGAATCTAGACTCTTGACGAATTATAGCTTATAACCTGAAGAGATGTACCACCCAAGCCCTGAGCACCGCCAGTCAAAGACATGGTCAAAGCCTAGGCAGCTCCAGATCGACCTTCCGCAGCACCTCCAACATCTCCCTCCACACCTTCTTCCTTGTCCTGACCCCCTCCTTACTAGTGACAATCTCTCCCGGACTGCAGCAGAAGCATGTTAGCACAGATCAGCCTCAATCCAGGCCATACGTACTCAGCAACAGCCTGATTCTCCAACCACCCCCCATGGGATTCCACCTCGCTCGCCGCCGCATCAACAAGCGCCTTGCCCCCTTCTTCCGTTGTCCGCCCAGTCAACCACTGCATCACCCGCAGCACCACCGGTGCCTTCTCCCTCGTCAGGAGCTCCGACTTACAAAACCCCGGCGTCACCGCATTGACGACCACCCACGGCGTGCGCGCTGCATCCTCCCTCCGTGGCACCATCTCCGCCAACTCCAGCATACTATACACACCCAGCAACTTACTCACCGCATACCGCTCCGCAGGGCCGTTCGCCGCCGCCGACCTCTCCCACTGCGTCCGATCATTCAACGCAGCCAGAGTATTCTCCTGGTAACGCTCCAAAAGCCCCGCCGACATATGCACATCACTCGCCACGATCACCAAATGCGAGAGCAACGTTTCATCTTCTCTCGCCTGCGCAAGCAGCACGTTCAAGACCCGTAGACTCAACAACGCCGTCGCCAGCCCGTTCACCTGGATCGTCCGCTCCCACCCGTCCTCCGTCACATGCCATTCGCCTGACGCCATCCCCGCGTTCATGATCGCGACGTCGATCCTCCCTTGCCCATCCCGGAAGTATTGTTCTACTCGGGCAGCGAAGGCTTTGACGCTGGCGAAGGAGGCTAGATCTAGGGCCCAGAGGTCGATTTGGCTGGGGTGGGCGCCGGTCGTGCTGAGGAGGTCGGCTTTGGCGGCTTCGCCTTTGGTCAGGTCGCGGACACCGAGAATGACCTTTGCGGCGTGGAGGGTCAGTGCGTGACGGGCGGCTTCGAGGCCAACGCCGGTGTTGGCGCCGGTTATGAGGAGGGTTTGGTTGGCGAAGGAGGTGGGTGCGGGGAGAGTGAGCGGGTGGAAGGGTTGGGCGAGGAGTTTCAGCATTCTTCGTTTTGGGTGGACCTTCTTTATTGAATAGGAATGAGTTGGAACTGAACATCTGTCAGTAGGTGTCTTGGAGCCATGAGCAGCTGAATTTATACTGTCGTGAAGTCGACATCTATATCGTGGATTAGCGGAGATTCGGAGATAAGCTCGCCAGGCGCCAGCCTTATCGGCGCTTGCCGGATTGGGACACTGATTCAGTTGCCTATTCGGGAAATGACGCCCATGCGCGGCGTCCGCTGCAATGGCTCACCACATCACCTTCCACGAATACGAGCAAATGTATCAATCATCAGGCGTTGCAAACCAGGGTCACAGGATAGATCGAGCCACAGGACCTTCTTCATGGCGCTTTTGACCTCGGCAAAACATATGAAGTCCCTTCCTTGCAGTAAATGACGAAGCATAGTCTCATACCAGCTTCGGACTCGTTTCCCTTCACTGGCGATTCCGCCCAGCACCACCATCCACAACAGCAGATCCACTTCGGCGTCACTAAGCACGGGCTCATACTCCATAGCTTGGCTGATCTCCACCTGGAGCAGCTTGGCTAATCGGGCAAAGGGTGCAACGGCCATGGGAAGCGGCAAGATGACCGCAAGACTATAGATCCGAGCAGCCAAGCGGAAGGGCTCGTACAGAAACGACACCGGCGCGACGCATTCATCCTTAGACGGAAGACTCAGAAGTCGGTGTTGGATCCAATTGCGCTGCTCGACCAGGCTAAGCATCTGGGGCTGCGACTGGCATACTCGTCCATGGACCAGAGATTGAATTCGGTCTGTGTAGATCACCATGTCATGCAGAATCTCAAGGTATCCGCGTGGGAAATCTCTCAACTCGCCCAACAGACGGTTCTGCGAGAGCTCAAAAGCAGTGGATTGGAAGGAGAGCGTGGGGCTTTCTCGCTGTGTGGTGTGCAGCTGCTCGCTCAACATAGATCTATACTCCAATTGAGGCTTGGTGAGGTTCTTGGTTGCGACGATTACCTCTGTACTGGAGTTCGGATTTCAACCGGTTATCACAGGAATTCGCCCTCAGCCTCGGCAAGCAAACACATACCACGAGATCACAGCAGCCACCCCCTCCAGTTTGATACTCTCTAGACCACCCCGCTGGCGAATCATGGCCAGCAACCCCCGACGATGACAGTTATCCTGCGTCAGAACAGCATACACATCGAGACTTTGCATGCTGTCAAACACCGGACTGAACGATGACGACACGTTACCAGCGGCGGTAATGGTCTCAGCATCGACGGAGGTATATAGCAACGAGTTGACCGCGAGAATGACCTCATCAGTCCACTGATCTACCGGTCGCTGCATGGCCGCGTTGAAACGCTGTACTGTCTCCAGCTGGCTTAGCTGAATCTCGTAGGCTGTTTTCTGGTTATGTTGCTGTGCGCCGGATAACAGCATCCTCGATTGCAGATGAGTCGCCGCTCCGTGGATGAACGCGCTGAACAGGACCGGGCTGTTCAACCCCGCAGTAAACCACGCCCTGATCGTGGGTAAAGTCTGCTCTGCCACTGAACTGGCCATGAAGATGGTGGGCCATAGATATTGCAGTGCTGTTTGGGTTGAAATGTGCTCAGCAAGGTGGTGTTACCTGCAGCGGCAGGGCTCAAACTCACAATACTCGAACATCCGACTCACGGTCGCAGCATCCAGCTGCGATGGGTAGGTCTGAAACGGGTCGAGGAGCCCCAGACCTACGGCTTCGGGGATCCGATGCATGTGCGCCCGAGTCTGTTGAGGTCGGTCATCCTTCGGAGCATGAGAGGGTCGTTTGGTCGCGGTGGACTTGGCATGCGATCGCCAGTTGTGCCGGCTGGCGTGGGAGCGGATCGCCGCCCGCGTCGGTTTCTGTCGGAGTTGTTGGGCCGACGTGAGATTCACAAACTCGAAGACCGTGTCCATTTTGGTTTCGTCTGTTCGAGTGAGATTTGAAGTCTGTTATCAGTCACCATCGAGCAAAGAAGAGTTGTGACTTTAGTCAAGAGATGAGGATTGATGAATATCCAATCTGACATGTGAACAGTAAACATGCCCAGTGCCGTGGTCATAGCGCCGTTCCTCATTCGGACAACATCACGTCATGTGACGGGAACACTTGGGTGAGCACCAGGTCAACTGAGATAGAAGTGCACGTTTCTTGCCGAAGAGTTAGAAGACTCAATAGAGAATTCAACTCGGTTCAGGCACTGCGCTGAGTTCATGGACTTCTGCTGAAGTGTTCCCAGCTGGGTGGTATGCGGGGTTAGGAAGATACTAGTATATTTTGATGCGGATCCGAGGGAGCACCATCAAATATGCCTGCATTTCGCAACCCTACCTCTTGTCTCTTAACCGAGTCTAGACATTTGGTGCGATTCATGACAGGATCTAATCCAAGGAAACAACATGGCTTACTGCATTGGCTCGCTAAAACCTCGTACGAGAAGAACTGGCTGAAAAACAAACTGGTAAAAGAAGCAACCCAGCAAAAACGCCAACATCCGTACGAATCATGCTAAATCTCACATTGCACCATAATTTTCAACTATATTACACAAAATTCCCGGCCCGATGCTGCGCCTCCGGCGGAGTCGCCGGAGCAGCCGTCGGAGTCGGGCTCTGGCGCAAGACTTCGCTCGTCGCGATAGAAGAGGGACGCGTCAATGGGGTGCTCAAGCCGAGCTCACTGCGGGAGGGTGCCGTCGCAAACATCACCGACGCTCGGTCGAACTTGGCCTCGCTCTGCGGTCGGCCGCCCTCGGTCAAGGATACCATCGAGTAGTCCGCGGCCTTGGCGGCTGCCCTGGCTTCGATGCGTCTTCTCTTGCGCTTATCCCGGGTGCACATGAAGGCGGCAACGCCGATAAAGAGTAGTATTAGGATGGTGAAAGTGACGATCGCGGCAATCTCACCACGTCGGTTGTAGGCCGCCTTGGCGGCGCTGGCGGAACTAGTGGCCGAGGCGGTGGAGGTGGTGGTTGAGGCTGTCGACGTCGTCTTGGTCGTGGTGGTTGCTGCAGTGGTAGTGGATTGTGAGGTGGCGGAGGTGGTCGTACTTGATGAGGTGGTGCTGCTCGCTGTAGAGGTGGTGGAGGAGACTGTGGAGGTGGCAGAGCTTGTAGTGGCTTCTGTCGTGCTGGAAGAAGTGGTAGAGGTGGTGGAAGTGGTTGATTCTGTCGTGCTCGTCGACGTTGCAGTCGTCGAGGTGGTAGACTCGGAGGTGGTAGAAGATGTCTCCTCAGTCGTTGAGGCTCGCTTTTGAATGAGCCAGTCCCCGTGGAAGCGCTTCGCATACCCCTTGAGGTTATTGGCATCGGCCGTCTGGGTGGCTATGGGTACGGTGACGGTGACGGTTGAAGTGGGACTCCATGTTGAGGGTAGATCAGCTGCGGGGCCGGGATGAGCAGCAGTGAGAGAGGACAATGTCCCGAGTGCGATCAGATAGCGCAGTTGCATATTGTCTGGTAAGTACTCAGTTGAGCGAACTTGGCTGGTCGAGAAGAAGATTGGTTGTTGAGCAGTGGGAGCCAGATTTCTAGGCGGGCAAGACCTGCATTATCTATACGACCGAGCATACTGGCTCCAACCCGAGCCATGACGAATCCCAGCCAAAGCACCAAGTGATGATGAATTCTCTGCGTGTTAGGGTGTTCTTGTCGTCGTACGCGGTAGAACTAGGGCTGAGGCTGCCCAGTTATTTTGGTGGCTGCAACGGATGCTGGTTGGCTCGGGAGGGTCGAGTGGAGCAGTGAACGCTCAACCGGCCACGCGGCTTGCGCTCCACCGTTGCTCGTTCTCATTTTCTGGTGCTATGGCGCACCCAAATATCACAAAGTGAAATTCGATATGCCTGTCGAGAGCAACATACTCAAATGTATTCGAGTCGCCGTCGAGTTTGAACGGTATTCAATGGTTGAAAAGCACACACAGCATCAACCCTTATGTCCGGATATAGATCATTCCGAGGCGCGATAAGGAAAAAACTTTAGCCCGCGATGCAGAAAATCTTGTTCGGAGTGGATGCATGCTACCAAGTCGAACAGCCGATCGTCCGGTTCTCTCTACCACAACAAGCCTCGTAGGCTATGCCCCAGCCCCAGCCCCTCTCGCTTGTTTGACAGGCTATTTTCATCGCAAGATGAACTTCTCGAAGAAGCCTGCGCCACACCCGCTCGTTGTTCGCTGACTCAGCGGAATCTGAGCAAACTCAGATCAGCGCAGGAGTTTCTCGTCTGGAAGACCGATGGGGCTAGGCCAATAGCAGACCCATTTCCATGCAATTATGTGAAGAGCGGTTGTCAACTCGACGAATTACAGCGGCTGTACCCCCCAAAAGCCCATTTCATCGCGACGAAAGGCATAGGGGCTCGCTGTCCTGTGGTCCAACAAAGCTAAAATGGCAGACCGCGAACTGAATGAGTCTTGACGGGGTCATGGTCCATCCACAACGCCGCGCAAGACTCCCCCAAATTGGGCATGGAGCTCAAATAAACATACCCGCTTTGTCATGGTCCACGTCAACCCCACTGAGCTTGTAGACTTTCAAGCCTCAAACCCAGTCTCAAATAGGCTACATGGCCCTTGATAGCGTTTCATAGGTGTGAAAGCCATGGGTACGTAGTTGAAAGCTCGGTGATAAGTCGATCTAGCCGCTTCCGATCCGCGGTCGAGTCCGAGTCTAGCTGGCCGCTTCGCACACAGCGGTTCGATGTGGAGATACGAGCAACAGGTTGGCGATCATAACATCGACTTGATCGATGACGGGAAGAACGCTAGAGTGCACGATCTGCAGGATGAAGAATGGATTTTGGAAACGATCGGGGAGACTGTAGTGACGATAGACGTTGTCAGTCAAAGGCACTAAATTCGCAGCTCGCAGGGCTGAATGACTGGTTATTCCATTCGCTGCTTCTACCGCGAGCGATGTCATACACTCACCTATCGAAAGTGCCGACTTAATGATTCTGTGGACTGGTCAAGGCCTGCCCGTCGAAGGTTGAACAGATAAATGGTGAAAAATACCTAGAAGGTACGGAGTAGAAGGTGAAAAGTGGGTGGTTGCAGGAGGCAGGCGGAGATAAGAGATAGCCAAACGGAGATAAACATAGCAAACAAAGCTCGGGAGAGCTGCTCCCGTGACCCTCGGATATCCTGCCCCTCCTTCCTTTCTTTCCCTCTTCCTCGTTTCAAATCGAACATCCTATTCTACTCTGTCTTTCCATCGAAAAGAATCGCATGTGAGAGGTTTCCATCTCGTGAACTTCTCCAATTCGAGCGAGAATTGAGTGCAGACGTCCATCTCCCTCGGGCGAGGAGATAGCTGAGCTATTACCCCTCTTCCGAGTATTGGTCTACAGCTCGTATACTGACGATCATCTTGCGATCCAAACAGCAACTAATATACCACCCCTCTCTGAGGAACCAACCGGCTCGTGAAGGAATCAACTCCCCGCAACAAGCCATTTTCTCCGTGGCTAGGTCTCATAAGCGGCGGTCTAGGGTCATGATAACCCCGCGTCAGATCGGCATCCTGAATCCTGCAGGCCCCTTGGCACGAGGACAACTCGGGTGGTGGTTGCGGCGTTGGCTTTCATTTCCGCGTGCTTTTGGCGTGCCGATTCGTTGGCCAGCAGTGTATCTTAGGTGGAAAATGAAGCAATTTACTTTTCAACAGACCGCCTCTCGTTTCCAGCAAGGGAGACGCAAGGGCACGGGGTGGTGTGAAGGTTAATCGTGCCATGAACGCCTTTGCCGTGCAGGAGCCATTCCTAAGACAATACCCTACGATTGGTGCAATGAGCTTGTTCCATGATTGCAGGGTTGTAGTTTATGACTAAGTAGTCAATTCTTTCCCCCTCCTCTTCATCTTCTGCCTTTCATGACCTGATCTTGGATACAACCACCAAGCGTCCCTCGCCAGATCCCTCTCCCTTTGAATCCTTTTCACTATGGCACTGACCCCTGAGACCTCAGACTCGTCGACAAGTCTGCTTTCGAGATGCTACACTCAAGAGCCCATTGCCATTGTGGGCATGGCCTGTCGACTTCCTGGCCAAAATGACTCGCCCCATCGCTTATGGGAGTTCCTTATGAAGGGTGGTGTGGCAGGTACAGAAGCTCCCGAAACGCGGTTCAACCGAAAAGGCCATTACGATGGCTCAGACAGGCCACGCACTTCACGATCCTCTGGCGCCATGTTCATGGAAACCGTGGATCCTGCCGCTTTTGACGCCAAATTTTTCAACATAACTCCCCAAGATGCGATATCAATGGATCCTCAACAACGGATACTGTTAGAGGTCGTCTATGAAGCGCTCGAAAACGCTGGCATTTCTCTCGAGTCAATCTCGGGCGAGAAGTATGGCTGCTATGTGGGTGCTCACCCCGGAGGTAGGCCCATCAGCTACAGAACACTTCCTTGTAACCACATTGACCCCCATCAGATTACTGGGATATCTTCGCACGCGACCCTGATGCGCGACCGCCCAACGTAGGTATTGGGTGCTCTGGAACGATGTTGAGTTGCAGAGTGAGCCATTTCTTGAACATCAAGGGTCCCAGCATGCCCATTGATACGGCTTGCTCCAGCTCGTTAGTGGCTATGGACGTCGCTTGCAGAGCTCTGCATACTGGAGAGATCAACGGAGCAATTGTGGCAGCATCTAGCCTAATTCTCAAGTGAGTGATGGCTCAATTGCGCCAATAATGTCAATGATGCTAATTTGCGCAGTCCGGAATATGCTTGCGAAGGTATGCAGGTATTCCACAGCTTGAAGCAGTCATGACTTATAGTCCTAGGTGGCACAATCAGATATACGCACTCTCCCACCGGTCGCTGTCATGTCTTCGATGCTAAGGCCGACGGCTATGTGCGAGCGGAGGGCATGAATACGGTTATTTTGAAACGCCTCGATGACGCACTCCAAGATGGCGATCCAATCCGAGCTGTCATTCGAGGAATTGCAAACAACCACAATGGTCGCACCCCGGGTATTGCCTCTCCTAGCGGCGACGGCCAGGCCGCAGCCGTGCGACAGGCCTACGCGAATGCAAACATCACAGACTTTTCTCAGATCGGATACCTTGAATGCCATGGAACCGGCACTCTGGTCGGCGATCCGATCGAGACTGAGGGTGCTTCCTCGGTCTTTGCGCCATATAGACCAGATGACCGACCCCTGCGGATAGGATCGGTTGGAATGCCCATTCAGATGACAAACACTATAAAATCATGTGATGGAAGCTAACTTTGCATTAGATCAAGAGTAACATTGGACATTCCGAGCCAGCCGCAGGCTTGTCGGGAATTTTGAAGGCAGTAATGATCCTCGAGACTGGGAAGATTCCAGGCAATCCGACATTTCTTACACCAAATCCCAACAGTATGTCTCGCATCCACTTCATGTGCTTTTGCTAATTGTCGCAGTCGACTTCAAGAAGTTGAAACTAGAAGCCTCACGGCATGTGACAGACTTTCCCGACATGCCATTCCGCCGTGTTGGCGTCAACTGTTTTGGTTTCGGTGGGTCGAATGCGCACGCGATCCTTGAGGAACCAAGCGTTGTTCTCCAGGGCTATAAACCGACATATACATCCTCATTCCATAATAGCTTGGGTGATGAGGAAGAAGCGACCACCACTCGACCTTATCTGCTGTGCTTTTCAGCCAATGATGAGGCATCACTCCGTCGCTACATAAAAAACATGACCCAGCATACGGAGGATGAAAAAGTCAAGCTCAAACTGCGAGACCTTGCCTATACGCTCGGTACCCGAAGAAGCCATCTTTTCAATCGAGCTTATATGATTGCCGATAGCGCAAGCTTCTCGCAGCCTACCCTCGTCACGTTTGGCAAGAAAAGCGCCCGGCCGCCTCAGGTCGGTTTCGTCTTCACGGGCCAGGGATCTCAATGGCCAGAGATGGGCCGTGAGCTACTTCAGGCATTTGAGCCTGCGCGTGAGATGATTGGGAATCTTGACAGCGTACTCCAGTGCTTACCCGACCCGCCGAAATGGACTCTGTTTGAGGAGCTGACCACTGCTCGAGATGCGGAGCATGTACGGAAACCTGAATTCAGCCAGCCGCTTGTGACAGCACTTCAACTCGCTTTGATTGCGGTTCTTCGTGGTTGGGGAATTGTGCCGAATGCTGTTGTCGGCCACTCGTCTGGTGAGATCGCGGCCGCCTATGCCGCTGGGTACCTGACAGAGGCGGAGGCTATCATCATCGCGTACCACCGAGGGAACGCATCTGCGGATGAGAAGCAGGATGTCGATGCACTGGGAATGTTGGCCGTAGGCATCGGAGCTGATGAAATCGTCCCGTTCATGGATGGCTGCGAAAATGTTCAGATCGCTTGTTACAATAGCCCCAAAAGTCTTACGTTGTCTGGCAGTAAAGCAGGACTCGAGGAGGTAAGGTCGCGACTGCTAGAAGCAGGTGTCTTTGCGCGCATGCTGCAGGTCGATATGGCCTATCATTCTGCGTACATGGAAAGTATTGGAGTAGCCTACGAGAGGCTGTTGGCGAGAGATCTGCCTCCAACCTTCCACGGCAACAGGGCACTTGACTCAGTGTCCATGTTTTCGTCGGTTCATGGCTCGAAGCAAGAGCAGGCACCCGACGTTCATTACTGGAAGACTAACATGACATGCCCCGTTCGATTCGACGACGCTGTTCGCTGCATGCTGTCCGAAGAGTCTCCCATTGACAAACTCATTGAGATTGGTCCGAGTGGTACCCTCAAAGGACCTATTGCACAGATCACGGGTAGCATGGGCAGCAAGGTGACGGGTACTGCCTACCTCGCAGCGCTCAAACGAGGTCAAGGCTCGATCCGCGCGACGCTTGAAGTCGCCGGTGAGCTATACCTCTCCGGTCTCCCCATTGACATGGCACAGGTCAACGAAGATGCGGAGCCCTCCGCGCCGCGTATCGTCATCGACCTGCCCAACTACTGTTGGAACCACTCCTCGAGGTACTGGAATGAAAGCGCCGCCAGTCGGGATTGGAGGTTCAAGAAGTTTGTTCAGCACGATCTGATCGGCAGCAAGGTCCTCGGCACATCCTGGCGGGCACCATTGTTCAAGAAGACGATGAACTTGACCAACCTGCCGTGGCTGAAGGATCACCGCATTGGCTCGAACGTTGTCTTTCCGGGTTCCGGCTACCTCTCCATGGCTATTGAAGGAATTTACCAGTTACAGTCAATGAACGGCCTAACCTCTGCTGAGACCGCGAGTGAGCTATGCTATCACTTACGTAATGTCCGCTTCGAAATGGCTCTCACGCTTGAAGAAGGAATCGAACCAGATGTATACTTATCTCTCAACCCTCTCCCGGGATCCAAGGATGTGTGGTACGAATTCTTAGTGTCATCCAGCCATGCTGGCGGTGCCACAATCAAGCACGCGGGTGGTCAGATCCGCGTCCAAGACCCTATTTCCGACGTCGCCTCCAGAAGAGACATTGCACCTCTCGTAAATCCTACGGCCGGAGATCTCTGGACCAAGGCGTTTGCCGAAATGGGATTCGAATACGGCCCGGCATTCTACCTACTCGAAAAAGTCGAGGCGCACGCGGGCAAGCGTTATTCTCGTTCTCTGGTGACGCTCTCTGAGCCTTCTGCCGCTGGGAAGGCTCAGTCCCACTATCCTTACCATCCTGCAGCTCTTGATGGCATCTTTCGAGCGACAGCCCCCGCATTCTGCGAAGGACTTCGTACACGCCTCAAGGAACCTCTTGTTCCATCAGCATTCGACGACCTGATCATCAACCCGAACCCGAATCGCCCGGCCTCGGGAATGGCTGTCGCAACCAGTGCATACTCCGGCAGAGGGCGCGAGGATACTGGAAAGAGCTTTTGGTCTGACGTCTCCATGTACGACCCTGATACCGGGGTGCTGCTCATGCAGTTGAAGAACTTTTCAACCCATCTTATCGACCTCGGGGTGGATCCCATTGCATCACAGTGGCTGACCCGCGACGTTTGGAAGCCGGATGTTACCACTTTGATGTGTGACGCGCTGTCAAAGCTGAATGTCCCTCGGGAGGAGTCGGTACCGTATCTTCTTGATTTGATGACTCACAGGAATCCTGCCTTGGCTATCTTAGAGATCAACCTAGGAACAGGAGCTGAAACTAGCACGTGGTTTGAGAGAAAGGGCTCCACTGCTACGGAATCCTACCGTAAATACTGCTGCTTGGGAGAGGACATCGAGGCACTTGACCGATTTCAAGCTCGCTATCGGGAAAGGAAGAACGTTTCTTTCTCCGTCTACGACCGAGAAGACGCGGCTCTTGGACTAGACTCTGCAGAGGCTTTTGATGTTATCATTGTTAACTACAGCACTGACCAGGAGATAGCTTCTCTATTGAGGACCGCGAACGCTCTCCTCTCACCTGAGGGCCGTATTTTACTCACGGGGCTAAAAGCTCAAAATGCGGCGGACCAATCAGCGCAGATTGATGAAATTGGGTTCTCGCAGGTCTTACCAATCCCTCAAGCCGACAGCCTGGCATATCTATGTGGTTCATACCCGGCCGCCAAGAAGAGTGAAATTTCCAGATCGCTTCATGTGTTTCACATGGAGCCATCCACATGTCTGACTCAGGCGATCCGGGCACATTTTCACGCGGCCGGCTGGGATGCAATCGAGCATGTCTGCAGCCCTGACAACATTCCCGAGTCCAGCACTGTCTTGGTCATTGATGAGCTTTTTGCCCCAGTCCTGCCTCAGATCTCAGACCAGCAATGGCAGTGTCTGCGTGGACTCGTCGGACGAGGCTGTAAGATCTTATGGGTCACACACGGAGGACAAATGCAAGTGACGGAGCCAGACAACGCTATGATCACTGGTCTCTTCCGCTCAATCCGATCTGAAGATCCGTCGGCGGTGGTCATGACGCTGGATGTCGAGAGCCGGGATGATCCTTTTGCACCGAGCGCCATCGTGCACGCCTTAGCTCAATTAAGTCGTCAGCAAGCCCGCTGGGTTACAGACTGCGAGTACGCCGAGCGCAATGGCATCATCCATATCCACCGCGTTGAACCATATAAGCGTCTGGACAAAGCCATGGAAAAAGAAACCGACACCCCAGTCTTGACTCGGATCCACGATCTCGATTCAACTGTCCAGCTTCGAGCCGAGAGACTAGGCACACTTGACGGACTTACCTTCTGCGAAATCGCCGAAGCCGCCTTACCAGATCATGACGTCGAGATTGAAGTGCGGGCTATTGGCCTCAACTTCAAGGACGTGGCCGTCACGATGGGTATTGTACCTGAGAACGAGTACCTTCTTGGCTTGGAGGGCGCGGGCATCGTAAGACGGGTGGGAGCTGGACTGTCCCTGGACCTTGTAGGCAGTCGCATGGCTTTCATTATCAAGGGATCGTTGGCAAACCGAGTCCAGGTGCCGATTGGTTACACTCATGAAATTCCGGCGTCCATGTCGTTCGAAGAGGCGGCTAGTATGCCGGTGGTTTACTCCACGGCAATCTACTCCCTGTTCAACGTTGGCAATCTTCAAAAGGGCCAGAGGGTATTGATTCACTCGGCAGCCGGAGGCGTGGGTATCGCTTGCATCCAGCTTGCGCTCTACACCGAAGCAGAGATATTTGTCACGGTCGGCACCGACGAGAAGCGACAGTATCTGCACGAGACGTTCGGCATTCCATTCGACCGCATGTTCACTTCCCGGAGTACTGCGTTTGCTGCGGAGATCATGAAAGTCACGAATGGCGAGGGTATCGATGTTATTGTGAACTCACTGACGGGCGAGTTGCTCGATGCTACCTGGCGAATCTGTGCCGACGGAGGCACGATGGTCGAAATCGGCAAGCGGGACATTGTCGAGCGCAATTATCTCTCGATGGAGCCGTTCGATCGCGGCTGTTCTTACCGGGCCGTCGATCTCTCTCATGCGAAGATCATGCGTGATGGAGTGCATTTCAAGTAAGCCGTTCCCAAGATAAACCATTGACCATACCTAACCACCCCCTACAGGCTCATGAAGCGCATCTTCGAACTCATCGCCGGAGGACATATCACTCCCATCACACGCATTACGCCGTTTTCGATGACCCAGATCCCCGAGGCATTCGCCTATCTCCGGAGCGGCAAGCACATCGGCAAGATCGTCATCAGCGACGGTGCAGCGACAGCAGACGTAGCAGTGCCCGTCCGCCGGTTGCAGCACAACGTGACCATCACCGACACCTCGGCCTTCCTCATCGTCGGCGGCCTCAAAGGCCTCTGCGGCAGCTTTGCTATGCGCCTTGCCTACCGCGGGGTGCGTCACATCGTGATCATGACCCGCAGCGGCTGCCGCGACCCACGCTCGCAGGCCGTGATCGCGCAATGCCGCTCACTGGGCTGCGAGATCTACGACTGCCGCGGGGACGTGGCGCGCATCGTGGACGTGCGACGGGCCTTCACGCGCGCCCCCTACCCAATTCAAGGAGTCATCCACGGCGCAATGGTCCTCCGCGACCGGCCATACGAGACGATGACGGTCCGGGAATTCCACCAAGCGATTGAAGCCAAGGTGCACGGCGCATGGAACCTGCACAGCGTGGCGACCGAGAAACGCCTCCCGCTGGACTTCTTCCTGTGTTTGTCCAGCATCTCCAGCGTGGTCGGCAGCAAGGGCCAGGCCAACTACGCCGCGGCCAACAGCTTCCTCGACTCCTTCGCCGCGTACCGCCGCTCCCTCGGCGCCCAGTGCCTGACGGTCAACCTCGGCGTGATCGAGGACGTGGGCGTCATCGCCGAGTCAGACGCCCTCTCGCAGCGCTACCAGCGCTCCATCGAGACCACCGCCATCCCCGAGAGCGCCCTGCACGCGATCCTCGATGCGGCACTGTGCTGCCAGGCCAGCATCACTACCGACCCCAAAAACCCACCGATCGCGCAGATGATCACCGGCCTCGCCCTCCCGCAAGACCCCGAGCAGTCTATGCTGCGCTTCGATCCGCGGTTCCGCACGCTCTTCGCCGTCAACGGCGCCGAGTCATCCTCTACCGCGGGTGGATCCGAGAGTAAGACCGACCCCCTTGCGCGCGCGGTGCAGCAATTCCACAGACTGGTCCAGGTAGACAAAGAGACGGAGCCCGACGAGCAGCTCGTGCAGAAGACCTGTCTGGAGATCCTGGGCACGCGGCTGGCGCAGATGCTGCGGTGGGACGACTCGCAGCAGGTGGAGCCGGGGCAACCCCTGTCGGTGTACGGATTGGACTCGCTGGCGGCGGTGGAGTTGCGCAACTGGATCAAGGCGGAAATGGGGGCGAACGTCAGTACGTTGGATATTGTGAACGCGGATAGCTTAGTGATGTTAGGGGGCAGAGTGGTGGCTAAGTTGCGGGCTGAGCGGGAGAGGGGGGTGGATCGATAGACGGATGTCCGTTTGCTTGTTTTATCTGATTATGCATGAATCCGAATACACGACTATTATCCTGCTCGCTTTGGGAATCGTAAACACTACTTGTACCATTACCCCCAGACCCCGGGTTACCGATCCAGAATGCGATGTCATCACCCCAACCCAGGCCAAGCAGCATCGAACCCCAGATCGAACCCCAACGACCAGTTCTCGTCCAAGAACGGCCACTGCACCATCTCGGACCCTAGCTGCTGCTCGACATAGTCCGCAGTAGCCGTGCCAGTGCTGCCGGCCCCGGCGGAAGTCGGCACCTGCGAGACAATTCCCCCAGCAGCCACACCTCCACTTCCCCGCGCAGCTCTACTACCACTACCACTACCACCGGAGTCAACCTCGACACGAGCATCGCCCTCCCCGCTCCTCGACCGAGCAGCAGAAATCTCCGGCCTCTCGACCCGAATATCCCCATACTCGTCCAACGTCCCCGCCAGGGTCAAATGATCCGGCCTCTCCATACTCGGTTCCGCCGCGGACGCCGCATTCGTCCCCGACAGACTCCGCGGCAGCTTGGCAGTGGAATAGAACCGGTTCGCTTCCTGGAGGGTGCGCCACTGCCGACATCCATTAGCCCATGCCCACCCCTACGACCACGCCCATGCCCATGCCACACCCACACTCCAAATCACAAGCATCACCAACAGAACCACCTACAGCCAAGACGGAGAAGCAAAGGGAGAGGGAGGAACGTACCCAACTATGCCCGACAACCCAATACCGACACAACCGCTCGAGGTAATTGAAGTTGCGCTTCTTCTCGTGCTCGGCGCGCGCGCGGCCGCCGGGGTACCGGGCCGGGACGACGGAGCCGTACATGTTGATGTGGGCGGCGACGAAGACGCTGTAGCCGGCGTAGGAGGTGATGACGGGGGTGCCGGAGGCGTCAAGGGCGGCGATGATGCTGCCGATGTGCTGGGCGGCGGTGAAGAGGTGGTCGAGGGCTTTGTCGGGGTCTGTTTCGGTTTGTAAAGCTGTGGTTGGGGCTGGGGCTGGCGGGTGGGTGGAGAGGAAGGCGTCGCGGTAGAGGAAGAGACGACTCATGAAATACACCAGGTTGATGTAGGCGAACAACTCCCCGTACCCCAGCGCGACGTGGGCCTGGGCGCTCGTCTCGGGAAACCGCACCGTGACGTCCTGCAACTCGCGCCACTCGTCCAGCTCCCCCTTGAGGGTCGTCCACATCCCCACGGAATCACCCCCGGCCCGCCCGCGGCGGTTCTCATTCGCGAACCGCAGGATCCGCACGAAGATGTCGAACCCGCGCGTCACGATGCTCAGCCCCCGGTCGATCGTCAGTAATCCCTTCACCCGCGACGAGGACCCCTGTGTCATGTCCCTCGGCATCAGCCGGGTCGGACACACCCGTCCGAATGTGAAGTCTTGGTCGCTGATCGGCAGGGGCACCAGGATCTGTCGGAACGAGAGGGCAATGTGCTGCCGCGCGCCGGAGCTGAGCTCGCAGTCCTGCGCGAAGCAGCACCAATACGTGCGGACGAGCTGCTCGTAGGCGATTTGGGTCTGTGGGGCCGCGTGGAAGTCTTCGGGATTGTGCTCCATGCTGTCGTCGGCGGTTTTAAGGAGGGTTTGGAGCATGTAGGTTGCCATTCCTGGTGTTTACTCTAGTCAGAAGGTGAAAGGGGTGGGGTGGGGAGAAGGGGGTGCGTACCGCTGTACATCCACGCACGGTAGGGATGACCAGATCCCCATTCGTACAGCGAGAGCATGACCAGGGATTGCGCGAGGTAGAGCGAGGGTGCTTCGAAGGCGCGATGGGCCAGCTGCGTCCGCGCATAGGTGGCGTACGTCTCCTCGGGGGCGAGGTCATTGTCGCTCATGAACCGCACGCACAGCGAGAGGAGCGAGGCTAGGAAGACCGGGTCGACGGACGCGAGATCGTTGGATAGATCGGCGATGAGGGAGGGATAGTGCAGGAAGTTCACGACGGGGAAGCGCTTGCGGTAGATATCGCAGGCGTTGATCAGGGTGGCGGTCGAGAGGGTTGCGATGGGCGTGGCTGGTGTACTCGGCATGACAGGGCTGCTGAGCTCTGGCGCGACATCGGTCGCTCTGCTTGCGCGACGCAGCGTGCTACTGGGATATGGAGTGGTGGATTGGCGACTGCGAGGCGTCCGTATTGCCGCGGGGGAGCGTGGGTCGGTGAGCACGCAGGTATCGTCGCGGTTGAGGCGGTGACATCGACGACAAGGGGGTTGGCCATCGTGCACGCATTTTACTTTCGACCGGCTGATTTCATTAGTGATTGCGTAGCAGTACAATGGGGTGTAGTGATGGGTGGCCTACCGACAGCTGTCGCAGGAGATGGACAGACGCATTGCGGAGACGATGCGATGAAAGAAAAGCCGAGGATCGGGAATGGCGGGATTTGGGCGGCTCGGAAATGATAGGGTTTGTGCTGCAGAGCCCGCACGGTGGAGCCCTGTCCGGTTTCTCCTTTCTTGCCTTTCCTTATCATTCCTGGATTTGTTTCGCTCTGGACCGGGCCGGGAATTGCGCTTGACTCGGTAGCCGTTGAGAATTAGGTTGTGGACTGGAACTGATATCATCCTGACTCGCAAGGTGGTAAATTTCCTGCCTGAGGCAACTGCATTTGTATCGGAAGAAACTGTTCCGTGCTCCGTCAGCACCTCGTTTCTGAGGCAGAAATACCACGTGACCACACCGAGGACCAATCAAGCAAACAGTGCAAACACCCTGCATTGGGGTGTTTTCCGCAGCCGTTGTTGGAGTGTTGGAGTATCCTCGGCCATAGTTATCTTTGATCACCCCGACACATTATGTTACGCTGCTTGAATTTGCCCGCATCACTGCTGCCAATATGCATGCCACCTCAAATTCCAATCTCAGTTTCTCGGATCCAATGGCATCGAATCCTCCAACCGGGGTTTTTCTCACGCGCAGGCTCCACAGTGGCCGGGATCCATCGCATCGAGTACAAGTGGATCAAAGGTGTGGAGAAACTCGAAAACTACCAGCCTGGGGGATATCATCCCATCATGGTTGGCGACCTCTTACATGACCGATATCACATTGCCGACAAACTTGGATATGGGGGCTATTCGACTGTTTGGCTTGCTCTAGACACCCATCTGAAGCGATATGTTGCCCTCAAGGTCAACGCCACAGACTCGCTTTCGAGTGAGACTGCTGTCCTCAAGGCTTTATCCGCTTCCCTCCCACCATCAGCAGCTGTGCATCCCGGACGTGGCTTAGTGCCTGTGCTTCTAGATGAGTTCGAAGTGCAAGGCCCCAATGGAAACCACACGTGCTACACGGTAACCCCTGCTCGATGCAATCTGCGCGAGATCTCCTTCAGCCGTCTTTTCCCCCTCGATGTTGCGCGAGCTTTGGCGTATGGGCTTACGCTGGCTGTTGCATATACACACTCACAAGGCTATGTTCATGGAGGTTCGTCCACCCCAGCCAAAGCATTCATTCCGCTGTTCCTAGGCAAATACGCAGAGCACTTCTCTATATCCGATGCCCAGCCCCTCCTCACTGACCTTGGCGAAGCATTCGCCCCGGCTTCAGAAGTACGTCTTGGGCAAGACTGCCATACGCCACCCGCGTTCCGGGCGCCAGAAGCCAAGTTCGAACCACAGAGTCCACTTGGCTACCCTTCGGACATTTGGAGTCTGTCTACCGCAATCTGGGAGATCGTCGGTATGAAGGCCATTTTCAGCACTGATATCGTACCTGAGGATGAGATTACGGCCCAGCAAATTGATGTGCTGGAGCCTATGCCTGCAGATTGGTGGCGGCGTTGGAAGGGACGGTCGAGTTTCTTCGAGGCGGATGGTTGTCCTACGGAATCCTACAAGGGAAATCGATGGCCTGCGCTCCAGGAGTCATTTGAGGTGGGTGTTCAGAAATGGAGACGAAAGGTGGGAGACGAGATCGGCGAGGATGAGAAGACTGCGCTTCTGGATTTAATGCGGCGGATGCTGGCTTTTCGGCCGGAGGAGCGGTTGACCGTCGACGAGGTGCTGGAGTCAGAGTGGATGGTGAGATGGGCTTTGCCTGAGTATAAGCGGAATCAACAGTGTGCGACCTGAGATGTGCCACTTTATGATGGTGTGGAGGTTGATTGCTGGTCAATAACCTTGTCTGCTGTATGGCGTCTGTGGAAGGGTCCCTCGTCACAGTTCAGAAACCTGATAAGTCGTTGTGCCGTACATCAGTCGGACGGCTACACTCCCGGTTTCTGGAGAAGGTCGAAGGTACGGAAGTTATGAGTCGCTCGACTGGAAGAATGACCGAGATAATAATTGTTGCGACAAGCATGATCTGCTCGACCATGCCAAGTATGACAACGTCATTTGCCGCATTTGTTACGATAACGGTTAATCCCCACCTCTTCCCGTGAGATTCTGCTAATTCACCAGAAGAGGCAATTAGCGACATTTCATTCTGATCAACACCCCGCTTATCTACACAGCCTCTGAACTTCCCCTCCATTGTTTCTTCATCTCTCGTCTACCACCTCTCAGCCCAAAATGACGCAGACAAAACTCCAACGTCACTTCCAAGAACGGTCTGCTCTGCTGGATCAAGAGAAAGCCATCCGCCATGACCATGCCTTCAAGACAAACATGTCTACCACGGCGCAGAAGGCCGCGGAGATCGTCGCCCGCATCCGTCAGCGAGAGTCAGAGATCTTCTGGACAACCCCTGAGGGAAGTCACAGTGAGGCCAAGCACCCCGTCGTGTTTCCTGGCATGTCATTCGCTATCTCGCGCGATCGGATGCACAAAACCTCGATGTGGAGAATCGTGTCCGCTATGCCCAAGGGCTGTCTGCTGCACGCCCACATGGAGGCGATGATTGACATCGACTGGATGCTCGACCAGGCGCTGCAGATCCCTGGATTCTGGATGTCCAGTCCCGCGTCACTGATGCTTGGCGCTTCAACGAACCCGCCAGCCTTTGCATTCCACTACCGTCCAAGCCGGATGGTCGCTGAAGCCACTGCATCCATTTGGGAAGCCGATTACTCTCCAAACGAGCTCATTCCTATCGCTGAAGTCGCTCGCACCCATCCCAGCGGGGTGTCGGGATTCAAATCCTGGGCCATCTCCCAGATGACCATCACCGAGGACGAAGCCCTGTACCACCATCACCGGGGCATCGTCGACATCTGGAAGAAATTTGCCTCTTGCTTCCGCGGCATCGCTGGACTCTTCTACTCGGAACCCATCTTCCGTCGCTGTGTCCCCCGGCTCCTGCAGCAGCTACATTCCGACGGGATCAAGTACGTCGAACTGCGTCTCGTACCGCGCCCGTTCCACCGGACGGAGTCGGACACCCCTGAACCCGACACCCACTACTTCCTCGAATGCTTCGCCCAGGAGCTGCAGCGGTACTGCTCCTCCGCGGACGGCTCCGGTTTCTGGGGCGCCCGCCTCATCTGGACCGCCATCCGCAGCTTACCAGACGACCTTCTGCGCGCATCCATGCAAGACTGTCTCTCCAGCAAGGCCGCTTATCCCGCGGTGATCGCCGGCTTCGACTTCGTCGGCCAAGAGGATCTCGGTCGCCCGTTGGTCGAGCTCCTCCCGCTCTGTGAGTGGTTCCAGCAAGAATGCGCCCAACGCAACCTCCAAATACCGTTCTTCTTTCACGCTGGCGAGTGCTTGGGGGATGGCGACGCCACCGACACGAACCTAGTTGACGCAATCCTGCTCAAGTCTCGTCGCATCGGCCACGCGTTCTCGCTGTATAAGCACCCCGTGCTGATCGAAATGGTGAAGAATCAGAAGATCCTGATCGAGATGTGTCCCATCTCGCACGAGGTCTTGCGTCTCACGGCGAATATCCTCACGCATCCGATGCCGGCGCTGCAGGCGCGCGGGGTGGCGGTCTCGTTGAACAACGATGATCCCGCAATCCTAGGCCATGGGGGGAATGGGCTTAGCTATGACTTTTATCAAGTGTTGCTTGCATTTGATAACACGGGACTTGGGGGCCTGGCGAAGATGGCGGAGGATAGTGTTCGGTGGGCTGCTTTTAAGGATGAGGACGAGACGGCGTGGTTGGATGGAGTTGGGGGGAGGGTGACTGAGGGAATCAAAGCCGCACGGCTGGAGGAATGGCGGACTGTATTTGAAGATTGGTGTCAGTGGATAGTCAGGGAGTTCGCAGGTGAACTTGAGGATGGGATCGAAGAGTAGACAAGGCATCAATCGATGAGGTACAAACCGATGACCATCGGTGCCTTAGGCATCAATGTATGCTCCATCTTGATCTCCAACAGGCAATCCATGATAAATACATGTTTCACTGGTATGTAGCTATGCTGAACCATGGCAAAGTGGCAATATCCCGACATCTACATCATAGCCATGATTCTCTGCCCGGTCAGGACGTCCTTCTCCTTAATCTAGACCTGTTGGAGGCCTTGAGGCAAGAAGCCACGTGACTCTCGTCGCGCCTTCCCCTTGTCTTCTTAATCATGTCTGGGGTTCTTTCAAAGATGTAGGAGCTCTGATGATGGCAACAGCCAATATGGCAGGCCATGTTGCCGTAGGATGCCAAGAGCATCGTTTCACGCCGAGTCATTGAACAAAGGAAGCTGGGCTCTCTATTCACACGTGACCGAATTCAGAGTATGGCATGGATCGAAATCCCCAACGCGATCTATTGGGACGTTGTTCCCTTCCCATCTCCTCTCTCGTCCATTCCGATATCAACACCAATGCGGTCAAGAATCCGACAGACGTCCGGCATGCTTGGATGTGAAGATTGCGCCATAGAACTACAGATGCTTTCCTTGCTCTCCTCTTGGCGCAATTCTCAGGTCTACGATCTTTGTACATCAGTGGTGTTGTGGATCTACACGCCCATTTGGTCGGGTTGACACTCGTCTCCGCCATTTGTGACTCGGGAAGGAATCGACTGCCCAATTTCCAGCGTTCACGAGAGGTGAATCGGCGCGGGTGTAGACGGTGCCCCGACTGTAGTCGAGGCGGCCATCTACACCTATACTTTAATCATCAGTCACAATTGTCATGTTTTCGTGGAGTCGGCGCAACAATTCCCATAGTGCGTATCCTGGGTGGCTTACCTATATCGTGATACATCGAAGCCCTGCAATCTTGGTGCACAGCATTCGTTTGATAAGGGATCAATAGGTACAATCGGTGTAACGTGAGGGGTTGTTTCTTCTATCGACCTACCAATTCGGTTATCTGACCATAACAGAGCGTTGTGTGCTACTGCTTGCCCGGCCGGTTGTAGTTCTGTCGGGGTCCAAGCTCAATGGGCGTGCAAATTTCTTTTTGCTGACTGTGGTCATGATGGACGAGTGAATTGGAGTAGAGAGCATATCACTATGAACTGACCACTACGAATGGTCAGTCAGGATGATGGGGGTTCCCGACGCTGAACCTATGACTCCAGTGGAAAGTATATATATTTGGACCTCGACTGATGAGAAACGGTCCAGGCCGTCTATCAACATCGTGTTTTTCAGGTAGATGTCATGTACTCCGTAGTCTCAACTGATTTGCGGCACCTTCACGAACGGTGTACATAGAAGTATATGCAGCTGATCTACTCTACCGCACTGCCTGGTCAGGTTTCCGAATTGAGAAGAGGGCTAGGGCAGGCACGGGATATGGCCGGTCGGATAAGTCGGGCTTCACCGCCTTGATCGGGAATAATTCGGCTCTTCAGTCGGGGCAACTCCACTCAACTTCATCTCCAACTCTCCTCCCCACTTGAATCCATCAAGCATCGATCGTAAGATCAACTCCAGCTCCACACCACGAAAACGAAAATTGACGGTCATGACTCATTAACATTATTACTCTCTATTTTAGACATTCGTTACGCGCACCCCGGGGCCCAACAGCCAGCCATCAAGCCCGCACCTGCCGCACCTGCCGCACCCACTGATTCAGCTTCTCGACCTGCGTCTCGTCCGTCGCCCACGAGGTCACAATCCGCACGACGGTGTGGCCGTCCACCTTCTCCCACTCGTAGAACCGGATGCGCTCCTCCAGCAGTGGCAGGATGTCATCGGGGATGTGCACGAACACCTGATTCGTCTCCGTCTCGGCCGCCAGCGCGAAGCCCAGCTGCACGAAGTTGTCGGCCAGGCGGCGGGCCATCTCGTTGGCGTGGCGCGCCAGCTCGAAGAACAAGGGGGTGTCGGGGTCGCGGAACAGCTCGGCGAACTGGACCCCGATCACGCGCGACTTGGCCAGCAGCGCGCCGTGCTGCTTGATGTGGAACTCGAACCCCTCGGCGATCTCGCGGCGCACGACGACTGCCTCGCCCAGCAGCGCGCCCATCTTCGTCCCGCCCACCCAGAAGATATCCGCCAGGTCGACCATGTCCCGTAACGTGGGGACATCCGGGACGGTGGTGGCGGTCAGCGCCACGCCCAGCCGCGCGCCGTCGACGAGCATCAGCAGGCCGCGGCGGCGGCACACGGCCGACAGCGCCTGCAGCTCGGGGCGGGTGTAGACGGTGCCCAGCTCGGTGGACTGGGAGATGTAGACGAGGCGGGGCTTGGCCATGTGCGGGAAGAACTGGTTGCGGTCGAGCTCGCGCTCGAGCCGGTCGGGCAGCAGCTTGCCGCGGCAGTGCGGCACGCCGATGATCTTGTGGCCCGTCGCCTCGATGGCGCCGGCCTCCTTGCAGCTGATGTGGCCGGAGTCGACGGCGACGACCGCCTCGTAGGGCCGCAGGCAGCTGGCGATCGAGATCAGGTTGGCCGATGTGCCGCTGGGGACGAAGTGGATGGCGACCTCGTCCGGGGTGGTGTGCAGCTGCGCGTGCAGGAGCTGGCGCGCCTCGTTGCTGTAGTCGTCCGTGCCGTAGCCGGTCTGCTGGGGCATGTTGTTCCGGACCAGCGCCTCCAGCAGGCGCGGGTGCGCGCCCTCGCTGTAGTCATCCAGGAAGCTGTAGGGGGTGGAAAGTTTGACGATCATGATGCAGGATCACAATCCCAGCGGGTGAAGAGAAAGCGGAGGGATGGGGTAAACCGTAATATGAAGCGTTAAAACCATCCAACAAAGAAATTTCCTTGAACCATCAACCACGCGGTGAAAACGGGGGGGATGGGATTCTTTATACGTAAACGAAACCATAGCCAAGTCTGGGCCCCGAGCGACGGATTCCCGATGAGGGCTCGGGAATACACCACCAGAAAAACGCTGTGTCGGGAATAGATCGGGAACGGCCACTCGCCCCCGAGAACCATGTTTCGATTTGTAACACTTGAGGCGGGTCCGTCCACTATTCTTAGCTCCAAAATGGCGTTTCCATTGCATAATCCGTTCCACGGGATTCCTCGTGTGCGAGTCAATCCTGTCCGAGATCAGGGACATTATTAATTGAACCTGGGGAGGAAAACTTGGTTAACCCCGGTGTGTTGTGGGAGTTGTGCCCATGCGTTGAGACTCGGGATGATCCTGGAATGCTTGATTGTTCCTGATCGTGCTGGTCCAATGGGCTGGGTTCCTGGGAGGGGTGAATTGAGTTGGATTCCTTGCTTTGGGGGGGCATTGCTGATTGGGTTGCGTGGGAGAATCCCCACTTGCTTATTTTCTAGCCAGCTGGAGGGTTGGCCTTGTGACTAGGTGGTTTGAGTCGCGTGGTTTTTTTCAGCGCCGCTGAGGCTACTGCCAGCCTAATTCGCCTTTCTTCTTCGAAGTGATGTGTGACAACAAACATGCTTGGTTGGAAGGATGGTGTTGGGATTCTCTCTATCGATTGTCCTAGTCTTTTCTTGCAAGTAGCATGCACCACGCCAATACCTTCGTTTTACAGATATCAGCGTAGTGAGGGGAACAGGCAGCTGACTAGTAAATAGCGACGCGGATGAGCAGAATGACCCCCTGAGTAGTCTTCAGAGGAGTACTCCATGGCGCCCAGTGCTTCTATGTACAGAGATCACCCTTTGCTCCGCCGTCAAGCCTGAGATATAGACCTCATAGCATAGGGATGTATCACCTCCATAGCACAAGTCAACCCTGATCGATGGATTAATCTGGCTGTGCCTTGAAGACGGCCGTGTCGCAATCATCGGTTTGCGCGTTGGTGTGGAGCACCAGGATCTCGGGCTCATTGACAGCACCCGCATACCCAACGTATGTTGATCATTGCTCCTCTTATGCTCTGTGCAAGCATTAGTTGTGCTCTGTTGTGATATGGTGTGTTTTCACCTGCGAAGTGAGCTGAAATATGCTGAACACGATGCCGAATGAAGAATGCGATCGTCCGACCATGCTCTGGCAATGAAGATATGAAATAGTCGCTGTTGTATGTAGCTATAGATATTAATCCAGACCCTGTGAATAAGCCCCTATCTGCATCTGGATTTTGACAATCTCCTGATTAAAGTAAGAAAGCTGCGGAGGCGGAGCCGGTGTACAACTCATGGGCTACTGGGTTAGTGGAAAACCAACATTCAAACCTGAAGGTTCTGGCTAATCATTCCATCGGTCTCTCGCTCGGAAGGAAGAGGATGGAGAGAGATTGGTCTAGAGCTGGACTAGACTAATGTGCTTTTCTGGTAGAGGGCTTTCCGGTCTTTGCTGTATTCTGGAAAAGCGCCCTGCGCTTGTATATAGATTTTACACTACTAGTCAGTGGTGATCGTCTGAATCACAGTGTTCCAGTGGAGATAGCCTTCTCTTGTGATATTATGCTTGACCTGGCGTAAGATGCGGGATCTGCGGGGGAAAAAGTGCATGTAATGTATGGAGTATTGCTAATATTATCTCCGATCAGTGTAGACATGTTTGCTGTCTATCTTAAATTCGTATGGAGGATTTGCTGCGAAGTTAGGACATGACGTATTGAAGTCAGCATTAGCCCCGGTCTGCCAGTCATCATCAGAAATGACCGTCCGAACACCGAGGTACTTAATTGATCCTCTTGATTGGCCCGTAGTTCAGCTAATTGCACCGGCGCATGCGCTACTATAGAAGTGGATCGGACACCGAGCACTGAGAGGTCAATCCACCCACGGATGTGCAACTATATCAACGCAACAAGCAAGACATGCAACCCCTCTCAGCTGAGGAGGTACCCCGCCTTCCTCACATTTATTAATCCCAAGCCCTTGACAGCCCTTCACTCTCGTCCCTCCCACATCAACCCATCTGCCACCCCCAACAACGATGACCACCCCCCCAAACCACGCCCTCGTCTTCGGCGCCTCCGGCATAATAGGCTGGGCCTTCGTCAACGAGCTCCTACACAACTACCCATCCTCCGACACCTTCTTCCGCGTCACAGCCTTCACCAACCGCCCTTTATCACCAGAAATCTCGCAATGGCCCCCCTCCAACAAACTGCAGCTAGTCTCCAACCTGGACCTCATCCACAGCGACCCAGCCAGCCTGTCCACATTCCTGCAATCCCACGTTCCCGGTTTAGAGAGTGTAACAACCGTCTACTTCTGCGCCTACATCTTCGCCCCAGACCCAGCCACCGAAACCTCCTCGAACATCCACATGCTCCGCACCACAGTCCAAGCGATTGAATCCCTATGCCCGAGTTTCCGAATGCTCGTGCTCCCCACGGGCGTTAAGGTACCCCTCCCCCCCCCTTCCCCAGTCCTATCCCCTTCCCCCCATATCAATACTAAACAAAGCAAGGCCTACGGCGTGCACCTTCTCACGTCCTTCCCCTTCGCCTCCCACCTCCCCCTCCGCGAAACCCACCCCGCGCTCCCCTCACCCCACGCCACGCAACTCTTCTACACGCACCAGCACGCCCTCCTCCAGGAGCTGTCTGCGACCAAACAATGGAGCTACATCGACCTCCGCCCCGACATCGTGGTGGGCTTCGTGCCCAACAACAACCAGCACAGTCTGGCGCAGTGGCTGGCGCTGTCCCTGAGTCTGTACCGGTACATCCACGGCCGGGGCGCGGTGGTGTCGTTCCCTGGCACACCGAAGAGCTGGACCGCCAGGGCGCAGGATAGTTCGCAGGATGTGATTGCCCGATTCGGGATTTTTCTTTCCTTGAAGTCAAAGGGGGAGGTAGGAGGGGAGAGCTTTAACGTGGCTGATGCGAAAGAGCCGGGGACGTGGGAGGGGAAGTGGGCGGTTCTGTGTGAGTATTTCGGGTTGGTGGGGGTGGGGCCTGAGGAGGGGGAGGGGTGGGATCCGGTGGAGTTTTTGCAACGGCATGAGGCTGAGAGGGGGCAGATGGAGAGGGAGTATCGGGTGAGGGGTGGGCATGGGACGGTCGAGGATGGGGTGAGTCTGAGCCATGTGCCTGGGTTCTTGATGAAGGGATTCGATTTTGATCGCCCGTTGGATCTGGGGAAGATGCATCGGGATTGGGGGGATGCGGCGGAGGAGAGGGATGCGCGCGGCACGTGGTGGACGGTTTTTGATCGGTATAGGGCTGCGGGGATTATTCCGGATTTTGGGAGGTGATTCTGTTTTAATGTGGTATACGGAGAGGGTGTACTGAATATCATGTGTGAACGGCACAGTATGTGTGTTAGTGTGGCGATAGGATGGGTCGAGTTATATAGGCGACAGGCTAATTAATGCCCACCCCCCCTCTCCCTCGCCAATTTCTCTCTCACCGGCGCAAAGATCTTCTCTGTCACCTCGGGCGTATGCGCCGCGAAGTACGGACTAGGCGCGATGTTCCACTCCGGCACCACGCGCCGACCCTCGGGCCCGCGCGCCCATATCTCCACCACCGCGCCCCCTCCGTACTCCCCCGCTTCGATCAACTGGACCATACACTCTGCGACATCGGCGGGATCGAGCAGCTCCTTCTCCACGAGGGAGTACTGTTCCATCGCCGCCGGGCGGTCCGTGAACAGCGGCGTTCGCACGGCTCTATCTCTGCATTAGCAATCGCTCTAACCCGCCCATTCTTCCCTCCGTCATTTGACTCAGAGTGCACATACGCAGGACAAACAGCCGTGACCTTGACCCCCTCCATCGCCTCGTACGGTGCCATGGCCTTGACGAACCCCCACACCGCATGCTTAGCCGCCGTATACAAGGGCGCCGCCGGCGCCGCGGCGATCCCCGCCAGGGACGAGACGCAGCACACGACGCCCTTCTTGTTGGCGCGCAGCAACTCGCGTATGGCGATACGAGTCAGCTTGATGGGATGGTTGGCGTTGATCTCCATTGCGGCGTAGCCGTTATCCTCGGTATCGTCCCAGAAGTTGGACCATTCCTGTTATATCTCTGTCAGTCGCTGGAGTGTGGGGTAGTGTCTGGGAGGAAGCCGTACGGGATCGAAAACGCCCGCGGCGGCGATATACACGTCGGGCACATCGCCCCATTTGTCCAGGGAGACACGGATCAGAGCTTGGAGGTCGGTCCAGTTGCGGACATCGCAGGGTTGGAAGAGGATTGAGGCGGTGGGTGTGCTATTCACGAAGGTTTCAGCTGCAGGGGTGAGTTTGAGGTCCGCGATGATGGTCTTGGCGCCTTTGGAGGTGGTCAGCTGGGCGGCGGCTAGACCGATGCCTGCCACTGAGTCAGATATTGCAGTTTGGTAGAAGCGTGTCGTCAATGCAGACTAAATCCGTCTTACCAGATCCCCCGCCGGTGATCACCACGATTTTGTCTTTGACGGGGAAGTCTCCGAACATGGTGTTGAGTAATAGAGACGGATTGTACTCGTGGTGTGGAAGATGCGGGGTTCTGAGGCCTTTTATTCAGCCCGGCAAGGTGTAGTTCCAAGATTTGCAGGGCGGATCCAGGCTAGCGTCGATTCAGGGAATTGATGATCGCGTCCATCTGCAAATCATCCCTCGTTGGCACGACTGCCGATATGCACGACAAAGCACATCACGAGTCGCGCCATTCGAAAACAGCCACTTCACCAACCCGTCATCACCTGGTTCAATTACTGCAAGGCATGCATCTAGAGGAATCGATACAGATACTCAAGATTTTCCAGACTAATCGTCGAATCGTGGGACGGCGACCACATATGATCTGTATGGCCCGCGCTGACGCTGACATTATACAACTCGTCCCCGTCCTGCAAAAAATCATCCTCGTTCGGCAGATTCAACGACAGTTGGATCGAATATGATGCATCAGCCTGCAGAACGGGTGGTACAGCCACATTCCCCTCAAGATGCATATCCAATGGCGCATTGCCCCTGTTCTTGTCACTAACCTCGTCCTCATCAGGTGTAGTAATGGCTGCAGGCTTGCCGCACTCCATCAACCGCAAAGTGCGGGCCGTGCTATTGTCTAGACACCGAAAGAAGAGCTCAAGGACCCAATTCTCCAAGTCCCACGACTTTTGCAGCTCCTGCAGACCCAGCAGACAGAGTCTTGCGCGGTGTTCGGCTAGTTGGCGACCAGTCCCTGTCTCTCTCCGGAATTGGAGAGTGTGGATGCACAATGTTGAGAAGACGTGCGTGATTCTGGTCCCTTAGCAAGATCCGAGCTGGATAGAGATTCGGTCTTACAAATGAGTCGGCCCGTGCTGCACGACGTTGTGCGACAGCATGTCTTCGACGATCCTCGTGCTTCGCGTGGCAGCGTCGACAGCAATCTGACCCTCTCCCCCCGTGCCTTTCTCCGGAGAGTGAAGGAAAAGTGGTCGGTAAAGGAGGATATACAGGTTACTACGTAGGAATTAGGGGTAGAGCAGACCACTTGGAAAATGAGCCGTACTTGTAAGTCATATGTATCAGTCCCGCGAGGAATTTTGCCCGCGGAGTCACCGCACTATCCTGCCTCAGCTCCGCCGGGATACTCGATTCCCATTCAATCAGCTGCCGATGCAGGTCTTTTCGAGTCTCCTGGCTGGCTAAAGTTGGCGTGGGCGAGTACTGCGTTGCAACAATCGTGCGGACTGCCTTGTCAGCACACACATTCGTAGGGGTAACCGAAGAACGTACGTATTCTCGCAAGCTTGGCCATTTCCACCGGATACTCCACATCTCCCACCAGTTGCACCCCGAACACAGACGTGTCATCCAGCACCTCGGTCTCCCGAAAATCATCCGGCGCAAGCATAGCGACATCACAATCCTCGTCTCGGATGCGCGGCGGCAGACCCAGGGCGGCGGCACTCTGCTGATCGCGTGTCTATCCACGGCAGGTCAGCATCTCACCTCAGATGTGTGAACAGGGATCTCACATAAAGCGCCCACCAAATCCGCTTCCAAAGCCTCTCTTCCTTGGCCGACCGAAGCGAGAATTTTGCCCTGCGTCAAGTCACCCATCAGCCAGTCTCCAAAAAAGAAAGGAGGCCCCAAAGAACACAACCCACATCACATGCATCCCCCGCTTCTGCGCCAGACTGATCGCGATCCCCAACCAGAACCTGACATCCCGCTCCTCGGACGGCCCTCCCCGCCAGAAGCTGAGCAGAAACAACGTCTGCAGCTTCACTGTCTTGTCTCCTTCCCAGTCCTCACCATAGAGTGCTTTCGCGCGACTGTAGAATAGGAACTTGGCCGAGTGACGATCCACGAATTCCGTCCGGGCCAAGGCATCGTCGGGGCAGAGACTCACACCGATGAACAGCATTGCGTGCAACAGCAAGGGCGAGAGGGTACCCCGGAGGTACAAATGCTGCACATCCGCCCGGTCGAGAATGGGGAAGCACGGGTGGAACCAGTTGAAGTACGCTTGTAGCAGGAGTGCACAGGTACTTGGTGGGGGGAAGGAGAATGCGCCGTCGGCTTGAAGGTGATGCTCCATTCGCAGCTTGCGGGCGCGGAGGGCTTCGTCGCGCGCGCTCGAGACATTTGCGCGCCCGGGTATGGGGTAGCAGAGACGGGTTTGTGGGATGGTGGTGGTTGTGGTTGTGGTGGTGGTGGATGTGTTCGGTGATGAGTGGCGACCCTCGTCAACAACGACGGTGAGGGGGCTGGACTCGCCCAGGAAGACGGTCTGGTGGGTGTAGTCTGCTTGCTCGGATATTAGCGGGGCCGTAGAACTGCCGAGAGGATGCCTCCGTGCTAGACTGTGCTGGTCGTTTGCTAGTGACAAGGATACTTTTTTGTTGGGGATGTGGGACGAAGGCGCAGGTGTATGCAAAGGCGTCGCGGTCTTGGGACCGTCTCTGACAGTTTTCTTGCGCCGGTACCTTGTTGGAAATTAGTAGTTCCACAGATTGTTCAGAACACGATGGAAGATGTGACTCACTTCCCCCGTTTCGACACGCCAAGCGCGCAGGGAACATTTGTGACAATGCAGTTGTGGCACGGGCGCGTCTCCTGGACGTTGCAGCGGATGCGGCGGCGGTTGCAGTGGAGACACGCCTGTTTGGCTCGGGTCCGGGGCTTGAGCGGGGCGGAGGTATCTTGAGAAGGCATCTGCACGAGGAAATCAATATTACGGCATAAGTGTCACAAGAGGTTGCGAGAGAAGAGAGGAGAGAGAAGAGTGTGAAGGAAAGAGAAAGCATACAGCCGAGATGGGGAAGTCGGCATCTCGTCAGTTGGCCGGCGCGGCATTCCTCGGTGTAAAGCTGGACTGCCGATGTCTAACGCCATACAATATTCATATCCAGGTTTCATCGCAATCCAATCTGACGACTTTGTAGAGTAAGATTCGTTCAATTGCTAAGAATATTTATGTTCAGATTTCACAGTGGTATGCGGCTATCCACGGAGGAGACTGAACACCCTCTAACTACCCAGAATTACTCTCGCTCAATCCCCAACTCCGCCAATATGACCTCATTATGCTCCCCCACATCCGGCACCGCATCCATCCGCACATCAAACGCCTCGCTATCATCCAGCGACATTCCCGGCGGCACCAGTGCGGGCACCGTCCCAGCCGGCGTCGCCACCGAAGTCCACCGATTGCGAGCCTTGAGCTGCGGATGCTCCCACACCCCCTGCATATCGTTCACCCGAGCATTGGCAATCGCCGCCGCATCCAGCCGCGCAACCGCCTGCTCAGCAGACAATTCCGAGAATGCATCGTTGATGATCTGCTGCAGCGCGTCGCGATTCTTCACGCGCAGCGAGTTATTTTTGAACCGATCATCCTGTGCCACCTCAGGCTGCCGGAGCACCAGCTCACAGAACTTGGCCCACTCGCGCTCGTTCTGGATTCCCAGCATCACCGACTTCCCATCGCCAGCCTCAAACGGACCGTACGGATAGATCGCAGCATGCGATGCCCCGGCCGGCTTCGGACCAGCCGCATTCCCATACGTGTAGTACATGGGAAACCCCATCCACTCGACCATCGCCTCCAGCATCGAGATATCCAGCTCACCCCCGCGCCGGGCCGGGTCCCGCTCGCGGCGGTACAGCGCCGCCAGGATGCTCGAGTAGGCGTAGCTCCCCGCCGCGATGTCGGCGATCGAGATGCCCACCTTCACAGGTTCGCCGGCAGCGGTCCCCGTCACGGAGAGCATGCCGGCCTCGCTCTGGATGAGCAGATCGTACGCCTTCTTGTCACGGTAGGGCCCGTTTGACCCGTAGCCGGAGATGTTGCACACGATGAGGGAGGGGTGGGTGCTTTTGAGGTCGGGGTACGACAGCCCCAGGCGTCCGCTGGCGCCCGGGGCGAGGTTCTGCACGAGCACGTCGGCTTTGCGCAGCAGCTGCATCAGGACCCGGTGGTCGCGCGGCTCCTTCAAGTCGAGCGCCAGGCTCTCCTTGGACCGGTTGGTCCAGACAAAGTGCGAGGCCAGTCCATTGACGCGCGTATCGTAGTCGCGGGCGAAGTCGCCGACGCCTGGTCGTTCAACTTTGATCACCCGCGCCCCGAGATCGGCTAGCTGGCGCGTGCAGAAGGGGGCTGCGATGGCTTGTTCGAGGCTGACGATGGTGATGCCGGTGAGGGGGCCGGGTTGGCGCGAGGAGGGGGTGGTGAGGTGGCGGACGCTCAGCGGCTGGTGTGTGCGGAGGGTCCGGAGGGTACGGAGTGTACGTGACGTGTTCTGGAAAGGGGGCATGTTGTCGTCGATTTCGGATCTAGAAAAGGAATAGGTCCAAAAAGGAAGGGAGAGAGACCCTCATTGATTTTGATATAAGACAACCGAGACCTCGGTCAACATGGCCGATCGGTAGAGCGGAGAGCATATTTGGTATATCGGCTATATGGGGGCGGCTGCCTGAGGCAGTGACCCCGCATTTGTTTCCGATCTACACCTTCCATGTTTTTTTTTAGATCGGAGGCCCTCATTTTTCACATCAGTTGAAACAGGCGTTCGAGGCCTATGTTCATCAGCAAGTACTAACAATAGTAAGGCAAATAACATTTGAGGTATTGAACCGAAGGGAGCGAATAGGATTAGTGGAAAGTGTTATGCCGTGCATCAGAATCGTACCACATATATATTGCCCCAGTTTGGAACATAATTTCCATAGGAAGCGATGGCGAATATGATCGAGATGGCAGAGATAACTAAGTTCATGACCAGCTGACTTCTTCCACCTGGAACCCCAACAGCTTCTTTAGGTACAACATCCATGGGATGAAGCCAGCATAGATTATGCTCGCATGAATCAGAGGTCATGTTTGAAGTCAAAGTGAAAAGCCTCGGCGATAAGTGGAGACCCGAACGGTAATGCACTGCACCTTTCTCTATGAGGGGAGATTTAGTATGGCATCTATATATACCAAATCGCCACACGGGCATGCATATGCTTCAGATAAGCGCACCCAAAGCTCTATCACCAAGGCAATACAAACAATCAAGTAAGAAACAACACACCATCCAGCTCCAGTCTTCTCTCGTCAATGTGCCCAAATTTACCCCTCTTCTTCCGTCTTCCGTTCGCGGGCTTTGCGAGTCCGCCGGGTAATCACATACCAGGAGGCTAGTATGAGGAGGGTCAGCGGCACCGCTAGGACGACAAAGATCCAGAACTGCTTGGAGATGGTAAAGCCGCCCTGGCATCCGCCATCGAAGTCGAAAAGGTTCATCCCGAGAATTGACTAGGGCTTGATCAGTTAAACTAATGTTCAATAACGAGAAGGACAGTGCAACTCTCAGGTCGTCTCAAGGGATATAGAGAGACGTAGATAGCAGAGAAAGGGAAAGAGGAAGGGGCTACAAGGGTCCGGAAAATGAGCTGGAAGACTCACAGACACAAAGCTCGCAGGGAGATAGATCAGCGCGACTAGCGTCATGGCTTTCACTGTTGAGCTATCGTCGAATGACTCGGTGCCCAGCTTGAGCATCTGTCTATGCACCTTGAAATTCACGGCGACGGAGAGCTGTGCATGCCATAAGAGCATCAAACCTGATGGTTAATGGTTCGGTCGACAGATTGTTGGATAGGGGAAGAGCGGAAACTTGTTGAGATCTTGGTTGGTGGGTGGATCAGACGGTGCCCTTTATTCTCTTCTCTACGTACCGAATTTGCAATTTCTTGCAGCTCATCCTCCAAGAATCGCGCCCGGTGGAGGCTAGCCGTCAGATCGGCCTCATAACTGAAAATTCACGATGCAGCAACCGACCCACATGGCTAAGCTTCTGGACTGTCTGCAACGTGAGCCGTACAGCCAGGGAAGCGACTTTACAGCCGATGTTATGGGGATCACGAACAGAGCGACGCTGGATCTCTTCGTCATCATCGTCGTACAGAGGTAGCATATGCACGAGCTTGCGCTGTACCTCCATATGCAAGACACTAGCACGGCGTTACAATTCGTGTTCTCATTACCTTCCCAGGGAATCTCGCTGGCACGAGGCAAAGAGAAGCGCGAAAAGCAGAGTGAGGGAGAGAAAGCGATAGAGAAAGACAGAAAGAAAGGGAGAGAGGGAGAAAGAAAGAAAGAAAGAAAGGGGGTTCGTAAATCACGTGTATCAAGTACATGCAGGAGGGCGAAGAGTGAAGTGTATAAGGACGCTGGAGTCTCGTACCGCGTTCATAATTTCCTCCCCAAGATGGGCGATGTACGGTCTCCAATTCCTGACATACGCAGCCAGAATCATCCGAGGCAGCATGCACCAATCCGTCAGGCAGTCGTAGTGTGCGGCATGGGTTGCCACAAACTGCTCCATCGATTGCTGTAACAGTGAATTGGAGTGTATATTCAGCACGATCTACAGGTTCTCGGAGTTGGTCAGGTCTAGGCGCTGGAAGACGGCGACGTGGCGGGGTACCCATCCCGGGAAATTGGCTTTCTTTGGCGCATACTCTGGGTAGGTGAGTGGGTAATGCGTGTCTTGGCCACCATAGTCAGGGTTAGCTGCATGGTGCAGGAAGTTGGGGGTGGAGAGGATAGTGGATAATGTTAGATAGGCAAGCCTGAGGCCAGATAGGGGACAAACGCACCGATGCATCCGTCCAGTCGTGGCCGGATGCGCATTACCCCGCGGCCCGCATCAGCGCTTGTGGGCCTGCCTCCAAAGAGATGCGCCAGATCGAGAAAGGCTGGATCAATCTTATATACATCAAGCAGGACCTGAAACGTGGATTCGGTGATGGCGAGGGGTCTAATAGCAATCGGAGAGGAAATAGATCTGATCAAAGATTAGAGAGGTAGAAAAGAGGGAAGTTTTTTCTAAGATCAAACTCATGGGAGAGTGGTTTACACTATACGGAAACGCGGCTTTGGTGTTGTGGTGATATGTCGTCGAATAAATGGCTGTCATTGAAGACAACCGGTTGCTTGTTGATGGTGTCTGCGTCAAACACATATATGTTGGTCTTTTCCGGACTGGCGAGAAACGCACGGCTCGGATGGTATGAAACTGATTGACAGGGAACAGACGGTTGTGTTATGGACGACATTGAAAAGGAAAGGAGTCTTGCGAGGATAGCAGGGTAGACAAATTTGTGCACAGGGATGGCTTTCGCGACAAATGGAGAACAAATGCTCAGATTATAGCTTCTTAGATTTATGGGGTTTCATTGCAAGATAAAATGGATAAAATGGGTAGAGGATAGCCGCCGCAGCAACATCGGTGCCGCAGCTATAGGGGCCTACAAGGCTCTACGGGTCAGCCTTGCCGCAGACACAGCGGGAAAAGTAAAAGGAAGATACTCTATTGTCTCTGGACACAGCAAGTTGTAAGTCATGGTAGGCATTATTACGAGGAGAGGGCGTGAAGCTCGCGGCGGTGCGAGGTGATTTGGGCGCGTAGACCGGGAAAAACCGCGATTCAAGCGTCCAGATTTATCCAAAGCGCGAGGAGAGGGCCTTCAAGTCCGTCCAGTCCTTTGGTATGGAAAATGTGATGCGCCTCTGCAGGTGGAGACAACATTTTTGTTTCCGAACAAAAAGATCCCGGCTTGCGGGGCGCTGACGTGGTTGGCGGCGAACGGCGGGGGAATGAAGGTACGGTAGTTTACGCGCCCTTGAAAGTGGCTAGGGAAACTGTCACTGGCACTACTGCAGAATCCCCCTGTCACTTGCGACACACAAATCCCAGTCACAACGAATCAGATCCTACTGCTCACAGCCACTGGTCTATCAATTTCCCTTGATGTTGATAGAAGGCCGTGGCGAGCTATTCGCAAGGCTGACTGCGAGTCTGTAAGCCTTGTGTCTCGCAGGCGTTTGGAGGATTCGAGGATTAACGCCTTGAAGAAATGGGCCATTTACATCCACTGTCTCCCCCGGCGAGGACAAGGACGGCCCGAAAGAAATAGTGGAGCAAATCCTCCGCTTTGATCATCTACGAAATGCGAGTTCAGTCCACGTAGACCCCAGCGTAAAGCGAAAATTCTACTTATAAACATTTCGGAGGCCGCACGCAGATCTGTCACAGGCTGACAAAGGGTGAACCTCACTCCACAAGGCAGTCCACAAGAAGGATCGGTTTTCGGCACTGTTTTCTCAATATGGGCGTCGAGTTCCGATTCTTGGAAGTGTCCAAAGAACGGGTAAGCGTTCATATATAGAAGATTTCAATCCGATTTCCGCGAGAAACGAGCCCTAAAACCTAACAGTGCACCACCTGAGAGCAGAACGCTTCTTAAAAAGAGAAAGCTCAAGTCACGCTTGAGATTGTGCTGACTTGCAGCATGAAATTACGTTCATAAAACCTCAACATCCTCTATTGCTACATCGTATAACCGCATATGTGCCAAGCAGGTCAACAACTCTGTGCTTGGCGCTCGCTATGGGCTTGTCGAGTCTTTATTTCGCGCTCAGACGCGTCCGGGAAGAACACACTACATCATCGCGGGAGGAATGGGTCGATAGAAGACGCTCCAGTCAGAAACAGGACCTGCGCTTTGCATGTCCCCGATCTCTAAGACTCGAGAGAAAACGCAGGCTTCATTGCCCTGGTCTGTTGGTTCATTCGCGCCCGCGCCATTGAGTCTTTGAGAGGGTCAAAATACAGACTCCCAAGGGACAACTAGTCAATCCCAAGCGAACAGCTCGCAAGGTGTTCTGAAATTGTGACAGCCATGACTATTTTATAGAAGAACAATATGAAGAAATCACACATTTCCAAGTATACACTCTGTATAGAACAAGTTGATTTCTAATATCCGGGGTCGGCCTCAACTGCCGAATTAATAATAGACGGAGCCGTGGAATTACGCGATCCGCCCCCCACTTGGCGTGGACTGGCGTCATTCCGCGGTTATTAATTCTCCCCGCAACCCCTCAACTTTCCACCTTTCTTCCCCTCAACAAACACCATCGCCAAAACATTCACAAACTCAGGAAAATGTCCCCCAAGATCACCCTCTACACCAACCGCCTCTGCCCCTGGGCTCACCGGGCGCACATCGCCCTCATCGAGCTGGGCATCGACTACGAGGAGGTGACCATCGACCTGGACACCCCGCGTGAACCATGGTATCTTGAAGTCAACCCGGTACGACCGCTTCCTTCCTTACACTATCCCCCGAATCCCCTCACTAACACCCTTCAAGCGCGGTCTCGTCCCCGCCCTCTCCTACGACGGCACCATCATCCTTGAATCCGCCATCATCGCCCAGTTCCTCGTCGACGCCTACCCCTCCCACATCCTGCCCCCCTCCAACACCCCCGAGGGGGCTCTCAAACGCGCCCGCACCACCTTCTTCGTCGACACCTGGGCCAACAAGGTCTCGAGCCTGTACCACGCCACCCTGCGCGCCAGCGACGCCGACCGCCAGGCCTCCAGCGACGCCTTCGTCGCCGCCGTGAAGAAGGAGATCGAGCCGCTGATCTACCCCGCCCACACCGCCGGCCAGGGCCCCTACTTCGAGGGCAGCGAGAAGCTCACCTTCGCCGAGGTGCTGCTGGGCTCGTTCCTGCTGCGCCTGTTCTCCCTGGCCAAGCCCGAGTACGGGCTGTTCCCCGCGGACCTGGTGCAGACGCTGGAGAAGGAGACGCCGAACTTCAAGCGGTGGGCGGAGGCGACGATCGCGCACCCGAGCGTCAAGGCGATCTATGATGAGGAGAAGGTGGCGACGCGCACGGTGCGGAGATATGGTCAGAAATAGGGGGTGCGGGATGGGGTGCGACGCCAGGAGGGGAGTCGGTTGTAGTGTGCACTGCAGGATTGGGGTATTTGTGTGTAGGATCAAGGTTCGGCAGAACCGGGAAAGTCAGTCTGGAGGTTCCCGGTTGCTCCGTGATGTAACCTTATCGTGCAGCCCGCTAAATATGCATTACTTCATTGATGACCTCAGTTGCGTCGGCGGTGGTCGGTGCTATTTATCTTGCATATGATAAGAAAATGTATAAACAATTGTCGTCGGTCGGGTGGTGAGTAACACAGGGCAGAGTTTCCGCAAAATGAAGTCCAAACCACCCAGCGTGATTATCGTCGGTAGGCTACCATTTCTCTCCCATTTGTATTACATTTCTTCTTTAACATCATGTAGGTGCAGGCGCCGGCGGAATAGCGACCGCCGCCCGTCTGGCGAAACGAGGGTACCAAGTGACGGTGGTCGAGAAGAACGACGCCGTCGGGGGACGATGCTCGTTGATCGAGGAGAATGGCTACGTTCGTTTCCCAACCTGCCCTCAATCAAACGACCACTAATGAAATCGTACAGCGCTTCGATCGCGGCCCCTCCCTCCTGCTCATGCCCGAATACTTCGAAGAAGTCTTCGCCGCCCTCGACACGACCATGGCCGCCGAGGGGGTCGAGCTGCTGAAATGCAACCCGAACTACCGCATCTACTACGCCGACGCATCCCCGCCCCTCGACATGTCCACCGACATGGCAGCCATGCAATCCGTGGTTGAGGCGCACGAAGGCCGATCGGGCTGGGAGCGGTTCCTGCAGTTCCTGGTGGAGGCCGGACGACACTACAACCTCTCGCGACAGCATGTGCTGTACTCGAACTACCCACACGTGTGGAGCATCGTGAAGTCGGGGATGATCCGCAACACGTTCCGACTGCATCCGTTCACGAGCGTGTACGCGCGGGCAGCGCATTACCTCAAGTCGGAGCGGTTGCGGCAGGCGCTCACGTTCGCGAGCATGTACCTGGGGATGAATCCGTTCGAGGCGCCCGGGACGTATTCGCTGCTGCAGTACGCCGAGTTCGTGTATGGGGTGTGGTATCCGCGGGGTGGGTTTCGACGGGTGAGTATGCCTACTAGTACCCCTACCACCTTCCTTCCTCAATAATCTACCTACCTACTAACCTGGCTCGCCAGCCCTAACTCCCCTCATCCACTTCCGTGCAAATACTAACAGAGCAAAGGTCCTCGACGCAATCCACGCCATCTCGACCCGCCACGGAGCGACCTACCGTCTCAACACGCCCGTCTCGCACATCACCCTCTCCGCCGACCAAAAGACCGCCACCGGCGTCCAACTCACGACCGGCGAGACCCTCACCGCGGATACGGTCATCATCAACGCCGACCTGATCTACGCCTACAACCACCTCCTCCCACCAACCGCCTACTCCGCCTCCCTGACCCACCGCGAAACCTCGTGCAGCAGCATCAGCTTCTTCTGGTCCTTCAACACAACCCTCCCCCCCCTGGAATCACACAACGTCTTTTTAGCAGCAGAATACAAAGAAAGCTTCGACGCGATCTTCCACGAAAAGCACCTCCCCGCCCACCCAAGCTTCTACCTCCACGTCCCCAGCCGGGTCGACCCGATGGCCGCCCCGCCCGGCTGCGACGCCGTCGTCGTCCTCGTCCCCGTCGGCAACCTGGACCCCTCCCCGTCCGCCCCCCCACACACGGCCACCCGAAAATCCCGCCCGGAATACTGGGACACCGTCGTGGCCCAGCTCCGCGAAACCATCCTGACAACGCTAGCGCAACGAACCGGCGTGCCCGACCTACGCGCCCATCTCGTGCACGAACGCCTAGAGACCCCGCTGACCTGGCGCGAGAAATACAACCTCGACCGCGGCGCGATCCTGGGTCTGTCGCATTCGTTCTTTAATGTGTTGGGCTTCCGGCCTAAGGTGCGCCATCCTGATATTCGGGGGCTGTTTTTTGTGGGGGCCAGTACGCATCCTGGGACGGGGGTGCCGGTTTGTTTGGCGGGGAGTCGGATTGTATCTCAGGAGATTATTGGGGACTTTGAGGGGGGGAGGGGGTGGGGGTGGGATGGGGGGGTCGCCCGGGGTTTGGGTTTGATGGTGGTGGTGGTGGTGGTGGTGGCGGTGTTGTTGTTGGGGGGATTGGTTTTGGGGGTGGGGTGGCCGCCGGTTTGGTTGTGGTTTAGGTTTGTTTGAGGGGGATTTATCAGTTCTGGTGTTGGGATTTGTGCTTGTGTATGGGAGATAATCTAGTACGCGTCGAAGCCAGCATAGTAACTTTCATACAACAGATCTCGCTAAAAGAATTAACGTCTAAACAAGTTTGTTCATGACCCGGCCTTTGCCCCTAGCTGCACGCCACTACAACATCCCCAGCCACGCCACCCGCAGCCTCCTCCCCACCGGCAAGCGCATCTTCCGCGCCGTCCGCAGACTCTCCCCCCGCCGTTCCCGCAGATACCGCCCAATCTCCATATAGCTCTCCACCGTCGTGCGCACCGGCCCTCGTATCCCGGCCGGCAACTCTTCAATCGCCCCCCTCGCCTTACCGTACAGCCCCTCCGCCTTGTCCAGCAGCCTCGCCTGCATCGCGTACGCCGCCGGCGACCGGGGATTCACCAGGATATCCGCCGGGGTGAGCCCGGCCTCGGCCAACCAGGTCGTCGGGATGTAGACGCGCCCGATGGCCGCGTCGCGGTGGATGTCCCGCGCGATGTTGACACACTGCAGCGCCTTGCCCATCTCGCGGCCGGCGCGGGCCATTGCGATGTGGTTGTAGAGCTGGGATTGGTTGTAGTGGTGGTGGAGGAGGTCGAGGACGAGCTCGGCGACCGTGCTGGCGACGTAGGTCGCGTAGCGGTCGAGGTCGTGTTCTGTTGCTATTGGGGAGATGACCCTGTCCTTTTCCGTGGACTTTTCTGTGGACTGAGCGGTGAACGCAAGGTCCATTCCGAAACCCTTGAGGAGGTCGTAGAGGGGTTGCGTGGTCATTCGGGAGAGCGGCAAGGTAGCTATTGCGCGGTGCAGGAGGGCCTGCTTGGTTTGATCGTACGGGGGCTTAGGGCTCGCCCAGCGTGCCTGTTCCTTCGGGCGGATCCGCGCGTCCAGACACCGCTGGCACTCTGCGATCCAGAACTGTGCTTCCCCCGCGTCTTCGGCTTCGTCGATGAGATCGTCGATCACGCGGCAGAAGGAGTATCTTGTTTCTGTTAATGGTGTTCACTGCGGGGGCAATGGGTAAGGGGAGGCGTACACGTAGATCAAATCCACCCGCACCGGGCCCTGGAACAGTGCACTCCCCACGAACATGCTCTGGCTCTTCTCGTGCAGCCGTGCGACCGCCTGCTGGAGGTCGGTGATCACTGAGGCGTGAATGGCCGGGGGGTGGATCATCGCCTGCAGGACGTCCTTCACCGCATCGCGCGTCGTGCCCGGCGCAACACCTGTGCAGATGGTGGTGTAGTCGGCCATCGCGCAGGCGTAGTCGAACCCAACCAGGCCGAATACGATCATCACGTTCGTCACGAGGAAGAAGAGCATTTCCCTGCGGGTTTCTTAGCTTACACATCGACAATGGAAATGATGAGGGGGAATACTCAATCTCCAGCCCGAAAACATGAACCCCCAATTGCGTTGCGGGTGCAATCGACCACACCCCCGCGGCCATGGCGCTGCGATCTGCGACCCACAAGTACACGGTCGGAAGGACGATTGGAAGGGTGGTCACTTTCCACGGAAGACTGAGGATGAATGGGGCGACCAGCATCCTGACCAGCGTTAGCCCTCACTATGATCGATGCCTGCCTGCAGGAGCAGAGGAAGCCACCCACCATTGAAGAAAAACAACCGGCAAAGCCCAAATCAGAATCAACCCAAAATACGTCCCTCCTCCCGCTGATACAAAACAAATCATCCCGATCGCAAACGACGCGACCATCCCCACTCCCCCCAGATCCCGTGCCCGCCGCACCGGCTGCACGGGCAGGTACATGGGCAGCACCCACGCTTTGGAGCAGATGCAGTACACCAAGCCCGTGATGGAGGTCTGCAGGACGAAGAAGGCAACTTCCTCCAGCGGGATGTCGTAGAAGGTTCGGTTGAAGGTGGCGTCCGGGGGGTAGGACCAGATCCCGTGGCGGATCAGGTAGGAGTCCCATGGTATTGTGGCCATTACCGCTAGCTATCATCCATCAGGTTTCGTTTTGAAGGCAAAGGGGGCAGAGGGTGGGGGTACAATATTCAGAAATGCGATCTTGCAGATGTCTCTCCGTGTAAAGAACGGGTAGTAGAATATCGTTAGTAGGGCTGCGACCGGGATGGTGTAGGTGCAGTGGCTGGTTCATATACGCGTTAGCGGTATTGTCTAATGGTAAGACCGACACTCACAATAACAGATACTGAGCCCCCATGATGATCGTGTAGCTGGTCCTTTACAGCAGAGGCAGTGGTGTTGATCCCATAAATACAAGGCGGTAGGCGGTGACAAGTGTGACAGTGAATTGTTGGCGTCATTGATGTGCGGTGATGCAAGGTCGCATCCATGCGGCAAGGATTGGGGCTGGACGCCGGGTAAGACCGTGCCCGTTATTAGTGCCCGTGCCCTGACTCGCGCTGCCTGCTTGCGGGTACGCCGGCGGGAGTGGCTATCACCCAATCTTGAAATCTACGGATTTCGGTCAGCAGAACCAAGCGCAATCGCTCGAAATCCGGGAAGCGAATCTCTGGTCTTGGTCTGGGAAAGTAAGAGTGAGAATCCGGGGAAGAAGCGTGCGATGTGGAGTCTCGTTAGCATGGCTCAGAGCTTGTTGATGTGGGAGCAGGAGGGATTCCCCACTCTCTTCAAGGTTCAAGGTTCAAGGTTCAAGGTAGGTCAAGTCAGACTGTCAGAGAGATCCGTGGTCGGTCCAGCCAAGGCGCTGACTGGGTGGCCGAATGTACCGGCACGCCGTTACTTCCAGGTGGATGCCGAGATACTTGATACTTATTCTGAGCACGTAGCTTAAAACCTGCGACGCCGGATTCCGTTGCTCGGGTTTAGGGCAGTGGCAAAGGAGGTGGACGCGGGATAAACTGAATCTTGGATTGTCGTGTCTTGGCTGCCATGATGGAGTATTATCGTTAGTTGATACCATGCTCGACTCAATGGTCTCATGTTTGCCTGACGGAACCAACACCTCTTGCTCGTGTTGGTCACCCGCGTCTGTCATTCACTCAGTCGCTCATGGTCCATCCAGTATCTTTTGTGACTTGTTGGCGATTATAGTGGAGTCAGTCATTGCGCCATTTATGCACGATGCTAGCAGGCTGTGGTGGGTAATACCTGCATCAGTGAGCTGGCACCTGGCTCAAGATTAGAGCCTTGGTGGTTCGGGCCATGAAATAATGACATACAAATTTCCTGCGGGTATTGTCATAGTGGATTGTGCAGAGATGATGCCAAGCCTGTTGCACCTGTCATGCTGACTTGACCCCCGAATCGGGTTTGTGCGGACGATCGCAATGTAACACGAAATGGGACTGTGCACTTGACGACCAGAAGAATATGTATAGCATAGAATGCGAAAGGTCTCATGCGTATTGACTACAGGCCCTTGCTTCCATAGTATTCCTCGTAGGCAGGGTTTCATGCGCCGGCGGCTAGTCCCAGTTGATGGCGTTGATTGCTTACAAGGTGACACATATATCTGGGCGACGATTCCCAACAATCGATCAGGTTTTAACAGAAGGAACCCATCCAGCAAATTTGCTATTGCCTGATCTAGACACCGAGAACAGTCTACACTAGGAAATCCTCTAACAGCAACCCAGGCAGAATGCATTCCCTCCCCGTCCACCAAGTTCCCATCGACACTCCACCCCCATCCGAGATCCTCCAATTGCCCGCAGGCGAGAAGGGCTACCACTGGATCCTCTCCGATGCGGAAAGAAAGCATATCGCAGAGATGCTCGACGTGAAGGGTACGTCCCCACTTATCACTTTCTTTAGCGCCATCAATTCAAGATCCGCTCCTCAGCTTGGGAACTCAAACTGCATCACATCAAGACAAATCCCTCCTCACTCTGCGTGGCAACAGCATGATGCGAGAGCGTGCCGTCTGCTCCGGCTGCGGCAAGCACTGCGGCCTCGACGACCTCGTCCACAATGCTCTGTATGCCGGCATCCACGGCAAGGCGTTCATGTTGGACGTACTGGTGCACGGACCTAAGGCTGATAGTCCTGGGCATGAGATCACTTGCTCCGGCTGTGGGCTTGTCCATGATGGCTTGTTCATGTGGATTCCAGCTCTATCCTGGCCCCGGTGATGCTGAGTTGATAATCATGGCTCTGTTCTTAGAAGACTGGCTAAATTGATGGACTCTATATTTACGTTATGTTACTCGTCAGACCGGATGAATAATCACTTCAATTTGCCAGGTATATATTGGTATTCGGTTCCTATTGGGTATGTAGTTCTCTCGGTCGTACGTAGTCGAGACCCTAATCAACAGTGATCCTCACACTCCGACTCACAGTCGGTCTGACAGCCGTCCCATCCTCGCGCGTGCCGGCGATAACTTAGCAACTGTCGCTCAGTCAAATGATCTGGCCAGCTACTGTACCAGTCCAGGAACTCGGGGATGGAGTCAAAGCGCGGTCTGCGCCCGTACAGCTGTTGCGGCTCCCAGGGGTCGCAGTAGTTCACCTCCATGAAGACAATCCGCCATCCCCATTCACCAATATTGGGCGAGTCTGGGACATCATCATTCCACCTCATCTTCTTCTGTTCATCATCCCCAACTCTCTCCTCACCCTCTTCTTCGTCGTCATCCGGATATTTCCGACAGTAGAGGTAGGCACTATACCACTGGGGCCACTGCCCCTGATACCCTTCTTGCCCAGTGAGAACCCCAGCCTTGACCTCCAGATCGCAATCCACATCAGCCACAATCGTCGCCCTACCAAATAGCGACGACTGATAGCTGGTGAGCTGTTCCAGCGACTGCCGCAGATGCTCGCACTTTGTGCGTACACACTCATGGTACCGATCTTCACGCTCGTGCCGCTGCCGTCGACCCTCCTCGTCCTCGTCCTCCTCACCCTCACCCTCCACTCCCTCCCCAGTTCCCTCCAACTCCTCATCCTCAAAACGGATGTACAACCCAGCCTCAAACTCCGCAACCCCGGAGTGCCGGAAATCCGGATCCCGGACCTCGTGCGCGTACCGCAGGAACCGGCCCAACTCCTCGCACCGCGGGATCACCCCGGGATGCTCGCTCCCTTCCTTGGCCGCCCGCGCCTCCGCCTGCCGCTGGAACACCCCCTGCAGCATATCCAGGTAGATCTGCCGCGCGGTCTCAGTGCGCAGTCGCGTCGGGTAGACCCCGTCCATGCGCCGGTCGGGCACGGCGTCCTCGTCCACCATCTGGAGGTAGGGCTTTCCCTCGTCCCAGCGGTCGGGCGCTGGATTCCAGTCGCAGTGGCGCCACTCCGCCATGCGCTGGATCTTCGTCTGGTCGGGGGCGCTGGAGTCGCGGGTTTCGATCTCGGCGATGCGGGATTGGATGAAGGCGCGGTTGGCGGTACGCATGCGCGCGCGGAAGCGGGTGAGGGCGGAAAGCATGGCTGGGTCGGGGTCTGGGTTGGTGGCTGCAGGTGGGGTTGCATCTGGGATAGGAGAGAAATGGTCGGACATGATCGGTAATGGAATAGGGTTGGGTTCTCGATGAGGAAAGACACGCGCTGTGCAGTGCATAGAATGTGATCACGGGTTGGGCGAAATAGAATTCAACATTGCGCCTTCATTGCAAGCATACATGCACTATCGAGAGGTATTTAAGCGCTACCTGCCATTTGTTCCAGTGGCATGTCTGAACTCTTTTTTCTTTAGTGGTCAAGTTGTGCGCGCTAGGGTGGATCGACTACGGGTTCCAGGGTGGGGCGGCTAAGCACCGATTCACAGGTATGTACCAGCATTGCACGGGGTCGCATGGAGGAGATCTGACTGTCTGATCGCACCTATTTGTCTGGCAGTTAGTCTGGTTGATTGCAGAGTGCACAGTACGGTTGAACATAGCATTCAGGGCAATCCTGCCAAGAGGTAGCCAAGAGTTCTCAGGCAGCCACGTCGCTGCCTAGCTCAAACTTCATCTACACTATTTCTGCCCTAGGCCTCCACAGCCCTAGGCCTTCAGGACTTCTTCTTGCGCTCTCCGAGGCTTGGCCCTCTAACAAACATCCAATAAAGCTGACGCTTTTGACACACGAAGTACAGTAGCCTGTGATGGAAAATGGAGTGCACGCGAGATGCTTCGACCTCCCCACTTGCTACCGAAATTGGAGATACCTAGCCCGTTCAAGAAGATTGAGTCTCCGAAGTTCGGTCCACTCCACCAGGTCTCCTGCATTGCAGTGCGGACTCGTCGCGTCTTGAGGCTTCAAACCACCCCACGTACTTGCCTCTGTCAACCTGCATGGTATCGTCATCTCTTCCGAAACTCCAAGCCTAATGAGGCTTATCTCAGACTGGTCATGCTTGTACCACTAATTTCTGAAGAGGAGCTCTGGCCGGGTAAAATTCTAATATGTGTTCAATGTGATTCTAGTCCGGACCTCGACGACGACGACAAGCGCGCGATAGCCAGGGGATAGTGTTAATTTGTGCAGGTCTCTACCCCTTCGACTCTCTATCCGCTAAGACTCGTCTGATCTTCTCCTGCAGGGGGAGTGGGTGGAAAGCGAGACTGTGGCCGATGAATCGCACCAAGACATGCTCTGATGCAAAGATGAGCTGCTGTCGATCAACACGTCCGCGACGTGTGAAAATAGCAACCCCTTTAGATCTGGAAACCCGAGAGTAAACCTATCCTCTACGGTCGTGGTTCTGCACCTTTCATAGTCATACCATTGCCGTACCCCTCTACCCCCGGCAGTCGCGTATAACCCTCCATCATCCCAAAATTCCGCCTGGAATCCTCGCCACCCGAAGAAATTCATTTGCTCCCCCCGTGGGTTGACACGAACACTTTCGAAACTACACCCATGAAAACCAAAGCATTGCCCGCCCCTTGCGCTACAGCACCACCGGCAACGACCCCATCCCCAGATCCCCACCGCGAGCCCTATTCCCCACCCGAAACCACCCACCTGATGTCGGTCTACTACCTTGAACCCGCCAACTTCCGGTCCCTATCGATGACGCGCTAGGGTCAGGTGCTCCTCGACGCCAAGCACCAGGTCTTCCCCGTGATCGACCAAGAAGCCCCGAATACCGGGCGCATTGCCCTGTACTCCTTCCAGTTAAACGGAGAGATAGCGGCCTCGACGCGCCTGCAGCCGTGGCCCATGGGGGCTGAGATGCCCTGGTGTGCATGCAAGGCTGGAAGGTACACCGGTTGATCGACGAGCATCCTTACTACCATTGCGGCCTGATCCGTACGTTGTCCTTTCATTTCCTTTCCTCTGTTTACCTGCAGCTCCCTGGAAGAAATAGCAAGCTACAACGCACTACTATGTACCTCTAACCTCTCCTGCCAGACTCCACATGGACCTGTCATTGCTCGACATCGTCGACTTCGTCCGGCAATAAGGAGACTTACGGCTCACAGATTACTATCTAGAAGACTGGGCGCGGCAGGTGGGAATGCTCGCTCCGAGGTATCCCGCACTAGGAACTTAGGGCTTGGAAGCGGAGTATGAGTTGACATGCTTGGCGGATGATCTGGAGAATTAAGGATTCAATTGATTCTTTCCCTCTTTGTCCCTTGCTCCAAGAACACCGCTGTTCTGGGGTCATGCCATTTGGGAAGATGGAGGCTCTTTTAGACTTGCTCATTGCTCAAGCCAGCTCCTTTGTTGTTCGAGGGAGGGAAGGTTCAGGCTAGCTGAAAGGACTACTTCATCGTGGTGTAACATGTCATGCTGCCACAAACCTTCTCTCCCTGACCTGCCACAGTCGTAGACAGAGGTCTCCGCTATATATGGCCGGCGTGAGAGAAACCTGGCAAATCAAGCCTTGTGCCCAGCCTCGCCAAGGGTCTACCTGGGCACTGGTGATGGCTGGGCATTCCGACCTAGACATCCGCCAGAGTCGTCCGGTTCTCGGTCTTGCCACCATACAATATATCCATTTCGGAAGTGACCCTGCAAGATATACCTATCAATCACCAGCAATTCATGAATGCTAGATCTGGGGAAGTGCACCTCGTGCTTATGCGATAGTACCAGTCCGACGTAGGAGGGCGCGAGAACAACTTCCACAAACGAATGTATCTACACAGTATCAACTGTATATCAGAGCCAATATAGTTCACCTGCCCACTAACAAACAGTCCTGATCAGCACTCCCGCCCACCACCACCCCTTGCGACAAGAACAACACCAGACCACCGCCCCCCAATCCCCCACTACACAGATACGAGCTTCGACGGAGGCAGTGAAATCGTGTTCCGACCCGGTGGATCAGGGTCTCGGCAGCCCCCCCAACGTCATTGTCCTCGGGAAGCCGACCCAAGGTTCCAGCCCAGAATACGAACATGGTCTCTAAATATGACAGCCCGCAGATCTGGTACCCAGGTACATTACGGGACCCGCAGCTTTCCACTACTGCAATCTCTGATGCGGCTTAAAATAGTATCGCGGGTGTATAGTCCGACCCGAGGATGATCACCTGCCGGGCTCGTATCGCTGTCTGGAGGAATTTTGATCCCATCCCGAGCATTGACTTCGCGTGGAGATGGGATGGGGCCCGTGATTCTGCTAGAAGCGGAACACGAGGTCGGAGATCTTGATGAGAACTGAACGGGATTCTGGAGAGGAATATCGGCGCGGGCTGTGTTGTGCCAAGATTCGCCAAGGGGTGTCGTGGACGTCATTATTCAGAGTAGCAGCGGGACGGGGGTTTACTATGCGCGAGGTATAGAGCTCATAGTAGGGTTGGGAAGATAAATAGCGCCTTCGCTCTCGCCGATCTGTCTCCAAGCTCTATACGACAGCACATCGCAAAGACACTCGCAAAGCTACATCGATCATATCAGACCTAACCTAACACAAGGCTACTGTTCAAATCGCCATGCATTTCTTCACCCTGCTCCTCCTGGCCTACGCCGCCCTCACCGCCGCCGTGACCTGCGACGTCCGCGGCCAGGTCCACAACTACTTTGACTGCTTCAAGTGCCCCGCCCTGGCCTGCGGGTACAGCAAGCGCACCTTCATCACCAAGGGGCTCACCCGCGACGTCAGCTGTCTGTGGACGGACGGCGAGCGGTACAAGGGGATCAAGTACGCCACCCCTCGTGTCTGACCCATCGTGCGTTTGTGGCTCCCGCTGACGCTCAATGCAGCAACTGGTACTATGTCCCGACCGACAAGTGCTATATCTGGGGCGGACGGATCGATACCAAGCACTGCAAGGGAATCTGTAAGTCATGGGTCCCATTCCTCGGTTTGAAAGGTGGGAAGGCCGTGGTGAGGGCACTGACGTCGCGTAGCCAAAATCCCCAAGTGCGAGCCCTGCACGCCTCAGCCTGGCGCGCCGCTGCCTCTGCCCGTGGCCCCTCCTCCGCCGGCTGCTGCCGCGGCGGCGGCGGCTGGGGTCAGCGGTGGCAGTCCGGGTGGTCGGCGGGATGTAGAGGTGGAGAGGGATGTGGAGGTGGAAAGGGACGTGGAGGTGGAGTTTGAGGCGTAAGCTGATGTGGGGAGGGTTGTGAGGGAGTATGGTGGACGTAGGCAGGGGAAGTGCTTTGTAGGGTTGATGGTTAGGGTGAAGGGATGTGGGATATGAACTCCGGGAGACTGTAATGTGCTTGTTCTGAAAAGCTGCTCCTCGTTGTCTGGGTTTGATATTGACTCTTATTCTTGTATCTTAATCATTGGGAGTTAAACTTTCGAATGAAATCTACCGAACTTCACTCGTCAACCATGAGCACACCCTCTGCCCTACAAGACAATCTCCACCAGCTTCGCCGGCTCCTCCCCCCCCCTCGGCGGGGTGATATGCCCCCCATTCGTCGTGACAAACAACCGCCGCCCATCCCCTGAAACCACCCCGGACGTACACCCAGCCACCAGGGCACTATCTCTCGCCCCGGCCAGCACCGACCGTCCCCCATCCGCCGTCACTCTAACCACCTGATTATCCGCCACAGCCATCAAATACAACCCGCCATCCTCCGCGACCGCAAAATCATCCACCACGACCTTCTCCGCCACCGTCTCCACCGCGCCCGCCGCTCGCACGGTCTGCAAGGAATCATCCCACCCCACCGGGACCCGAAACACCGCCTGCGCAGCGTCAGTCGAGTAGTAGACGAAGCCGCGCCACACGCGCACCCCGTTCACGCCCAGCCCCAACGGATCCGCCGGCGACGCCGCCATACTCGCCGTATCGTTCAGCGCCACGCCGTACGTTCCGGTCTGCGTGTCCAGCTGCCAGATCACCCCGTTCACCGAGTCGGCCATCAGCACGACCCCCGTCCCACCCTCGCCCTTGCCTCCAGACCTCCCGGCCGGGAAGAGAGTCATCCCATTCAACCACCCCGCCCCCGGCACATCCGCTATCTTCCGCACAGACACTGCACCTGACCCACCCGAAAGGTCGACAGAGTATACCCCCCACGACCCCGGAACAGGGTGTCCGATATCCGTGATCTGGAGTCTACCCGCGACGACGGCGTAGACCCCCTCGCGCGCGAGCGGGGTGACTCCCATGCAGGCGGTAGCGTTGGGGAAGGTTGCGACCACTTCCCCCTGGCCGGTGGAGATGTCGATTGTCCAGAGCTCCGGGACGTCCATTCGGGTTACGAGGAGTGTATGGGTGGTGTTGGGGTCTCCGGGGACGGGGGCTGGCCCCGGGGCCAGGTTTTCGAGCCAGGTGCCGTTCGTGCGGTATTGGAATTTTGTGTGCAAGGTTGTGGCGGCTGTGCTGTCCAGAAAAAGGAGGGAGAGGGAGAGGGCTCCCAGGGTTCCCAGGGTGAGGAGGTTGAGGGGGATGTGCATTTTGTGGGATTGGCCGAGGGGTACGGTTTGGGGGATCTCGGGACTGTACTGGGGTGGCTCGGCGGGAGGGGAGGTGCTTAAATAATGAGGTTGCGGGAGCTACGCGGGAAGAACGGGTGATCGACGTCTGCTGGCGGGCTGGCTGACGCTACGTTGCACCCTTGCTTGGCGTGGCTTTGCATGGACTATTGGTGTTGTGCAGCTTGGCGGGTCTAGACGGGCATGTGAATGGTGCGGTTTGGTTGCTTTTTACTGGGAGGTGGTTTCGGATCTATGGGATACTGTGTAGTAGCTGAGTGAAAGCCCTGTTGGATGTGCATCGCCCCTCTCTTTTTTATATACAAGATATAAACAACCACAATATCACTGAAGCATCTACGCGTAGGGCATCTCCTCCTCCCGCAACCGACTCGCCCGCCGCCCCGCGTGCTTCTCCCGATCTGCCGCCAGCGTCTGCGCGAATTTACTCCGCCGCCGGATCGCCGGCCCCTTCCAGTAGAAGATGTAGATCGGCACCGCCACCAGCGCCGCAATGCACCCCAGCAGCGTCGACGCCCACGCCAGGTGAAACTTCCCGCCGATGTTCTCGTACAGCGGCGTCGCGTACATGGTCGCGATGCCCGCCAGGAAGTCCCGCGCGAATCCGTTGCCCCCCGTCGCCGAGGCCGAGTACGGTCCGTAGGCGGCGACCATGTAGTCGATGGTCGCCATGTAGATGGCGTAGTTGGCGATGGCGATCAGACAGGCAAAGATCAACGGGGCGACCCACGGCGCGTAGGCGGGGCCGATCGAGGTCCACGCAAAGCCCAGCAGACCGATCGGTTCGAGGGGTGCGAGGAACAGCAGCAACAGCAGCCGTCGCTCGGCCAGGCGCGCCGCCGAGCCGTGCTTCTGGCGGATCTTCCGCTGGCGCCAGATGTCCGGAAGGAAGATAAGGTACGCGATGATGTATCCCAGCAGGATGGCGCAGAACGCCAGCCCGTTGGTCAGGGTGTTGAAGCACCATTGGTCGAAGACGAGGGTGAACGATTCCGTGAAGGTGAAAATCAACGCATCGGAGAACCCGGAGAGCAGCGACAGAAACAGGACGATGGGCTCGCGCACGAACATCTCGAACGGCCGTCTCCAGATCCGCAGGATCTCGCGCAACTCCAGACGATTCGTCTTGAGCTCGTTCGGTCCGTAAACCGCACGATCCTCGCCTGACTGGCGACGGCGCTTGGCTTCCCTGTCCAGAAGCACGGTGGCGCGGGTCTCCGGCACCAGGAAAAAGTGCAGCACTTGCGTGAAGCCGCCGAAGATTAACTGCACCCAGAACACCCACGGCCAGGTGAGGTACTGGCCGATGAACCCGCCGAAGACGGGCCCGATGGTCGACCCGCCCACCGAGGAGAGCACCACATACGCCACCGCGAACCCCTGATCGTCCGCCTCCCACATATCGGCCGTCATGCCCAGTGTCACCGACCCCCCGGCGGAACTCAACCCGCCCAGGAACCGGCACACGACGATCGTCCCGAAGTTCGGCGCCAGCGCGCACGGGATCTGCCAGATGTTGACCAGGAACAGGCTCAGCTGCATGATCGGCCACCGCCCGAACTCCTCGCTCCAGGGCGCCCACAGCTCGCACCCGAACGCGTACGCCACCAGGAAGATCATCTGGCCCACCCGCGCCGCCTGCGCGCTGACGCCGAAGGTCTCCTCGATGCCCGTGAGGGCGTCCGAGTACACGCCCGTGTTGAAGTTCATGGACATCTGCACCATGAAGATCACGGTTAAGATCGTCCATTTCTTGTACCACGGGAAGGAGAAGCCCAGCTTGTCGTAGCAGTCGTCTTCGCTGAGCTCCCGCTTGCCGTCGGGTTGGGGTTTGCGGGGGAGGGACCCATTGCTCTCGTCGGAGGAACGCTGCGCTGCATGTTCGGTTTGGGAGGTGGTCGGGTGGTCGGATTCGGATTGTCGGCGTTGGGCTTTCTTGTCGTCGGGTGGAAACTCGGTCTTCTTGTCGATTGTTCCTTGGCTTGTGTTGGTTTGATCATCGGATTGATTGTTAGGTTGATAGGTGGGGTGGGTGTCAGGCGTGGTCATTGTGATGAGCGGCGCATGAGATTAGTCAGGCAGTTGTTAGGGTATGACTAGAGCAAGCAGAAAGAGGCATGAAATCAGCGTATAATGCTCCACTGTCAATCAGATAGACAATGCTTAAATTCGCTTGCAATTCTTGGCAGAACGTACGTGGAATCAAGGCCCTTTATACCTGCCGATCTATACTTATTCCCATCCCCATCCCATGCACAAAGTCTTCGCAGGAGTCAGTGGCATGACGTCGCGACAGCACCATCCAAAACATCTCTCAGCAGTGTCGGCCTGTTGATGGTTTCAGGTACGGAAAAGATCTTCTCCTGTCTGGCGTCATAGATTGTAAGGCCTGTCAGCCAACCGTCCCTAGGACGTACCACGGGCGGTGATGCTTGCTTTCACCAGGCATGGTCCACCAGCACGCAACATACTTAGTTTATTGGCCGTATGCCAGACTGGCAATGGTGCAGTGATGTTCCGGCCCTGGTGTGTAGGCCGGCTCTCCGTGCGTGGCAAGCCGGGGTTGTCCGGCAGGAAAACATAACCGGGGCCCCAGACACGGCCCACCGGTTTGATTGGGCTCTCTCCGGGTGTGATGAAAGATAAATCAGATGAGTTGACGTGGAGCGGAATTGACATGACGTCAGGCCGATAGACAGAAAAGCTGGTGCCTGAGTCGGATGTGGAATCCACCCCGGACTGTGGCTAACTTCTCCGCATCAACCGGGTTGTTCGGCTTCATATGACGCAAGCTGAGCTTCTGATTCTATGTCGGACGATATAGATATAATAGTTAGTAAGTTTATAACTCCCGCTTACTTGATCCACGCCATGTTGTGTGAAAGAACTCGGTACGAGGGCTAGGATGGGGGTCTCCGATTATCCGATGCTTAGCCTCTTGGCGGAGGCTTCGACCACTCTCGGGGCTATCAGCCGAGTATTCCGCTTATTCGTCGGTTTGACTGGGGTATCGGGGTTAGCCAGTCACCTTGTGGCATCCCTCCGCTCTGAACCGATGCGGCCTGAATCGTTGTGTGCTTGTCAGATATGTTGTCTGGTTGGTTCCATGTACCTTACGTTAGTGCTTTCAATAAATGATCTCGCCAATTTTCAATCCTCATCATGAGGAAAAGAAAATGAATCACAGGCCGGACCTTGCAGTCACTGATGGTTGGATTGTTGATGTAGGGTGTGTACAGCCTTTATGTAAGATAATATGTGCTTGACAGAGGCCCCGAATTTGATACCTGGTCTCGAGAACGGCGACCTGCATTGCGAGCGCCTCAAGGGAGGGAACCCCTCGGACGTATTGAAGCGCTTTTTGCTGTTCTTGTAGGAAATGAGCTCAAACGGTGGAGCTGGTTATCCTGGTACATCATGGTAAGATCAGACTCCAATTGGTTGATAGAGACAAAGAAAGTGCAGCCCCTGTCCTGTTGAAATTAAGTCCAACCGGTCAATGCAGTATTTGGATGTCAGCAGTAGAATTGTGTGAAAGTCAGCCCTTCATTGTCAGCATACGCAGCTGAAATGCAAGGATAGAGGACCAGATACTGAAGCATATACCCAATAGCATAGACGGGCGAGTCGTGGTCAAGTTCGTAGGAAGTCGCGAGATGGTTGGGAATTAGGATCACACTTTCCAAAAAAACACTAATCCCCTACAGGAAATGTAGTTGTAATATGGCACTGTAGTCCGACAGCCACTCCCCACTTTTGACCTCTATCTTTTACGAGGAAATCAGACGATGGTTGCCCCGGTCAGATCCATCGAATTCAAGGGTGTTCAAGCTAGAACACACTCGGAAAGACTCCACCTAAATTGCTTTAGCAGCAAATGCATGTCTCGCCCTCGTCTTGGCGTAAGCAGAGCTCACCCTCAAAAATCCAAATGCGCGGCTGGGCCTCGATCCCGCTGTCATATCACAAAATATCAAAGGTAAATCAGGATAGAGCTCGAAATGTTATCGATCTGGTGGATCATAGTGTGTCTCTTTGCGATCTACAAAGCCCTCTTCTTTGTGCGCTTGTATATCCAAGCCCGTCGCACTAGATTTCCCATCGTCTTCGCCCTCGCACCGACCTCAAGCGCCCCCTGGTTGATTCTCGCTCCAATCCTGCGTCCATATCTGCAACCAGTTCTTCCAGGATGGCTTTACGACCGTTGGGATCTTGTGACACATGGCTGGGAGTTCCGCATGAAACGCGGCCCTTTTGACCGCTGGGGGAATACCTTTGTCTTGCTCACCCTCGATGAATGCATGGTCTGGTGGGTATTATCCATCTGTCTTGTACGGCCATCCTTCTGATTTGTGTTTAGGACCGCAGATGTCAATCTCGGGAATGTGATCTTGCAACGCAGGAATGACTTTGAACAAGCCCCTATTGTCGGAAAGATTCTGGGTTTCTTGGGGCCTAATGTGTTTGCGGTACATCAGTCATCGTTCTCTCCTTATGCTTAGACACTGACATGAGAGATGCAGACCAATGGCGACGAATGGTACGCAGCCTTTACTGGAACGCTGGCTCTTTCTAATCTCTCGCAGGAAACGTCACCGTCGCATGTTTGCTGCCAGCCTAGACGAGCGCATCAGCCGAATCGCCTGGTCGGAAAGTCGTGAACAAGCCCAATCGATGTTGAAATATCTCTCTAACCACCCGGGAGGGGATACACTTACCGGATTGCGGAACCTGGCAATCAATGTCATCGGCCAGGCTGGGTACACGAAAACCACCCCGTGGTCGCCGGGACCACTTCGAGACAGCGCCGACAAGGAAGAGCACGCTCGTACGGCCTACTTCAAAGCCCTTGCGCTGGCAACCGATATGTTCCTCGTGGCCGCCTTCATCCCTCCCAAGCTCCTCAAGCTATCCTTCGTGCCAGCCCAACTGCGTCTTCTGGGCCAACGTCTTGAGAAAGTCCCGCAGTACATCGCTGAAATTTCTGAAGAGGAGCGCCAGGCGGCGAGGGACGATTCCGCCGGGGGCAGCAATTTCCTCCGCTTCTTTTTGCAGAACTCGGACACAGACGCGACCGCCGGGTTTGCTTTCACGCCAGAGGAGCTCAGTGGCAACCTCTATGTCTTCACCGTGGCGGGTTACGAGACGACTGCCAACACCATGGGGTTCGCGGTGACGCTGTTGGCCGCGTACCCCGAATGGCAGGCGTGGATCCGCGACGAGCTGCGAGAGCTTCCTGTAGACTCGTCAGCCTGGTCCTACGACGAAGTATTCCCCAAATGCCAACGCACATTGGCGCTCATGGTATACATTCCTTTTTCTTCTCATCTTGTGACCAAACTCCTGACAAGATCACACAGTTCGAGATCCTCCGCCTTTTCACCCCCGTCCTGCATTCGACCCGCGCCGTGTCCGGACCTCAACAGCTCGTCAGCGGAAAAGGCACGCATTTCCTCGCGCCCCCGATGAACGTCATGGTGTCTGCGGCGGCCATTCATCTTGACACGACAAATTGGGGGGAGGATGCCACAGATTTCAGACCCTCGCGCTGGATCGATGACACCGGCAAGGTGAGGTCCCCACCGAAGGGGACGTTTCTCCCGTGGTCTGGCGGCCCCCGCGTCTGTCCGGGGATGAAGATGTCCCAGGTGGAGTTTGTCTCCACCATGGCCACGCTGTTTCGGTCCGCGCGGTGCGAGCCGATCCCCGTCGACGGGATTACGCAGCCGGAAGAGCTGCGGCGGAGGTTGGTGTGGTTGACGGATAATGCGATTACAAAGTCCACGATGCAGGTGAAGGATCACAAAGATGTGCAGCTGCGGTGGGTGCGGGATGTATAATTGCGTAACTCTTTGTTTATTCCAGCTTGTTTCTATGCTCACAGGATATATTAGTCTAGAAAGAAATTCAATATCTCTTTTGATCACTGTCACGCTCAAGATGTCCACAGACCAAAACCAATTTCACCATAAACTGTTTCTGAGGGATCGATAGACCGATATGCTCACACTCCTAAAGAGCAAAGCATTCACTTCCAGGCACTAGGCTACTGACTTAGTAGGGGCTCTTCACTGTAGGCCCCGGGCCTAGCAGCCTGACACATGGCCCGTCGGTGTTACTCCCAGCGCTGGCCTCCCCCAAAGCCGTCCCCGGAGTCACTCTCTCTTACTCTCTCACCACCAATACTTCCTTCGCTATCTTCTTCGTTCATATCGATCTCATCTACACCACCCACCTTTCCTATCCCCAAACCTGCTTATCTTGCACATCCAATCTCTACGTTTCAAAACCAGTTAGTAAACAAGGTCCGTGCAGCAATCCGAACCCAATAACTGACTTTCATACCGTTACAGAACCTCACCTGCGGCTTCACGCCCCAGAGATCTTCTCAATCTTCCGCCCCGTGAACCCGGAACACCGTTCCTAACAACCTTAAACCATGCGTTGCAAGAAGTGTGGCTGGAACAACATGACCAGCAACAAAAAGGACAGTCCCAAGCTGAAGTGCGACGAGTGTAAGAAGGCGATCGTCGACAACTATGAGAACACCCCCATCCAGCCGAAGCCCGTGCCCATGCGCGATGCCAAGGGCAAGTCTGCCGACGGCAAGTCCGGCAGCAAGTCTGGCGGCGGGGCTGGCGGCAATTCCGGCTCTAAGTCTGGCTCTAAGGCTAAGTGATGCGGATCCGCTTCATGGCTGTGGTTCGTTGCGTGGTAGGTTTATCTCCTATGCTGGTGACTGCAACGCACAAGGCTGATTCCAACTTCAAAGTGTTGCATCGGGCTTTCTTGTGGTGGTTTGTGGAATGGGGGTGTGTATTCTACTATCGATCTTGAAGTTTCAATGCAAGTGATTCTAGGTATGTGATTCTGCGATGTTGCAGCACAACAGCTAACATTATATCTAGCCACCCGGACAGCAGAAAAGCTAAAAAAAAAGAAGATGAGGAAAAATGGAATAAAAAAGTTAATCTTGATTTCGCAAGTCACAAGGTCAGAGGCAATGGCATTTGGACGGATTTATCCTATCGCCGATAGGAGGGCTTTGGGTTTTTATCTTGATTTTCGTCTTCTGGGAATCTTCTTCAGGAGCATGGAAGTTTTGTAAAGCCTTGAGGCGCGTTCTGTCTTTTGCGACTTTGCTTGTTCCTTTGTGTCTACCAGACTAGCGACATACCAATTGACTCTTCATTGAGCACTATCTTCTGATATTAAGCAAATTGGTCATAGTAGATACATAACATGACGTGATCATAGGAAACGCCTTGTGCATTTGTGACAGCAAGCAAAGGATATAAGTAGAACAGGCAGGAACCTAGAACATCCGTTAGAGACTACAAATCTCACGACTTAATCTCTTTGGACTCATCCTCCTCAGACTCATCCTTTTCAGAGTCATACTCTTCGGACATGGCAATGAACTTCTTTGCTGCATCACTCTCCATGTCGACGCACAGATGATAGTAGTACAGGAAAAAGTCATGAGCATCGTCCATCTCGGGCATGTGCTTGCGCAGTAGCTTGCTCCATTCAAAGTCTTCTTTCCCTGCATGAGTTGCCATTGTACAAACATACTCCCACCAAACAGGAAAGAAGCCGGCTCTCTCCCAATCAATGATTGCCACCACCTCACCACTCTGCACCATGATGTTGACGTGGGTAAGATCATTGTGGGTGAAGGTAAAAGGTTGAGTGGGTGGCATGTAGCGTCGAAGCTGGCGGCGGGCTGACTCGGAAACGGCTGGATCCAGATGGACCGCCAACCCATTCCACACTTCGTCATCAGACATCATAGGAGGACATGGAGCATTATGGCGACCCTTTTCCTTGTACAACCAGCCATCGTAGACAGGGCGGCCGTCTACTCCTTCGACACGATCAGATTGGAGGGAGCGGAGCTGGAGGAGATACTCGGCAGTCTGCTTCGCTATGTTCTCTTTCTGGTTGTCGGTTAGCTTAGACCAAGCCTCACTGAGGTTTTCTCCAGGAACGCGATTCATGACAGTCAAAGCGTGACCGTCACTTTCCTGGTGATGCGCGATCACAGTAGGAACAGGAATGGTGGTGTTCTTCTTCACGAAACGAATGTTTGCGTTTTCATCGGTCGGACAACTAGGGCCACGGTCCTTGAGGATAAGGTCGGAGCCCAAGGCCCAAACGCCGCGATCGCCAGCTTCGTAGAAGATCTTGACATGACTCTCGTAGTTGCAGCACCTCTGTCGTTCAGGACTGAAAGAGCATGCGGAGCAAGGTACGGTGGAGCGCTTAGTGAGCATACCACTCGCACGTAGCTCTTCCATTTCTGCCCGATGTTTGGGAGTGTCCTCAGGTTCGTATGCCATGATCTTCTCGCTGCCAGACTGCTTGGAGGTCTCGCTTGGGGCGTTATTAGTTGAAGCTTCACCACTAGGCTCGGATGATGGCTCGGTTGAAGACTTGATGAAAGTCTCAGAGATGGTGACACTGGCAGGCTGGGTGAGAGACTCGGCTGTAGGCTCAGGAGCTGTCCCGGTGGTGGTTATGTTGACAGGTTCATCGCAAGACTCAGTGGCAGGCGAAGTGCAACTCTCAGTAGAAAGCTCGATGGTAGTTTTGGTAGAGGACTCGGAGACGGGATCATCGGTAGTGCGGGTGGAAGACTCGGTTGTCTCAGTAGAAGTTGCAGGGGCTGGCATGCTGACAGGTTTGACGGAAGCCTCAGTAGTATGTTCAGTGCAACTCTCACAAGAAGCCTCGGTAGGGGTCTCGGAGACGAGGTCTTTGGCAGGCTCGGTGGGAGATGCGGTGGGATTCGCAGTGTAAGTCTCAGCTGGGACCCCAGTTAGAAGCTTGATAGAAGGCTCAGTGGGATTGTCGATGACAGGCTCGGTGGACGCCATGATAGAGGATGGTGGTAAATGAGGAGGGGAAGTCATGGGAATAAAGGATGAGAGCGAAGTTGTTGAAGAGGTGGTAGGGAGATAATTCAGTGTGTATTTAGAATCGCAAGCCAAATGTTTTGCATGTCACGGGGTCCACGGTGTTGCTGGGGGTTTCCTGTTTGAGAAGCAACTACTGGTCACGTGTCCAGTCTACAATCCTGGCAAGCCTGAACTGCCTTCACGCTCTTCGCATGTCATTCGGCTTCACTCCAATTCTCTCTTCTCCTTTTCGATTCCTGTCGCATACCAGTATCGCAAGCGATCCTTATGAGATAATGGCTGGTGAGATCTATCTCCAGTAGTGTTCTTTTTCCCTCTAACGCCATCGTTATGAAAGAAACGAAAAGAAAATGTCGCCTATGCTGCTCCGCTTCGAGATTCAAACGATTCTGCAATTTTGTATCGCGACATACCTCCGAAGTTACTCTAAGGTAAAATCCACTGTCATTACAACGATGTACACCCGTGCCAGTCCCTGTGATGCAAAGATTAGAGGCTGACCGGTGTTGGTATATGTAGTCTGTCGCACCACCCAAGGCCTACTATTCCACCGCCATGACTACTTCATATGCGGCGCGACGATCCTCCCGGTCAAACAGACGTGCCTATGCTCTACCTGGATGAGTCTCCCTGACTGGCAGTGACATTCCCGCTGCGGTGTAGAAATGAAATGTCAAGATGCACGCAGAACACATTATGGCTGTGAGATGTCGTTGGTCCTTTTGCAAAGCCTTGACAGTCACCCTGCCCTCAGACACAACACCTTGGCTCTTATCAGAAAGCTCGAATGCTAAAAATTGATTCTTACTTAGATCGATCCACTATATTTCTACCGGTGACCTTGACGACAAAGACTGCAACACCGTCTCAGTAGGTCGCAACAAGCTTGGAGGAGACCGCGTGCATTTCTTCAGCGATCCTGTTTACACACGCGAGGGTTCCGGTCCAAGAATATGCGACTCGCGTTCAATGACGCTCCTGTCAAAACTTTGAATCGTCTGGCAATACTCCCCAACCAGGTACTCTACCTGCGGCTCACTAAGGATGTGACTCGAGATCGCGATGTTCACATGCAGTAGGTTCGCCTCAGGAAGAATATGCACATTGGCTGCCTGTGAAGGATTATTGGGCAGGGGATAATGGCTGGCGTGGCACTGGACTCCATCGAGCCAGCAGTCAGTCGGAAATTCATAATTGCGGACACGAAGCTGGCGAGAGGAGTAGGCGTGGGCCAGGTCGTGCAGTTCCTCACGATGTCTCGATATCCCAATGCGGAGTAGGGCATAGTCTCGAGGTGCTGCTGTTGAATCGCGTGAAGGACCGCAATTTTGGAGACCATCGGCTCGAACAAGACGGAGACAGGGACAATGCTAATACAAGGGCCGAGGATGCGGTCAGCATGGGCCACATCGACATTCCGTCCGTGCACAACTTGTCCGAAGACGACAGCCCCAGAGCTCTCAGATTGCGAAGCAAAGTACCGGAGAAGCGTGACAGCCCATGCCGCCTTCAGCAAGCTGGCTAGGGTGATCCCGGATGGCAAGGAAACAGCAGGGATTGTCTTCACGACATTAACCACAGATGCCGGCCGTGCAGTACTGCCCTCCGGCCCGGGGATAGGAAGTCTGTGCTCGTGTAGTGAAGTCATCCGGGTTCCCTGCAGGACCTTTCGCCAAGTATTATACGCAACGTCCGTCTGTAGCCCCCAGCACTGCTCGTAGGTGAGCGGAGAATGGGCTTGTCGCAGGCAATCTCTTCTCGTTGTAAAGAGCGGCAAAGTCACCGACGAGGACGGAGGCCGAAAGCCCGTCGTAGAGCGCATGGGCGATCAGGAATACGAGAAACGCGTCGCCCGTTTGCTTGAGAGTCACCAACTGCGAAACAAAGGGCGGTTTACCACTTGAGGGACTCTCTGCGACAGCATTGTCGTCCGAACAATATCGGTCCAGATCATCCGTTTCGAAGTCACGAGTTGTCAGCGGCCAGTCTTTCAACACTACCTGAGCATATTCACCATTCTGAGAGACAAAGGCCGTTCGCAGAATTGTATGCCGAGCAATGAGCTGCTGACAAGCACGGATGACCCGGCTCCGATCGAAGTTCAAGGGCAGGCCAAACCGGAAATACCGGTAGTTCATCATTGTCAAGCTCGTCTGTTGAAAGTCGGCAAGGGGCAGCATCTCGAGCACCAAAGAAGATAGTTCCGCCGGTACTAGTCGACGCAATCCTTCATTCTGAGCAGCAGCGAATTGCTCTTTGCCAGAGCTCGTCCGCGTTGCCTGGCGCCCATTATGTGAAGGTTTTGGCCTCGATGCCTGGGCCATGTCGGACAAGATTGGACAGTTTAGAATGGTATCTTCTGTCAAATGAAGACCTTCTCTCCCTGCGAGCGAAGCCAGCTGAAATGAGGTTATTGAATCTCCTCCGATTGCGAAGAAATTGCTGTCGGCTCGGACCGTATCTTGAGGAAGCTTAAGGACCTGAGATATCAATTTCCGCAACTGCATCACCGGGACCGATGCGTCGTCTGGTGCATTATCAGCCACAGGAACCTGCGGCGCTTCTGTCGCTTTGGCCAAGTTTGCCCTTGTTGAAATGGCCATCGGGGTCGGACATGAATCCTCTGGCTCGGGATATTCCTCGTTGGCTGCGGTTAGCGTCTCAGATACCACCGATTTCAGCCGAAACCGATCAAACTTCCCTGACCTGTTCAGCGGCATTTCTTCGACGAGGAAAAAGTGAGGTGGCATCATATATCATATATCCAGGGACACGGGTCATCAGATACTTCTTGGCTGCTGTTGCCAATTCGCACTTTGAATCACATCGAACCATGGCTAACACCCCAGCTTTCTGTACTTTTGGGCCCTGCGCTGAGCTTGAGCTATGTTGAATGACCGCAGCGAGTTGCGCCCGCATAATCTTCCCACGATGCTTGAGTCCGTCTACTGTAATGACAGCAACCTTTCGCACACCGCGACTGACGAGCTCCGGACACTTGGTGAGGTGATGCTCAATCTCCCCGGGATCCACCCTCCTGCCGCTCACCTTAATCATGCTATCTTTTCGTGAAATGTACTGGATAGACCCATCCAGATTGTACCGCACCAAGTCTCCAGTGCGGTAGAGGCGCTCTCGGAAACTGCCAAATCCGTACGGAGTGACTCGGGTTTGCCAGTCGGCTGACCTCATGAACACGAGACGACTTTTCTCCTCGTCGCCCCAATACCCCCTTGCGAGACCCTTTCCTTGAAGCACAAGCTCCCCGACGGCTCCGACAGGTGCCAGGCGGTTCGGGTCATCCACATCTACGACCCACAAGCAAGGGTCACAGGCATACCCGACGCTGCGTTCATCCCAACCTGGCCCAAAGTCAGGAGCTAGTATGGCAACCCCGGCCGTTTCAGTTGCCCCATACCCGTACATCACACGCACATGCTTTGCCCACTCCTTCACCTGGGACATGCCAATTGTTGTCCCCCCAAGCAAGAGCACACGAAGGGTCGGGACATCAAGTGGCTTCACAACGTCCACCAAAACTGGCGTCAAGAATGCATAGTTGCAACGGTGGCGGTTGATGAACCCTGCCAGGTCCGTCCGTATGTCGTTATCAGAGGGAATACAAAGGCAACCCCCCACCATAGGCATGAGCAGAAGTTCGCGGTTGCACAGGGTAAACCCATTCGCGGCAGATTGTACGCGGCGGGTGTCTGGTCCCAGCATCAGCGGTCCTAACGTTGCCAGAGCCGAGGCGCAGAATGCCCTATGCTCAAGTACTAGACCCTTAGGCTCCGACGTGCTCCCTGATGTGAAGACCACGTAGAGAGCATCTGAGGGTGACGATCGCTCCTGTTGTTGCTGCAGAGCTCTGTCGTCAATGTCCTGGTCGAGAGAGGTCGCAGCGTCTTCAATGATCACGGCTGTCGGGGTCAAGCGACGGGATAGCGACTCGCAACCGCGCGAACACGCGACAAATGGCGCAGAAACGGTCTCAATCATCTTTCTAATGCGCTCGAATGGATTGGATACATCCACCGTGAGGAAGGAACCACCCGCACGCATCACGCCTAAGGCCGCGACCACTAACCATTTTGACTTTTCCGTAAGTATGGGAACGGTCACCTCGGGGCCAATACCCATTCTGATCAGCTTTGTGGCAAGCCTAGCGGTGAGCCGCTCTAGCTCGCCGTATGTGACCTCCCCGTCCCAAGCTGAAATTGCGATGGCTTCTGGTCGTTCGCGACAAGAGCGCAGAACAATCTCCGTCACGCATTGGTCATTGATGGAGGTCCTTCTGAAAAGCATATTCCATCTAGCCATACGTTCGACATCCTCTTCACTGCACAAATCCATGTTTCCCACTTGTTGCTCGGGGTCTCGAATGACAGCCGATATTGCGTGGTGGAAAGTCTGAGCCAATGCCTTGACTTGCTGACGAGACCAGCTCATAGGGTCAAAGTCAATCACTGTTAAGAAGGCCGGATGGCCATGGCTGGAAATGATCTTCACAACTAGCTTGGACTGTGTCTTGCTTAGTCAATGCTTGTTGTTGAATGAGGAGACGCTGGAAGAAAGTACACACGCTCGCATATTCCCTTGTCTTGTCCTGTATCTCGCCGTCCACCTCAACAGCAAGCATAGTGTTACATACTTCATGGTGATTTCCGCTATCGTCCCTGCAAAGAGACTCCGAGCCCTCACAGGGGCACTCCTCTCTCTCACCTCGCCCCTTCTCTTGCAGAATGTCCTGAAGAGTAGTCGTGCCGGTGATGTGACAATCGTACAACTCGAATTGCCTCCTTGTGCTCGTGGCAAGCTCGAAGCAGATGTGATCCAGAGAGGTATAGCTTCGCAGCAGCAGGGCCCAAGCCGCCCGCACCAAGGAATCTATCTTGCTTCCGCTCTCAAGCCACTTCCGTGCGTCCGTTTGGGACTATTCCAGCACTACCGATTCGCGCTCTCCTGGCCTCCGCGCCAAGCTAAGCCACACCGACTCTTCTAACTCGAGCTTGGGGTCGACTTCCAAGATTATTATTTTGATCGGAGGAAATCAAGATACGCTGCTGGCGCATTCCATCGCCGATCCGTCACCCAATCGATTCAACAAGCCGCATCCCTCAATAAGCAGAGCACAAGAGATCTATCGGATGAGCTCGTCAAAACTAAAAGCAGTCATAGAAGCGATCTATAGGCTCCATATAACAGGTGCTGGTGGCATGTGAGAGTCGTGCGAACACGAAGCATATGTAGGATGACCGGCATTCATCGCAAGCCTGGGCGGCTGCCTTTCTCGACACAAGCCATCTTCCCGCAAGATATGCGCAAGGAAACATTCAGTCCAATTCCTTGTGCGCTGCCAACCGGCCTCCAATGCTGTTTCATTCACCGGGCTGTAAAATTGGCTGTGTAATGTTGAAGGACCGACAGAAACATCATGAGAGAGCTTGGATCCCCTTCGGTGCTGACAGAAAGTATACATGAAGACGCACGATGAACTATAGTTCAGTTCAAGACCATGAGGAGCAGTAGCATCTGGTTTCCCACACGGGTGTTTAGCACGATGTCACGTAGCACATTGTGGTACACGCACCTGACTCCTTTTCTCTCCGTTTCCTCCTTTGCTGTTCTCGGATTTCGCTACCTATCAGTCATTCCAACTATGCCCCTCCTGCCACAACAAATCTTGGCCGGCCTTGCTGGATGTCTGCAAGGGTTGTGTGGAGACTTGATGCTCAACAGCGTGAGCAACTGTTGTGATATCATTGTGCATATTGATTGGTGTGTCGGCCCTTGAATGTGTGGTGCAAGATCATTCGTCTCGTCTTTGGATCTTCACTTCAACTCCATCGAGCAGGCTTCCCATCGGAGACATCATCCTCCTGTCGTCTGTCATTATGATAGGGGTATAAACAAATAGGCAAGGACGATGCTTAGTTGAGACTCAACGAATCCCGAGAAAAGAAAAGGCAGACAGCAGCAGCGAGCTTTTATGGCTGTCCTGCTTTCTTCTCCTCTCTCACAGGTCCAACTCTCCGAAAAAAAGCCGGATGCGTCATTTGGTGTGGAGACCACCGCGCGGAGTCTCCGGTGCGTATAAGCCACAAAGATCAGGACTAGTGACTGGACAGCGAGAGTCTTCCACTGTGTTCTTCGTTCGTCCTTTATGGCTTCTATGCCTTGGACAGCGGCGAGTTGTACAACCCTGACAAAAGACGGAGTGGATCCTGCAAACAAAGGAAACAGACACAAGGACACTATAACCGCCGATGTGGTGACTGGCGGATTCGCTCATTCGGTTGAAATATCTTCTTGAACGCCGTATCATCATTATCATCTAATCGGTGGCATCACGATCGTCTATCAGAAGGGTCTATCTACAGTCGACTTCCCATGTTGATGTGAACCGCCTTTATCTGCGAGTACGCCTCCAAGCCCGCCTCACCCAGCTCCCGGCCAATACCACTCTGTTTCACTCCTCCGAAGGGAATGCGGGGGTCGCAGTCTTGACTGCTGTTGATCCAGACCATACCTGCCTCAATCTCTGCCGCCACCCGGTGAGCCCGCTCCAGGTCTCGCGTGAAGACTGCAGCACCTAGACCATACGTGGTATTATTGGCGCGGCGGATGACCTCCTCCTCCGAGTCGAACGGCATGATGACCACCACAGGCCCAAACACCTCCTCCTGCACGATACGCATGTCATCCGTGACATCCGTGAACGCCGTGGGCTGGACGAAGTATCCCTTTTCCAACTTGCTGTCTGCAGGAGTATATGCGCCGCCACCAACCAGAAGCTTGGCGCCTTCCTTCTTGGCCAGCTCGATATACGACAGCACTCTTTCGTACTGCGCGCGAGTGACCTGAGGGCCTTGGTATGTCGATTCATCCCACTGATCACCTATCTTGGACGTCGTTTCAACCTCCTTCTTGAACTGCTCCAGGAAGGTGTCCAGCACCTCCCGGTGCACGAAAATACGCGAGGTCGCCGTGCAGATCTGGCCCTGGTTCGACATGATGCCGAGGTGAGACCACTTGACCGCCTGCTCCATATCGGCATCGGGGAACACCACCAGAGGCGACTTGCCACCCGTCTCGAGGGTGATATTCTTAAGTGTACCGGCAGCCATCTTCATGATCTCGCGCGCGGTGGCAGTGGAGCCAGTAAAGGCCACCTTGTCCACCAGCGGGTGCTGGACGAGAGCCGCACCCGCCTCGCGACCGTACCCATTGATGATATTCACCACACCAGCCGGGAACCCAGCCTCCTTGATCAACGTACCGAGAACCAAAATACTCAGCGGCGTCTGCTCGGCGGCCTTGATAACCACGGTGTTTCCGCAAGCCAAAGCAGGACCAAGCTTCCAGGCGGCCATGGAAAGCGGGTAGTTCCAAGGGATAATCTGCCCGATGACCCCGAGGGGCTGGCGGAGGGTGTATGCGAATTTCTGGGGGGTGGTGCTGATCGTCTGGCCGTGGGTCTTATCAGCCCAGCCGCTGTAGTAGCGGATGGTGTTGATGGCTTCGGTGAGGTCTTCGTTGAATGCAACGTGGTATGGTTTTCCTGGTGTGCATGTTAGAGCCGCTCTATCGCTAACCGTCGAGTGTTGCGGGAGGGGGGGGGGCGGGGGCTGAAGGCGAACCAACCATTATCCCAGGCGTCAATGGCAGCGAACAGCTCCCTATTCTGCTCGATCAGGTCTGCGAGTCGGCCCATGAGTTGGCCGCGCTCAGTGGCGGGCAGCTGTTTCCACGATGCATGGGCGAGGGCGGCCTTGGCGGCCTGGACAGCGGCGTCGACATCCTCCGCGGTCGCCGCGTGCACCGTGGCAATCGGCTTGTCCGTTCTGCGATCGTCAGTACCATGCGACTGTGTCTGGCTCGCTGCGAAACTAGACAAGCTACTCACGCTGGGTCCAGCGACACAATGGTTTGTCCCCCAGACGACGGACGGAACTCGTTGTTGATGAACAACCCCGTGGGCTGCTTGTACTGGCGGCCGTTGGGTGTGGTAAGCTCGACGAAAAGGTCGGACATCCTGGCGCAAAGTCACAGAAAGAATCTCCAAGTTGGACAGGCAAAGACGAGAGAAGAAAAAACAAGAGACAAGACAGTTGCGATGGCAGCAGACAGCAGATAGCTCGGGTTTTGTGGCTTGCTGAGCGCACCATCGACCGGTGGAGTGTCGGCGGGCTTCAGGCTAGAACTGCCTAAACTGGATTTGGGGAATAAATTGTCAATTTGCTGGACTGATTCGGAATGGAGGAATCAGCGGGGCTCCAGCTGTCCCGCGGTTCCGATAAGGGAGGCGTTCAGATACCCCTCAGTTCTCAGTACGCTATCGATAGTGCATCACCCGAAGAGGCATGTTTATCGCCGGGTGGGCCATTCGCTCGTTGATTCTCCTTCTGTGGCATTCCGTGGAATTACCTTCCCTTTCTCCCTTTCGGAGCCATGATCCGCTTGAGCCACGCCGCTTTAAGCCCCACGCAATGCTGCTTTCTGCCCACCCATCGGCCCGTGCGGTGAGCATCAAAAGTGCGTGTCTGGAGACTCCCTCGGGGGAGGGTGCAATAGCTATCTATGACTTGTAATATTCGATTTGAATCAAAACTTATATCTTTGTATATTATATAGATAGCTGTATACTGAAGTAGTGAGGTTTAGCGTATGGTCTAGATGTTGTACTAAGTTTCTATGCACACTCTGGAATCGCACCAATGTTGCTGACGGGATCTGATAATACTAGTATATACTTGGTAAATGGTCAGGCTGGTGTCCAACCCTCAACCTCTCACGACTCAGTCCCGGCTCTACCGCTTCTCACGGTGAATGCCTCAGGAAAGACCAGGTTTGATATCAGTTGGTTGATTCCTGAAACGCTACTTCTACTCCCTCTATTCAACGCCACATTGCTAGACCAAGTCTTTAGCTTCATCGGATCCAGGCCTGACCACGGCTCCGAAACAAGACAGAACTCGAAGACCGCAACTATACATGGCGGCCAATTAATTTCCCCTGCAGTCGGATAATTTGTCGGCGCCTCAGCCCTCACTGGTGGTTGTCTCAGATCATTCGCCTCCCCAGAATCACAGAAGGCTTTGCATCTTATCGATAGTCTCGCAAGGCCCCTGCCTTTTCAACTCTGCAATGAGTGGAGTCCCTGATTCAGTTCCGTATCAAGAATGGCTGGGCAGCCCAATGTTTTGACCGTCCCCTGCCTGGAAAAACAACAACAAAACACACCAACCATCATAAAAACCAGGTGTTCCCCTTCGTTATAGCTGATTACAAGCATCCATCAGATGAAAAAAGCCACCTCAAATGGAGAAACCCGCCACTGACCATACATCACCAGAGGCACCGAAGGAAACCCCCGATGCAGCGCCCAAGTCGCCCACAGCCCCTCCAAAGGGCTCGACGGTGGTGTCTCTTACCATTGCCCTCTGTCTAGGCATTTTTTGCATGTCCTTGGTAGGCAACTCGGTGATGAGTCCGCCACTTCGATGACTAGAGTGCTGATCCCTTTCTCCCAGGATGTCACCATCATTGCTACGGCCATCCCGCACATCGCCGACCAATTCAACTCTCTAGACGACGTAGGATGGTACGGGAGTTCATATCTGCTCACCAATTGCGCCACTACCCTGGCATTTGGCAAATTTTATACCTATTACTCGACGAAATGGGTGTATCTCTCGGCCCTCTGCCTGTTCGAGATCGGGTCCGCCGTCTGCGGAGCGACTCCCAACTCGCTCGGTCTCATCCTGGGTCGATGCCTGGCTGGTCTGGGTGCTGGGGGTCTCTTCTCCGGCAGTCTACTGATCATCGCCCAGGTGGTGCCTTTACATCGCCGTCCAGTGTTCACGGCTTTGCTGGGTAGCATGTTTGGAATTGCTAGCGTCATCGGTCCTCCGTGAGTAGATCCATGACTGATCTCCTTCACCGTCTTGAGTTGACAGCCACTGACCGGATATAGCCTTGGTGGCGCTTTCACGGATCACGTCTCGTGGCGATGGTGTTTCTACATTAACCTCCCCATCGGTGCCGTGACGGGTCTCTTTGTGTTCTTCCTCTTCCACGCCCCCGGACCAGTTCAGAGCCGACCGAGTTTCCGTCATCTGCTGGGAAAGCTTGATCCGATAGGGACGATCCTCTTCTTGCCTGCCATCGTCTGTCTGCTGCTGGCGCTACAGTGGGGAGGTAACCAGTACGCGTGGGATACTTGGCGCATCATCGTGCTCTTTGTGGTCGCGGGGGTGCTTCTGCTCGCCTTCGGAGGCTGTCAAGTCTGGCAGGGCGATGATGCCACCCTCCCGCCACGAGTCCTGCGCAATCGCAACATCTGGTCGTCGGCCTGGTTTGCCTTGACGCTGAATGGCGCCTACTTCGTGTTCACTTACTATGTAAGCTGTGTTCGACCCCTTCCGTCTTCCTCATCCCCTCCACTGACCTGCCGCCAGCTTCCCATCTGGTTCCAATCCATCAAATCCGCTTCGGCCACCAAATCCGGCGTCATGAGCCTCCCGAGTATCCTCGCCGTCGTGCTCGTTTCCATTCTCTCCGGAGTCACCGTCACGCTCTTCGGCTACTACAATCCCTTCATGGTCCTGGCGTCGACCATCCTCGCGGTGGGCGCAGGGCTCCTCAGCACCTTGCAGCCCAACTCGGGCCCAGGCCAGTGGATCAGCTACCAGATCCTCGAAGGCATCGGAGTCGGCCTCGGCCAGCAACTGCCCTTCGTGGTCGTGCAGAATGTGCTGCCGGACCGCGATGTCCCCACGGGGACCGCGGTGGTCACCTTTGCCCAGACCCTGGGAGGGGCGATCTTCATCTCCGTGGCCCAGAGCGTCTTCACGAACCAGTTCACGCGCGTCATGCATGTTGAGGATCCCTCCGTCAACGTGACCGAGATTCTGGCCGCGGGGACGACCACGCTGCGCCAAAAGCTGCGGGGGGATCAGCTGGAGACCGTCCTGCGGTCCTACAACTCCGCCGTAACCCAGGCATTCTACGTCGGGGTTGCGCTGGCGGCGCTTTCGGTGTTTGGAACAGTTGCCTTGGAATGGAGGTCGGTCAAGGAGACGGAGAAACCCGCGCCTGGCGAGGGCGATGCTCGCTAGCGAATTTGTCGTGTTTTGCCGCAAGGGAATAAGTCGCCTCTCAGAATAGCCGGAAATTTGGGGATGCGCTGGCCCGTGATAGGCAGGTAAATAGTCTGTATGCATGCATTATCCCTCGCGGACGCAGTGGCCCATGGTCCGTCATCATTCACAGATCCTTGAAATTTATTTTCCAAGACACCCTGCCGATCCTCACGTCTAGGCAACAGTGCCCGTGCAGAAGAATGCCCCTTGCATGCCTCAATCTCACAACGCATGAATGCCCAGTGAGGTAAGGCGAGCGATTACCTCATGTGCCCAGCTCCTGTCTCTTGGCTCAGTCTTCTGTTGGTCGAACGTACCACGGCAAAATAAATCGCCAACTTTCGAACCGAGCCAGGTTGGCCGAACATACTCCTGATCACATCCATCGCCATGACGATTTCCGCGACTTCCACTACCGCTGCCACCTCCAAGCCCCTAGAGGGAGCCGGACCGGGGTCCACGGAGAAGGCCGGTCCTCCCTCGACCCCGTACCAGACTCTCAGCAAGTCGACCCCCTTCGCCAACCTGGACCAGCACCGGTACTGGCACGCGGTGGCCCCCATGCTGGGAGAGATGCTCCGGCGGGGCGACTACAGCGTGCACCAGCAATACGGCTACCTGAACCTGTTTGCGCAGGTGATTGTGCCCAAGCTGGGGCCCTTCCCGGGGCAGCCAGACACCTACAAGTGCCTGCTGGGGGGCACGGGGTCGGTGGAACTCAGCCAGAACGTCCAGCGCCGGGGGCTCACGACGCGGGTGGCCTTCGAGCCGACCAGCTACATCGCCAGCACGGGGACGGACCCATTCAACCGGCACGCGGTGCACGCGACGCTGGCCGAGCTGCGCACGCTGGGCGCCGCGCAGATCGACCTGGCGCTGCACCACCAGCTCCACAGCCAGCTGACGCTGTCGGACCGCGACGAGCAACGCATGACGCCCGCCCAGATCCGCGACACCGTGTGGCGCACACAGACCCTGCTCGCCCTGGACCTGAGCCCCGCGGACGACGCGATTACGGTGAAGGAGTACTTTTACCCGGGCCTCAAGGCCCAGATGACCGGGCGCAGCGTCGCCGACCTGTGCTTCGGCGCGATCCGCTCCGTCGACCCGGAGGGCCACTTCTCGGCCGCCACCCAGGCCATCGCCCGCCACATGCAGGCCCAGCCCCGGACGGACCTGTACTTCCTCTCGTGCGACCTCGTCGACCCGGCGGCCACCCGCTTCAAGCTCTACCTGATGGAGCTGGACATGCGGTGGGCCAAGGTGGAGGAGCACTGGACCATGGGCGGGGTGCTGTCCGCGGGCGATGCGGACGTCGCCCAGGGGCTGGTGATGCTGCGCGAGCTGTGGCGCGACTTTGGGATCGTCGAGGGCCTGCGCGACGAGCCCGAGCGGCCCTCGCTCCCGGGGGATCCCGACACCATCGTGCCGTTTATTCTGAACTACGAGATGCACCCCGACCGGCCTCTGCCGGTGCCCAAGTTCTATTTCCCGTTGGTGGGAATTCCGGAGCTGAAGATCGCCGCCGTGCTCGAGGCGTTCTTCGAGCGGTGGGATATGCCGCAGCAGGCGGCGGTGTATCGCGAGAACCTGCAGGCTTACTAGTGAGTTGCATGCCTACCCGGGGAAAATTTGTGGATTGCTGCTAATCTCTGTCATACAGTCCGACCAAAGATCTGGCGACGGCGACCGATCATCAGGCGTGGATGTCGTTCTCGTACTCGCAGAAGAAGGGGCCGTATTTGACTATGTACTACCACTAGTCGGATTGCATGTACTCTTGCTAGTTGGTAGAGTAGGTGGTAGTTATAAACGAGTGCAGTACAACCGGGTCCAACGCATTAGCCTCGAATTAAACAGACCACGAGAACATAGAACACTCTGAATAAATCCATTCTTCCTAACGTCATAAAGAACAATGTAGAACGCAGCTATATCCCAGTCCATAGTTCAGTTTAGCCTCTCGTCTCCATCCATCACAGCCCACCACCCCCAAGACATGCAACCTCAACCCCTTCACTTCCCCCCCTTCCCTAAACGCAGTTCTCCAACTCAGAAATCAATCTACGACCACACTCCTCTCTCATCCCGAAGGTAAATTACTCGCTCTTCTCCCCCCTCGCGAAAACCGCCGTCCACCGCTGCGGCACCAACCCCGACGCCCCGTACGTCTCCTCGAGATACCTCCCCAGCGCCGGCAGGATCTCCGCCTCGTGGGCCTCGCGCTGCGCCGCGGACCACCACTTACTGACGATGATGGGGATGACGGGCGCGGCGATCCTGTACAGATCGGCCGTGGAGGTGTGGAACGCCTGGGAGATGGTGGTGGTGTGGACGCGCACGAAGCCGGCCTGCTCGAGGCGGCCGCGCACGTATGCCTCGTCGTCCCAGCCCGGGTTCATGCAGGACATGAATTCCTTGGTCGTGGGGAAGGGGAGCTCGGGACTGGCCGAGATGGTGCGCACGGCGGCTTCGAGGACGGGGAGCCATTCCGCTGTGTTCTTGTTAGCACTGCTGCTGTGGGGAAGCGAGGGGGGGGGTAAGGATACCACTCCGAAGATTGACGAAGTCAGGAGTGAGAAGAAGGAAGAAGATTTAGAAACGAATTGTGGGGGGGGGGGGGGGGGGGGGGGGGGGGAATAGGGTAGTGCAGGGTGTACTTTTCTGCCAGGTGGAGAGGGTTAATGTGCCGCCTGGTTGGAGGATGCGGAGGGTATCTTTATGCAATATTAGCTGCTGTTGCGGGTGGGGGATGGACCATAAAGGGAGGGAGGGAGTGGGTTACCATTCAACGCGGCGTAGGTATCCGGGAATGAGGTCCAGGCTAGCCCACAGCATTAGGTCATCGTATCACTTCAACACCCAACCGCTCTCATTGTCAAGAGAGGACTCACCCAGGGCCGCAAACACATGCGTCAACTCCGCGGCCGGCAGCTCCGTGCTCTGCGCGTCCATCACCCGCGCGCTCGTGTTGGCTGACCACCCTTCCTCCACGATCTTGCGCTTGACGTGGCCCGTCAGCTCCGTCGAGATGTCGCCGCATATCAACTCCCAGCTGCCCGCACGCTGCTCCGCCAGCACCTCGTGCAGCTTCTCGGCCACGACCCCCGTCCCGCAGGCCAGGTCGAGCACCTTCAGCGGGCGCTGCGGCGAGTTCAGGATCCCCGACAGCGTGATCAGGTCCTGCGTGAAGTACCGCGTGATCTTCTCGGCGATCAGGTACGTCTCCAGGATGCCTTTGCCGGAGTAGAGCTCGGTGAAGGTGGTGGCGCGGGTCATCTTGGGTTTTGGTTGTGGTTGTGGGTGTGGTTGTGGGTGTGGTTGTGGGTGTGGTTGTGGGTGTGGTTGTGGTGGTGGTTGAGGTCGAGATTGTAATGGGAGGCAGGTTGCGGGGTGGTGCTTGCAAGATGATAGTTAAGAATCAGAGGGTGAGGACCGAGACATCAAACTGCTGACGGTGGGCTAGTTCGTCTATGTCATTTCGCCTTTGGCTTGTGTTCTTCAGCAGTGGCTCGCATTACGGGGACAAGAGAACACCCCTCTCCCCCTCTTTCCCCCCTTACCTTAACCTACTGCATGTGATGTCTCGCCTTCCAGATCGCCATAGCCAGTACCCATCCCCCTGCCTCGTGACATCAGAATGCAAGGAGCAACGCGGGAATGAAGAGAGGCTGCGGGTCTTTCATTTCATCCGCTAAGACGAAGCACAAGGGAACCCCGTTCTGTCGAGCGGAGTGTGATTGAGACACACCCTGACTCAGGTGAGGGAGCAGACGATCAGTCCACAGATCTGGGGCCCTTCGCACATCAGCTGAATATACCACCTCCTCGAGACAAGAAGCGGCAGTAGAATACAACACCCCATCATGGTGACCATCGCCTTCTCCCAGCTCCTGTACCCGAGCATCGGGCTGGCGAGTTTACTCTTCTTCCTGCGCGCCATCCTCGCTTTTTCCGGCGAGCCCAAGCCTGTCAATTGGCACGCGTGGGATCCCTTCCAGCGCAAAGCGAAGCAGGAGTTTTACTCCAATGCCCGGGGGCTGATTGCGAAAGGGCTCGAGAAGGTGAGTTGAGCCCATAGCGGACTTGCCACGGGGGGGTGTCAAGGTGAAATTGACATGATTCGGTATTTGCAGGGCCGCTCGGTGTTCCGGCTCGCGACCAACATGGGAACGTATCTAATCCTGTCCGACCGCTACGCCGAGGAAATCAGAAACGATGAGAGATTCAGCGCCTACGATGCCTTAGTGGATGTATGTAGGTCTCCCTCTTCTTTCCGGTACCCGATCAAGCATCGCATATTTGACCTGCCGTTTCCGAAAAACTAATTCTGATGGACTAGGTCATTTTGCTGGAGTTACCGGGCTTCGAAACGGCGTTCCAGGGCTCGCTACATAACCATGTCTCTCCAATTGCCATTCAGGCCTTGAATAAGGAGCTTGGTGAGTTTCGTACCTGGAAGAGGTTTCTAGCCCTAACTTACCGCCGAGACACCACGTCTGTTCAGTGCACTTGACGCGCCCCCTCTCCGAGGAAGCCAGTGAATGTCTGCGCACCCAATGGACCGAGATGTCCGGTAAGTCCGTCCCATAGATGGCCTTGAAGCTTTCCAGCAAAACAGCAAAGAACTAAGCCGTCGATAAACCGCAGACTGGCAGACCGTATCCATCCGCGAGACGGTACTGGCGCTGGTGGCGCAGATGACGACGCGAGCCCTGATCGGGCCGGAGCTCAGTCGCAACCCAGACTGGCTGGAAATCGCCATCAGTTTCACCACCAACCGCGCCATCGCCGTGGCCGCCATCCAAGCCTGGCCCCGCTTCCTCCAGCCGCTGGCCCACTGGTTCCTGGGTCCCTGTCAGACGGTACGCCGCCAGATCCAGCGCGCCCGGGCGATGTTGTTGCCCGTTCTGCGGGAGAAAGCCGGCCGCACCAACGACGACGACCCATCCGCATCGACAACCGCACACCGCGACTTTTCCACCCTGACGTTCATCGACCAGTTCGCCCGCGGCGCGCGCTACGACGCCACGCTGGCGCAGCTGCGCCTGATCGCCGTCTCCGTACTGACGACCGCCGATCTCGTGGAGAAGGTGGTGGCCCGCCTCGTGGGACACCCCGAGCTGATCCCGCCGCTGCGCGAGGAGGCGATCGCCGTCCTGACAGCCTCCCCGCAGGGCATTCACCGCAGCAGCCTGCTCAAACTCACGCTGATGGAGAGCGTGATGAAAGAAAGCCAGCGGCTCGAGCCCGCCACCCTCAGTACGTCTCCCCCTTCTCGGTCCCTCCCCCCTCCCCACTAACTAGAAACCAAGTATCAATGTTCCGCGTCGCCAAAGAAACCGTCACCCTCCAGGACGGCACCCCAATCCCCAAAGGCACGCACCTCGCCTTCGCCAACGACCTCCGCCTCGACGCCACCCTGTACCCGGAGCCCGAGGTGTTCGACGGCCACCGCTTCGAGCGCATGAGGGGCGATCCCCGCACCGCCGGACTGGCCCCGTTCACGAAGACGCGCATGAGTCACCTGGCCTTCGGGCACGGCAAGCACGCCTGTCCCGGGCGGTTCTTGTCCTGTGACGAGGCCAAGTTGATCCTGTGTCATATGTTGTTGAAGTATGAGATTCGCGCGCTGAAGGGGGGCGTGGGGGGTGTGGTTGTGAGTGGGATGTTTGTGCAGCGGGAGCCCGGGGCGAGGATGGTCGTGAGAGCTCGGGAATTGGAGGTCGGACTGGCGGAGACTTTGCAATGATTTTGTCTACTAACTCACATCATAAGGTATTATATGGAGGTTACGGAAGTGTGTATAGGTTGTGGTGATATATCGTAGGAGTATTGGAGGCCTGGCTACGAATATCAGGCTTCGTTATCGTAGCTCCTGTCATTTGAGAGTCTGGTAGAGGAAAGAAAAGAGAACTGTCTGATTCAGATGATGGTTCTAATGATCAAGCTATATAGCTATGTATTTATACAGGTTGTTTTCTGGATGTACGGTGTTGCAATTATACATGCTCTTGTAATTAGCTTTTGGGCAATGGGTTCTAGAAAGAAATTGCTTGTGGTGACGAACACGGTCTTTGACCCAACCTGGGGCTTTACTAAGCTACCTGCTACCACCTATACTAGTTGATTCTACTCCCCAGCCTTCGCCTTGTAGTCATGCGCAATCTGATATTGCCCGTCTTCGGGGACATTGCGGGGCCGGTAGGGGCTCCCATCCTGAATCGCTCGCACGACGGCCGGAAACTCCTCGTAGACATCGCAGTGGACGTCATATCCGAAGATCCACTGCGGGCGGGGGAACTTGATGATGGCCGGGTCCTTCTCGATGGCCTCCCAGTCGGGATCGCGCATCTGCCCGTAGATGGCATTTCCACTCTCCTGGAGCATCTTTGTCCGCTGGAATCGCAGGGCGTGGACGGCCTGCAGCCCCAGGGGCACCCGCGCCTTGCCTGCCAGCTCCAGACAGATGGCCAGCGTCGCCGCATCCTCGATCGACTGCCCGCCCCCCTGGCCCACGATGGGGGACATGGCGTGGGCGGCGTCGCCGAGGATCATGATGCGGCCGCCGGTCGAGATCCACCGCGGCAGCGGATCCCGCGCAATGATCTTATAGTCCGCGATCGTCTCGCGCGGGGTATGTCGCAGGACGGCGGCGATCTTGGGGTAGACCGGCCAGTCCTGCATGAGGGCCAGCGCATCTTCCACACGGGCGCTGCTGGTTCTCTCCCAACTCTCGGCCGCTTGCGCTTGTTCGTTCTGCGATTCTGCCGATCAGCGCATGCATCATTCCCTCTAACGGAGAAAGGGTATACTGACCCGATGCCACACCTGCCAGACGACATTCTTACCGCGTTTCCCCGTCGCCAGGGTCAGCCCCAGGCCGCCGTCGGTGATATACCTCCGCACGCGATCGCGCTCGCCCACCTCCTTCAGGATCCACGCCGCGTCCGGATCCCCGGCCACGAGTTCCGCGCTGAAGCAGGCCCGATACGCCGCCAGCCCGGAGTCCTGCGCCGGGGGCCGATACCCCAGCACAAAGTCCCGGGTGCGACTGTGCACACCATCGGCGCCGATGACACAGTCGGCGGCGAGGGTCAGGCCTCCGTTGACGGTCACGCCCGCGCGGTCACCGTCCTGGGCCTCCCAGTACTCGGTGACCGCCGCCCCGAACCGCAGGTCGATCCCCAGGGCGACAGCATGGCGATACAAACCCGTGACGAGCGTGGCGCGCTGGATGATCATGCCGTCGCCGACGCCGTAGCCGTCCATCGCATCCAGGGCATACAGCTTCCCGGCGGGATCGAGCACCTCCAGGGCGGCCACGTCGTCCGCCTCCGCGACGAGCCGTCGGTACACCGCGCCCTGCTCCCACGCCTGCATCACCTTGGTCGCATTGCTGCCCAGCGCGATGCTGTCCCCTGTATCCTCCGTCGAATCTTGTCAGCGGCTGAGTGAGTGGGGAGACCGCGGATTGGCATCCCTACCCAGAACCCGGACCTCGGGGCTCTTCTCCAGCCCGATCACTCTATGGCCCTTGTAGTGGCACTCGATGGCCGCCACCAGGCCCAAAATCCCCAGCCCCACGATTATCACGTCGATGCCGCTGGATCGCGGCTCGGCGACCCCGCCCGGGCCGACCCCGGTGCTGATTGTCATGTTGGACGAGTGAGTGAGTTAGTGAGTGGGTGGGTGAGTGGTTTCTGTGGCCTTGGGGATGGTGCTGGTGCCGTGGAATGAGTAAGTTTGGAGAAGGGGGAGATTCTTCCTCTCCTCGGATGATCGATAGTCAGCTGATCGACAGCGCTTCCTTGCATGGAGGGAGGGGAGAGGGGGGCGGCAAACGATGAGCGGTCTGGCCATGTCTTTCCTGGGTCGAACGCTGGATATGCAGTTTTCACGCTTTAGCTCTTCCTCTTCCCTCGCGTTTCGGGTGTAAACTAGCAGGTATCCGCATATGGTCTAATGCTTAGCGGGTTAGTTGGTTCAGCGCTGGTCATTGTGGTCTGGCCACAGGGGGCGGTAGTAAGTCTCCTATTCCAAGTCCAAGTTGGTCGGGTCTCACCGCCAGCAAGGACATCGTCACCGTGAGACAAAACTGGATGGGCTAATCAGCTACCGCGTGATTTGCGTTCTGCAGGAATGTCTTATGCTGAAGAATTTGATCGGTTTCGTTCGGCGGCTGAGCCCGCCGGGCCCCATACAACACACACATCCCTCGTGCACTATCATGCAAGGAGGGTGCAGCATAATGCGTCTGCAAGTCTGACGTCATAAATGAGGATGCCTAACATAGCCAAGACACGGGGAAAGGGGGGGGGGGGGAAGGGGACAGAAAATGGCGATGTCCAGTTTTTCCTGTGCAGAGAGGAATGTGCGGTGACTCTGTATGCCCAGTTTTTCTGGGCCGGAAAATGTGCATATGCAATATGCAGCATGCACACACTCCGGCCCACATGTAAACAGGGCAGCGGGCGGAATCTCCCTTGATTGGGGCGGCTATGCAAGGGTCTCTTTGGGGATTGATTGGTTTTTGGCACAGGATCAAGGGCGTTTAGGATTGGATGAGCTGCAGGCTTGGGCGTGGTGCTCTGCAATCGAAACTATGGATTATTCAGGGCTGCTGCATCAGGCTTTGAGGTAGCAGTTGTGCTGGCTACGCGCGTGACATGTTGGAACCCTAACATGGGTCATGTTGTACGGTACTCTGGGTATCGTAGAATCTAGTCCACGATCTATGACCCAAGCAATTTTGATCAACCTCATCAATGCTACAGATCCACGACCTTACTACTACGGAGGAGCTTGACTAGGTTTCTTTCGTTGCATCACCAAGGCATATTGAAAAATAATGAGAGCCGAGAGGGAGTTGGACAAGGTGACTGTAGACTTGTAGACGGAAAGATGCTCGCAAAGCATACTGCCGAGGAATAAGGATTATAACGATTTAGCACGACTCGCCCACTGCAGCAAGCAAAGTGCAAAGAAGACGGATGGAACATACTGAGCAGAAATACAGCAAGGTGAGTACAGGCAGCTCTATCACCATCACGAGAAAGGGAACTATTGTAGCAGTGTCAAGGCAGCAAGAAAATAGCCATTTCATGAATTGCATGCTTGACGTCTACACACTTTGACAGCCCACCTCGCCATCCCTCTTCTACTACTATCATCATTTAAGCCTGGCCTCGACGATACCCATAATGTCGCCCGGCTTCCTCCACACTTGCACCAGCACCAGCCCTGCACTGTCCAGAAGGCTTGCAAAGTTCTTCTCAGTCCGCTCGATGCCTCCGATGGCCATCAAGCTCAGATCCTGCCAGGCGTGAGTCATGGTAGCCCCCGTCTCCGGGATGATGATGTCGTGGATCAAGATCCGGGACTGGTCCCGGTCCATCGCAGCCGCGGTATTTTCGAGGATCGTCTTCGCTTCCGGCACATCCGGCCAGTCGTGGAAGACACGTCGAAAGTAATATATAGAGGCGCCTGACAGATCAATTGTAGATTAGCTATTACGACCACAACACGGGATAGCGCTCGAAAGGAAAATGAAAGAAAAGGCATACCCCGGATTGGCTGAGCTTGCTTCAAGAAGTCGTAGACCTGCGGTTCAATACCATCGGCTCGCAGCGCCTGGCTGTGTTCCTGGATGACAGGCTCAAGATCCTGCACGATGAACCGACGGCCTTTCAATGCCGGGACGATCTTCATGATCTGCCGCGTGGCGTTTCCATGGCTGCCGGCGATATCGACGATGGCCACACGGTCCTGGGCGGCACCGCGAAGCTGATCCTCCCATGGGTACAGGTCCATGGCCATTTGCTCCACGTCGGCGGCTTCGGCCTTGGTCACAGGCGCAACATGCTTCGGATTCTTGTAGAGGTACTCGAACATCGTCTCGCCCGGACAGTTGTGGGCCAGGGTGAACGGGTTGTTTCGGGTCGTGATAGCGTCTTTCCAGTCATGCTGGCAAAGGAAGTCGCAGATCTGCAAGACAGGCCCGAAGATGAAGTCCGACCTACGGGGAAAGGTCTCGTGTTCAGTAACCAGACAGCAACTAAAAAGGCCTCCTGCTCGACGACGCACATTACCGGGAAGCAGCCCGCGATGTCTGCGGTCAGATAGGCCTCGGAATACGGCGTGTGGGCATACTCCTCCTCGCCTGTCTCGCGGAAAGGACCCAATGGAGTCACGGCTCGCATCAGGCGTACTATATGCCCGTCAGCAATGATGTTGCGAGGTCTTGGAGGTTCGGGTCCGACATACTCAGGATGCTCTTGTCCATACCCGTCCGTGAAGCGATCTCGCTGGCCGTCATCGGAGCTCCGCCCTTGGGGATGGCGTGGAAGACCCCGGCCGCTAGAAGAGTTCGTAGCGCTCCCACTTTGACGATCTATTCGAGGCTCACTCATTGTCATTCAGATGCCATGCGAAACAGAGACGGTGCTCACTAACCTCCTCGAAAGAAGACAGCGCCGAGGGCACAGGGCCGCGGACGGTTTGGATCAGGCTGGAGGCCTTCCTCTGCAGGTCGAGCTTGGTCTCATCGCCGGCGGTATCGCCATTCAGGAAGCGCTGGGCTGCGACAACTATCGCGTCAACATCTTTTTGCACGGCCAGCCGCTGCGCGTCAGTCTTGTCGGTGATCGTCATGATAGTGCAGGATCCCCGTAACTCCGATTGTGTATCTGGTGTCAATAAGCCACAGCGAAGTTACAACATGTTGTAACTAGGAAATGAACTTGCTTGTTGATTTTGAATTTGACATCATGGTTGAGCTGGCTCGAAAACAGGGATACGGCCCGCGAGTCATGGTCCCAACCCCTAGCATTTGCTTGAAGTTCAAGCAACAAAGAGAATTTGCCACCTTCTCATCGGGATTTGAATCCATCAGTCTATCTTCATGATTGAGCCGAGTGCAAAACAGGGCTGAGCCCCGCGGGCTACCGTCCCATCTTCTGGCCTTGCTTTTACCGGTCAACCTACGGAGGAGTGAGACATGGAATACTCGTGGCTTGTCGTCAAATCTGCCCTATTGCGGTTGCTCGCGTTCACCACATACAACATTCCACCATGGGGGGGAGAAAGGACATGTCCAAGACCGACTCTGTATACGACTAGCCTGGAAGCCACATAGGATCTCAGGTGATTTCGATTGCAACTAAACTGTAATTGTTCTTGGTAGATAGAGTAAGATGAACATGCAGGCTACCCAATCTTCCCTTCGAATTGTCAAGCCCCTTTTCCTCACACAGCCCAGCTCATTGTGCCCTCCGAGGGACGGACCGGAGTGCTCGGTGCACAACCACGCTGCTTGGTGCTTGGGGTCGTATGCCTGCATGCTACTGTGTATTTCGGCACTGTTTCTGCAGGCATACCTACCCAATATTCTCCGTTTCTTCACGGCTGACTCGCATACTCCAGCAGACTTGCAGAACCTGTTTCACTGTTGCTCGTGTGTTGCTCGCCCGGATAACCCTGCAGCTCCTTGCCTGGATGGAAATCATCTCGCTCGCAGGACCCTCCTCGGTTGCATGGCTCCTTGCTTGACAGAAGTCTTGCGCCATGCCTTGCCTGGAAGATTCATCTTCCTTGTCTAGATCCTCCGTGGCGCGGTCTCACGCGTTGATGGACTAATATGCAGTTGACTGTGATAGATAATGGTCACGTGGTCACACTGCGGCGTGCTGTGCTTCGCATGTCTTCACCACAAATCGATCCGGACCTCGTCCCTGAAGATTCCAGATGATCGCTTACCTGGACTGAAGAACAAGCGCTAGTACGGTGTGAAGCGGATACACAGCTTGTTACTGTACCTTGATCATATGACACATTTTGACCATACACGAGGGCTAATCTGATGATAACATATTATGTCTATGAAATGGTGGCAGCGTCAATGCAGAAGAATTGTACGTAGCTTATCCAGGCTATCGGATCCATCCATCTCAGATCGTCTATTCACATAGTGCTCCCAGGAATTATGATCCAGTCTGGTATCTGGGCCAATGCGGGGATATGTAGATATAGTAGGAGTGCTAGGTAGGTCGGAGAGTGATCCTCCTTTAGAGAAGGCGGTGAAGGCTCGCGACCTTCTCGATCTCTCTCTCTCTCCATCGTCATGTCGCTGTACACACGCCAGCAATTTAAGCGAATCTCATCATTTCTCTCATCATTTCATTTGTGACCCTACTTCGGAGATATGAGAAGATACACACCCCAGCACCTCCTTTTTAGTCAATCCCAAAATCACCATGCTAGACTGAGTTGAGAATAGGAGCTTTCATTCCGAACGAAGCCCAGGACAACCCCCCCCCCACCCCCGACTGAGATGGAATGAAATAGTCATGACTGTGGTCCTCAACTCGATGACACAGACACATTCTCGAAAGAGATTACAGAGCCTCCAAGATGATCGCTTGCTCAGCAACCTTGAACCATGCATCCCCACGTTTCTGAGCCTCTCGGCCGTCCGTGTCCGCGGCGGACTTCTCCGGCGACCGGAGACGATAATGCTCGACCGTGTACGCCACCAACACCTTGAGGATCGTATCCGCCAACGCCTGGGCGATACACTGGCGCGGCCCGAAGCCAAAGCGCCAGAACCGGTAGCGGAAAGTCGCGCGGGATTCGGCCAGGAACCGTCGCGGCCGGAAGCTCGTCGGGTCCGGGCCCCAGGACTCATCGCGGATGTTCAGAGCATTCGTATCGACCACCATGTAGCTGCCCTGGGGGATGCGGTATCCCCCGACGTCGCGTGCTGTAGGAATCGACTGAGCGTACGTGTAATTCGTCACCGGCCGCAGTCGCGCCGACTCGTTGATGCAGCTCGCCAGCAGCGTGGAGTGGCTGGCGATGTACCGCTCCCACGCTCCTGCGGAGTCGTCCGACCGTACGTCCATGATCTCCCTGCGGAGTTGCTCCTGAATGGCGGAGTCGTCGGCCAGGAAGGCCGGGATCCAGGAGAAGCTGCCGATCGTGACGTCGATATTCGCGAAGAGCGCCTCGTCGAGAGTATGCATCAACTCCGTGGGCGTGAGCTGGCCGCGCTCGACCGCGGCATAGAGAGGTACGATTGCGCATGCGGCGCCCTGGCCGCTGGCTTGGGCGCGTTGGTATGCTTGCCGGTTGAATGCCGCCCACCGCTCGTGGAAGACACGCAACTTGGCCCGGATCGTCGGCGAGAAGAGTTTCGTGAAGGAGAAGAGCGACAGTCCGCCCTTAAAGGCATACTGGAAGACGTCGGTCCGCAGTTCGGTGATGGCGAGGAGTTCCTGCACCATGTCCGGAGGCAGCTCTCCGTACAGGAGATCACCGATCACCCAGAAAGGCAGAAGCTTGAGATCCTCGGCAGGCTTCAGACGCCACGACTCTCCGGCTTGATAGTCCCCGTCTAGCTCGTTGAATTGTCGAGCCACTCGTGACTGCACCAACGGAACGTAGGTGGTGGCCTTCTGAGTAAATGGAGGCGAGACCACCGCATGGACACGTTTCCAGTGCCCCTGGCTGATGAGGCCCACCCCGTCTCCAACCAGATCGCCCATCACCCAGCCCCCATTCAGGTTTGAGGCTTTCAGGTGATCTCCAGAGTCCCTGAAGACCGTTTTAATCTCCTCCGCCCGCGTTAGAATGCTGGCGAGGATTAGCACGGACCAATAGCTGCGGAACCGGACACGTACATCTCAGGCGTCAGGCCAACCCAGATGCGATAGACCGGTCCATACTTCTCCGCCCATCGACGAGAGACCCTTTCGTATTCGAGAAACTTGAGGCTCCCTCCACCGTCGGGAAATCGGTATGGACATGTCGGAATCGAGGTCCGGCCGTCTGCCGAATGGATTGGATACCACCATAACAAGAAACACTGTAAATTAGGACTGGATTCCACAAAGACACCGGTGGAACAACACTCACATTGATCACATAGGAGATGAATCGATTGGGCCAGGTGTTTGGCGTGAATGCGCGCCAGAACGCCAGTAAGACCGCGGCCAGACCAAACTGGATGGTCAGAGCAATTTGGCTGACCATCATGTGAATCTGCTTGCTGGATGATCCGGACACCGGTTACCCAGGGGGTCAAAAATCCAGAGACGAGGCGAGCCTGGACCACATAAGTTCAAATGACGTGCACTCAGCTCACTGACCGACTGGTTGATTGTGTGGCCGAGGAGAAATCCCTGACATCGATGCAATTTCCTCATCAGTGCTGAACATGTGGTGACGGCCATGTAAGGGTCGGGTCGCAAGTGGAGTTGTCTTGGTCTCGGATACGCCGATCTCCAGGCATGGACAGCGGTATGTAGGCATCCAGTGGGGGTTATTCTATATTCGGTCGCGCAAGGGTGATGTCTCTCAACCCCTGACTCGCCGGGCTGCCTCTTGGTCATTCTGCAAAAATGTCCAGGGCAGCGCAAGCAGGACTGGTAATGATATCATCACCTTCAAAGCAATACCACGATCGTGGTCACGGTTGAATACTATATTCTCCAAGGCAGAGGCCCTGCCGCTCCCCTCAATCTCTTGATCTGTCTATACACGATAGAGCGGGCTCACCATGAACTTGTGTCTTGATCGTCATGTTATATCTTTTCCTCTAGATGAGGAATTGCTAGCGAGGTGGAGCGCGAGTGGGACATCTACGCCACCAGCGCATCCGCTCAAGGCAGCATGGGCGCTGTTACTTTCCCGAGTCTCGGGGTTACCAAGAAGCAAATTCGGAGTCATCGAGACTCCGATGACTTCGGTCGTTGATCCAAAGATCAATCCCACGAGCTCGGAGCTACCGCATGTAGAGACCTGGGCGATATCCGAAAATGCCGACATTGCTCTGCGGGATGCAGCCGAGGAGAGCACCGAGTGTCTCGTCGAAGCCGAGGCCACCTCTGCGATCATCATCAGCTGGGACGGTGAAACAGCCCTTGTAAGTGGAGAATGAGACTGTCTTCATCGTGCCAGGCACTAATGGCCTCCGAGTTACCATCGACCTTTCAAACGGTTGTGCTTTTGAATTGCGGCCTGTCACCGGCTCAAATGTACATGAGTTTCTCGCGAGAGTTCCTCACAATAAGCATGGCCTGGGCACAATTGGCTTCTTGTGTTCGGCTCCTGGAGCAAATGATCTTGACTCCCGACTTGCCGCTCTCCAAGGTAGACTTTCTCGGCTCCTACGGCGAGAAGACGATTCAGCAATGGAACGATCCTTATTCCCTGTCCAGACCGAATGTTTGTATCCACACATTGATCCAGGAACATTGTCACAGTCAGCCTGAGGCGGAAGCTCTATGTGCCTGGGATGGCTCCGTCACATACGCCGAATTGGATCGGCTATCGCTAGCAATCAGCATTCTGCTGCAGACCCATGGAGTCGGCCCTGAGACGATTGTGCCACTTCTCTTTGAAAAGTCCCAATGGACCGCGATCGCTATTTTGGGGGTGCTGCGGGCAGGTGGCGCTTTTGTTCTGTTGGATCCTTCCCACCCGGTCCATCGTCTGGAGGAAATCTGTATCGAAGTGGAGGCAACAGTTGTCCTCACCTCTCGTTCACTGCACGAACTGGGCGGCCAAGTACATCGGAAAGCAATTGCAGTCCCGAAAGCCGATATTGAGGTGGATGAATCAAACCGCCACCGGGCCTTAGTCGTTAATCCATCCAATGCTGCTTATATCGCCTTCACTTCAGGATCGACTGGGAAGCCCAAGGGAATCGTGATCGAGCACCGGTCCTTCTGTGCGAATGCCCTAGCCCAGAATGCGGTCCAGAATCTGAGCTCCCGGACTCGTGCTTTTCAGTTTGCCGCCCACGCCTTTGATAGCAGTATTCTGGAGATGCTCATGACGCTCATAGCCGGGGGGTGTGTCTGTATACCCTCGGAGGAACAGCGTCTGAATGGACTGCCGAACGCGATCAACACCCTCCAGGCCAACTGGCTGGAATTAACGCCGTCTGTGGCACGTTTCCTCCAACCTGATCTGATACCGGGGGTCAAGTCACTGCTACTCGTCGGTGAGCCAATGTCACGCAAGGATGTGAGCCAATGGGCCGATAGGGTCCAACTTTTGAATGCCTATGGCCCTGCTGAGTGCAGCGTGGTAACCACGATCCAGCCCCGCGTGAAGGCAAATGACCCGCAGAGCATCGGGCGCTCCTACAGCGGTCACTGCTGGATCGTGAATCCTCAAGATCATGACCAGCTGGAGCCTCTGGGTGCCGTGGGGGAGTTGATTGTCAGTGGGCCGATCGTGGCCCGAGGCTATCTCAATTACCCGCGGCAGACTTCATTCATCAGCACGCCCCGTTGGGCGACCCGGTTCGGCGTCCCCGAAGATGAGCGGTTCTACAGGACTGGAGATCTTGCTCGTTATAATGTGGATGATGGGACGCTGCAATACATCGGGCGGAAAGACCGGGAGGTCAAAATCCATGGCCAGCGCATTGACCTGCAAGAAATCGAATATCTTGCGTCTCAGTACCAGAATGAAGTGGCCGCAGTCGTTGATGTGATTCAGCTTGGGGATAGCAGCGCAGGCAAGCTTTTGACGATCTTCTTGGCATACGCAGATACAGACCTTTGTTCTGACAGCTGCAAGGGTCAGGTTGTCAGTGCAGATCCCGCCATGCGTTCTGTGTCTGTGGGCATGAAAGGCTGGCTCCAAGACCGTCTGCCCCCATATATGATTCCTACCAAATACGTCTGGGTGACTAGATTCCCTTTGACGCGAACGGGAAAGCTCGATCGACGGGCATTGATAGATTTGGGAACAGCAGCGACCCGCGCACGAACACACAATCCAGAAACAGAGTCGTCAACCATGGATAGCCACGAGGATGCTGACTTCGACCCCGATATGCTATTGAAAGAGGACCTTATCCGTTCACTATTTGCTGAGGTGCTGGACTGTCCTGGACAGGTCATCAGTATACATGATGACTTTTATGAACTGGGAGGAAACTCGCTCGCCGCGATTGAACTTGTCGCTCGCGCGCGCAGTCGAGGACTAGAGGTCACAGTTGCAGAAGTCATCCGTTCTCAAACCGCCCATAAGATTGCCAGGTCCTCCTTGGAGACTGCAGAAAGCCCCGAAATTCCACCTTTTGCTCTGCTGGGAAACCATGACAGAGAAGAGATTCTATCGACTGCCGTCGTCCAGTGTCAGGTCATGCCCAGCCAGATCGAGGATATATACCCGTGCACCCCTTTACAAGAAGGTCTCATGTCGCTGTCAATCAAAAGGCCGGGGGCCTTCATCGGTACATACCAATTCTCATTACCTTCTTCGACGAGCGTGACTCAGCTGCGTGCCGCATGGGAACGGCTTTGGGTCGCACATCCAATACTACGGACTCGGATCGTCTCGGCGAAAGATGGAACCATGATGCAGGTCGTCATAAAAGAAGATCTCCTTTGTAGGGAAGGACTATGCGCCGACGATGTCCGGAGATCAATGGGCTTCGGAAGTTCACTCGCACGTTTGACAATTCAGCAACTCAATACCCCTGTTCTGTTTATTCTCACGATTCACCACGCTATCTTTGATGGATGGTCGTACGTACAGCTGCTCGAGGACCTGCACAGTTTTTATCAAGGCCAGTTACCACAACCGCGGCCCGCATTCACTAAATACATCCAATATCTTGCGACATCGGATTCGCACATGAGCCGTTCTTTCTGGAAGGACGAGCTCAAAAATTACCAGTCCCCAGTGTTCCCTTCATCCTTGTCCCGGCGGCCATCAACCTTACCTCAGTGGCTTGTCAAAAGCCATCAGCTTTCCTTAGCCGGCCTTGATATCAATTGGAAGCTCGCAAACCAAATCAAGCTGGCATGGGCATTGGTCGTATCCTCCCAATCAAACTCCGACGATGTCATATACGGGCTGACTGTTACTGGCCGAAACGCTCCGGTTTCTGGGATTGATCGTATCACAGGTCCGACATTCACCACATTCCCATTCCGAACACAGCTGAACCAGAAGCTATCTGTCCAACAAACGTTAGCTGAACTGCAAGAACATGATGTATCCCTCATGCCATATGAGCATACGGGCCTCAAGAATATTGCGGAGTCAAGCCCAGAGGCAGCTTGGGCTTGCGGCTTTCAGAACCTTCTGACCGTCCGACTTCGCTCATCTCAGAGTACATCCTCAGCCTTCCTCGACTTACCTGAGAATGAAGCCGAAGACCTGAATTTTGCATCTTATCCTCTATCAATCGTGGTCCAACAGAAGGACAGTCTGCTGAAGATCAAAGCCTTCTATGACGGGGAAATTCTGACTTCCAGTGTTGTCCAGGACCTCCTCGATGACTTCGAAACCTTCCTGCAGCACGTCATCCAGCAGCCTCAATCCATCATCGGCGATCTGAAAAGCCTTATGTCTCAGCGATGGCAGCAGGTGGCTGAGATCAATACAGAAACTTATGATCACCCGTCGCCGAGGTGCCTTCACGACGCTATCCAGGGGCATGGTGTCACGCAGCCAGAATGGGAAGCTGTGTGCGCATGGGATGGCTCCCTGACGTACGAGGAGCTAATTACCATGGGACGTACTCTCGCAGGTCATCTTCAAGTCTCGGGATCAGGTCCTGGGACGATTATCGGGATTTGTCTGAGGCGCACGAGGTTATTTCCCGTCGCGATTCTCGGCGTTTTGATGTCTGGAGCTGCTATGGTGTTGCTGGAGCCAGATTTCCCGCCGCAGCGTTTGAACGGGATTCTGAACGACGTGGACGCGCAGTTTGTCATCTGCTCTCCGGGGTTACAGGAGAAGTTCGAGTGCAAAACCAAAACCACAAGGCAGATTATCCCCTTCGCATGGGATCTGGGAGAATGGAAGAGTTGCGATTCTTGGCTCCCACCACCGGTCAGCCCTAGCGATCCAATGTATGTTGCCTTTACCTCCGGATCGACCGGTACCCCCAAAGGGGTGGTTATAGAACATGGGATGGTCTACTCGACGATCCATGCCCACAAAGACGCTATCGGCGCAGCAAAGTCGTCCCGGTGCTTGCTTTTCGCCTCGCCGGCGTTCGACATCTGTCTGGCAGAAATATTCTTCATGCTTGTCACTGGAGGCTGCGTCTGTATTCCCTCCGAGAGCCAGCGCATGAATAGCCTGGGTGAGACCATGTCGGCCATGAGGGTGAATATGGCCATGTTGACCCCATCGGTGGCCCGGACCCTCTCACCGGAGAAGGTGCCATCTCTCCAGACACTGATCCTCGGAGGAGAGTCCCCCTCGGCGTCGGACCTGGCAACATGGGCCCCACGGGTACGTCTGCATCAGTCATACGGACCGGCGGAGTGCACCATGTACGCGTCGACGACACCTCGTTTGGCCCCCAATTCCGTTCTCAACAATGTGGGATCCTCTCTGAATGCGACTTATTGGATCGTCAACCCGGAAGATCACAATGAGCTTATGCCTGTTGGCTCAATGGGAGAGTTGCTGATTGGCGGTCCTCTTGTTGGCCGGGGCTATATCAACCGACCTAAAGAGTCCGCAGCCGCCTTCATTCAGGATCCGGCCTGGAGTCAGCAAATCCCTGCTCTGTTGGGCTCGAGACTGTACAAGACTGGAGACCTTGCTATCTTGAACCGGGACAAATCCTTGCTTCTGATTGGTAGAAAGGATACCCAGGTAAAGCTCCACGGACAACGCATTGAGCTGCACGAGGTTGAGCGTTGTGCCGAGGGCTTCGGACACGATCTTGCAGTGATAGTTGAGTTGGTGGAAATTCAGAGCGTTCAGAGATCGAGTCTGGTCGCGTTCGCCTACAATCCAGTCACGGTGGAGAGAACACTAGCTATGACCCCAGCTCTCGGCGACGATCAGATGCCATTCTTACCCCCGTCAGCAGACAATCGACAACTCTTTGCGGGCCTCCGACAGCATCTCCAACAGCACCTAGCACCATTTATGGTACCGTCATTAATGCTAGAATTGTCGTGCCTGCCCCTAAGTCTAACCGGAAAGATCGACCGCAAGACACTTCGGCACGCTGCATCGATGCTTGACACGGAAACCCTGAGAATGCATCGGGGTGGTGTCGCTGGGTCGAAGACGGGACCAGTATCGCCCCAGGAGCAGTTTGTGCGTGGAAGCTTTGCCACCGCGTTGTCACTGGATGAGCAGACCATTGGGTTAGACGATAATTTCTTCGCTCTGGGCGGTGATTCCCTGAGCGCCATGCGGGTTTTGACCTTGTGTCGGCGGGGGGACATGAATATTTCCATGCATGAATTTCTCTCTCACGACACAGTTTCTTCGCTTTGCGCTTATGTTCGCAGCTACCAGGACCAGTGTCCAGATCCTGGTTTCCAGAAGGGCGTGACTCCGAAGAATCACTCGGAGAGCGAATCTAGTTCTGTCTATTCTCGCGATGTCGCTCACGACATCGAAATTATTCGATCTCAATTGACCTCGCTACAGTCGCATAACATCGAGGACATATATCCGTGCTCGGACGCTCACAACGGTATCTTGGAGTTGTATACATCCCAGTACACGAGTACGGCGATCTTCCAGATCCTCCCCGGCGGCTCACTGAGTGCGGTACAGGTGAGCAATGCCTGGAATCATCTTGTCAAGCGCCATGCAGCATTACGCACAATCCTCGTCGACGATCCCAAGGCCGTTGCAAAGAAGCTCCAGGTCGTTCTGCACCCAGGCACCCTGCAGGACCCGATTTGCGCATCCAGCAGCACGGCACTTGCTGATTTGAGAAGCTCACGACCTGTTCAGTCGTGGGACCTTTCGCCTCTGTATCGGCTTTTCATCAGGCAGGATGATGGCGGAGAGGTGTTCATGCGGCTGGAGACGGGTGGGGCACTAATCGATGCCTTTTCCATGTCGATTCTCATGAGGGAGCTTTGTCTCATCCTCGACGGGCAGCCGTTGCCATCTATCAGTGTTACGTACCGCCAATACCTGACCCACCTACAGCAGCAACGACCGTCGGCCAAGGCCTTGCAATACTGGTCGCACGTGCTGTATGACTCTCAGCCATCACACCTCTCACGACGACCAGAGGAGACACCTTCGCCCTCTTCCCCCCCCTCGCCGCGCGCGCAGACCCGCCGTCTCTCGCCAGCCCAATTCCACGACCTCAACGCGTTCTGGAGGGCCCACCGCCTCACGATCACGAACATCTGTCAGCTGGCCTGGGCCTTGACGCTCGGCCAGTATACCAACACTCGCGAGGTCTGCTTCGGCACGGTCACGTCCGGCCGCGAGGACCTCCACCTCGACGTCTGGGACTCCGTGGGCTCCTTCTTCAACATCCTGCCCTGTCGCCTCGCCCTGGAAGCCAACATCGCGGTGGTGGAGGCCTTGAACCGGAACCAAGCGGAGATCCAACGACGAACCGAGCACCAGAACTGTTCCATGCCCGATATGATCCGCAGATTCCGGGCACAGTCAGACAATGATCTGGACCAGCAACTGTTCGATACGGTGTTGACCGTCCAAAACACCGTCTCGACCAACTCGCATCCCGCGCGCTCCCAAGACAAGGATACTGCAGCTGCGACTGCTACCAGAAACACCCAAGTCGAGCTCCTTGACCTGGAAGATCCCACCGAAGTGAGTAGCAATCCCTCCAGCCATGCGCCCATTCCCCACTCTGGAACATAAGCCCTCCACCAAATAACCGAACTCATGGACACTCCAAAAGCTAATCCCGTGACACAGTACGACTTCTGTCTCGCGGTTCACACCTCGCCGGCCCAGATCGAGATCGAGCTCCGCTACTGGACGTCCACCGCCTCGGAGAAGTACGCCTCGGAGATTCTAGCCCGCATGCTCGAGTCTCTCGACCTAATCGTTCGGAACCCGACGGAGCCGCTGCAGAAGATTCTTCGCGTGCAATCATAGTGTCTGCCCCACGTCTCTGGTCCAAATAACCAAAGGCCAGAAAGCAGGTTCTACAGTATCGTCGTTCAGAGGATTCTGGTCTGCAGTCTGCAGTCTGCGGCTCTGCGGTCTCGCTGGCCAGGCTCCGGGGGGCGGGCGGCGTGTTGATATCTAGCCCTGCCCAGATAGCCTTGTGTGTACGTAATCGAATGAATTCATACTTGTCCTGTCTTCCACACTTCTTATAAAGTCTTTTCGTGTACTCTGATCCCGGTCGTGGGCTACATAGAACACAGCTAAACACAAGAGTGACTCACTCATATATCATTGCAACGGACTTTCTATAGCCGCATCAAACCGAAAGAGCAGTCCCCTCCCCTGGATAAACTGACATAGCGAAGATACGTGCCCCGTCCAGCAATATACCATCCACAGCCGTACCAGGTGTGATCCTGAAGGCTCAGAAATATGCCATTCAAGCTATACGAGAGCCACCCCGGAGGAAAGCAGAGTCTAGCTGCTCTAGGCTCAGGTGGTGCGTGCCCCGTGAACGGACCAGTGCGTGCACCAAAGCTTGCACGAAGCCATGTCCTCGCGTGCCGGCGTACGAGTGACATGCCCGGCTGCGGGGTACGGGGTGTGGGGTGTGGGCTATGTCCGTACGCACTATGACGAGCGTGAGCGGAATGACCTGCCGAAACTATACGTTTCTGGAAGGGGAAGGAAGTGCTGGTAGGCGATGAAGCTGAGGGGACTGTTGACGGCTGCCGTTGTATTGCGAGGGTAGTTCGTTCCGGCCGGGGGAGAGTGAGTGGCATTTCCAGTGCGGGACGAGGAGGGATTAAGTTACAATACTTACTCCGGAGTTAGAGCATCTCCAAATGCATTTAGAGTCTTGTCTCCGAGATGAGAAGCTTCTCCCGTCAGGTGGAACCATGTCATAAGGGTCTTATCTCCCGAGGATCGCTTTTTCGTGCTCAATTGTTACGCTATCCCTCCTTTACCAGACTAATCAACCAGGATACTGTTTTGATTGTCCTCACCCACCCTACCACCCATCCCGTTACGAAAGTGTGGAACACCAGGTGATCGCTTGTAGAGCAATAGGAGGGCTGTGCCGGCAGTGAAATGGGAGAGGTGAGGGGGAGCTGAGCGGTGGTGATGGGTCCTGGGTTTTAAATTGTGTATAGAGGTCGAACATAGACTGGGCATGGAAAGAATTGTTAAATGCTAAACGCATTCCGTGTCATAATCTCGTTACTTCGTAGACACCGTGAGACATACTACAACCTAAGCCCCTCTAGGCAAGGATAGGCCAAATCTGCTCTCGCTTGGTCACATCCAACCACGTCGGGATGGACTCGCCGCGACTGGAGGTGATGTGCTCGTCTTGCTGCGTCCAGACCTCCTTCATGACATCGCGCGCCACGCGGAACCCTGCGAACCCGCACCGCGCTTCTCCCTTGTCTAACAGTTTCAGGACTTCGCTCCGTCGCTCGAGGGTGGTCGCTTCGCACCCCGCAATGAACAGCGGCCACGCGGTGCCCGGCCCGGTCTGTCCTGCTTCAGTCAACGCAGCATCGAATTTGCTGAGCGACGAAACGACCTTGTCGACGTGGCCTTCGAGGATCAGCGGGTGTACTTCGCGGATGCGACGGTAGAAGAAGATGACCAGCGCCGAGTTCAGCGCCTCGAGGAGGTACTCGTGCGCCTGAGAGCACACCTCCGAGAGATTCGGGGACGTGCTTGCACTCTCGACTTTGCGCGAAGCTAAAGCGCAGACCATATTCTCGAGCCGGGCGCTGCGACGGTGCAGCGCATCCCAGGCTTCGATGCTGGCTTGCTTCACCTGCGGCGTCCGCCGGGCCACCCGGAAGGTCTCCATCACGTTGGCCAGGCGTGTTGTTTGGGAGACGAGACTCAGCCAGGTCTCCGGGATGCCATAGATTTGATGATACAGAGTATCCGGGTAGCTGCGGGAGTCTTGGAGGTGGATGTCATGGAGACCGACGTCTTGGCTCTTGGGTTCGTTGATATTCAAGTCGCTGTCGGACGGGCCGCGGGCTAGACGGAGGAAGTCGTCCAATCGGGATGTCTGTTCGCTCGTGGTACTAGATTTGTTGATGCTGTCAGACTTCTCAGATCGGAACGAGCATTTCAAGGCGTTCATGAAATGCTCTGAAGGAGTATAGTCGTGTAGGGTGTAGGTGCTTTCGCCGATGATCCGGAGCCAAGTGTATACGTGGTGAAGGAGGCGGGCTTTCTGGGATATGCGTCGCTTAGACAGGCCCCGCAAGCGCAGTAGTCGCTCAGCGTCGACCATGTAGCATCTTGCGTCTTGCTGTTGGCCGCTGATAATCTACATGGCGTCAGTAAGATGCTGTCACTGTGGTTCGCAATTAATGCATGAAACTTACAGCAAATTCGGTCAAGGCACAGATGGCCATCAGCTGGTCTTTGTACTTGGCAGCTTTGGGTTGAATCTCATGTCTTAGTGATGTTTGCATATGGTCCTTGGCCATATTATATGCGTGCTCAGCAATCGGTTGCCAGTTCACCCGAGACTCTGATGTATTCATCGATGGATTAACACTCAGATGCAGCGCAGAACATGCCAGAAGGCAATATAGGTTCGCTAAGCGAGCATGGCTGATGTTCTGCGTCCCTAGAAAGGTCAAATCACTGTACGTCACCACTGCGGATGGCACATTCGTGATCTTCCACGGAGACTTTTGCTCGAGAGGAATGGCTGACATGCGAGAGATGACATGGTCTTGAAAATGTCGCAGCAGAAAGTGGGCATCAGCCAGCACATTGACCGGATCACTGGCCAGGGTCGAGGGTAGCTGCGGGATTAATGTCGATTGCGTTCCTTCCTGCTCCCCATTTGTATCGAGGATTGGATCTGTTGTTCCTACCGCACCACCATTGACAGCAGCCTGTGCATCTGGCTCGAGGAAAAGAGCATCACCAATATCAAAAGCTGTTGAGATCATAGAGTCTGGCATTTGAAGGTCGATACTGAAGAGATCCGACCATTGTAGCAGATCGTTCATGTAAGCAATCGACTCCTGTGACAGTGACGGGCTTACGACCGAGCTGGTTTCAACCAGGGGTGCTTGTATCGGCGGAGGGCTCACGACCTCCGTGGCCCTGGAACTTTGTTGCTGCGAGGCAGTCTCTTCATGCTTCGGACCCGATAGATCCAGCACAGAGAAAGGCCCGACCACGATATTTTCCTCGGTAAGTCGGTCTGAATCCCTGGCCCGGCTATCGATCTCCGCTAAGGAGGCATCGATAGACCCCGATACTAGTTCCGAGCTCAAGGCATCACTCATGGAAAGCCGTGACTGCTCTGAATTGAGTCATTAGAGGCCATCATGGAGATGAGGCAGAGTCAATCACCTGTGTAAAGAACACGTCTCGGGCCCAACTTAGCCGGATCTTTCTTGACTTTCCAGTCCCTCGTTCGCGGCGGCGATTGATGCTTGCGTGCTGCTACCCAGCGAATATCGTCAGTAAACCCCTCACATGTCACCCCGCTGGCCCGGCACATCTGGCACGAGGGTCTCCGTTGATCGCATTTGGCATGTCGGCGACGACAGGTCTTGCAGGCTCCCAAAGCGTGGGTGCGACGGGATCGGTTGCCTGATGCCTTGGACCCTGCCATGGGCATCGGAAGTGGTTGACAATCGTAGCGATGGTATAATTAAGAATGTTTGAGTATGAGACTCAGCTTTGATATCATGGGGAATATGGGGTAATGGAGAGGTTGTTGCTATATCAGGAAGCACGACAATCTGCAACCCCTCACTTTCCGCGGGATCTCTTTCCTTTTTCGCTGCAGTTCCTGTCGGAACGACTTGCTTCTTTGGGGTTAGTGGGGACGTCTGTCGATAGGGAAAAGAAATGGCGAAGACATTTACAGTTAAAGTGATGTGTGTTATGAATCAAGAAGAACATGCGAACAGAAGCCCAGGGCCAATCAAGAAAATACATTAAGAATTGCGATGATGGCTTGGGGACATATGTTTGATTTCTAATCAAAGCCTCGAAGCTACGCCAAGCCCGAGTCCTCTACTTCAGCCCTGACAGCAAGCGGAATCTCCTCTTCCAACGTATGTCGTTCGGGCACCCAGTTCAAGTACTGGGGAGCTCTTTGCGCCACCTGTTTCGCGTTCGTACCCAGAATAACTGCAGCATGGGGTGTGATGGAGTCCGCCTCGCTAGGGTCAACCTCCTTCACAGAAGCTGAGTCTGCAAGACCGAGTTTGTAGACCTCCTGTGCGATGCGCTGTGAGATCTCCGTGAAGGACTAGTTGCTGTTAGCGTCTGGGGTACGACACGAACAGTCAATCCACTCACCAGCATCTCGGTGTTCACCGGAAAGTATAGCCCATCCTCATTCCACAAGTCGCCGTCCGCATTCTCTAGCGCTTTCTCCACCAACTTGACGAAGATTTTGCTCAAGTCTGCAATGTGGATGTTGCTCCAGGTGCTCTCGCCCTTGCCCACCTGAACACCCTCCCGACGCTGCAGGTTTGCCCGCGCAAGCTCGGGAATTTGAATGCTTCGCTGCTTGACAGCGCCTCGGCCGCGACCATAGATAATTGGGCCGAAGATGAGAGCAGTCTTAGGTCGCGTGGCCGCCGGAAGCAAGTTGGCAACAAAGTTATCAACAATGCGCTTAGACGAGTAGCGTTTGATCAGCGCATGCACCTCCTCGGCGCCGTCGACGTCGCTGTAAATGCTGCTTGATGCCTGGCCGAAAGTGTTCCTTTCAATATCGGGCATGGAAAGAACGCTGGCGCCGGACATCTGAATCCAGTAGCCTGGTAATCACTATCAACTATTGCTCGCGTTTCAAATCGACCATCACTACTGACCAGGCTTCGTCCTAGCTTCTGCTGACAGACCACGTGCGATGGCTTCGACGCTCTTGATGTGGTTGGTGCTTGCGGCATCTATAGGGGGAGAATGTGGTTAGCAATATGATCGATGGAATTCAGAGAGAGCAAACTCACGGACGACAACGTCTGCTTGAGTGGCCTCCTTCTCAATGACAGCAGCAGCGTCTAGATCCCCCATCACCACACGCACGTTAGGGTAAGCAGCCTGGACTTTCTTCGCCTTCTCTTCGTCCCTCAAGAGGACACTGTAATCGCATTTGGGTAGAGCTGATCGAAGAGCGTGGAGGACTTCGCCGCCAATGTAGCCTGACGCACCAGTCCTGAAGAGTGGTGAGCATGATCTTGTGGGCTGTGGGGATGTTCGTTCTTACAGAAAGATCCTCGCCATAGTGAAGGGATTTGTGTCTGTTGCTGCGGTGTGAAACTCGATTCTCGATATGGTATTGTCAATGAGAGATGAGAGTGAAGGATGAGGGGAGAAGAAAGGACCCCGCGGTGTATGAGATGGACGGGGTCGAGTAGTGGGCCCGGATAGGAAGGTGGTCCCGGGGAAGACCTTCCTCGGCTGTAAAACAACTATATCGACGTGAAAGCAATCTCCCTCTATCCTAGACGATATCTCCGACCGGTGTTTGGAGATGCGGAATCTTGCATAGTAGATGCGCTGCGTCTTACTATGGCACTCTCATACCTTTTTGGGAAATCTCGTCCTAAAAAGTGTCATGCGCCAGTGTACTTCCCTCTCATATAACACCAACAAGATGCTGAATGCAACACCCATTCTCTGCGGTCTAGCCATTACTCTCTTACCATCACCTTCTCCTAGCCCGACTCCTTTTTCCCTTGAATATCTTGAGAATGGCCCACCGTGGAGTGAGCTATGACAAAAATGTCAGCTGCATCGCAGATCTCAAGGCTCTTGGGAGCCAGAACCTCCCCGTGATGGTCAGAGGTATGCTGCTGCACCGAGCATGGCCAGCACAAGTGCCTAGCTAACGCGCAATAGAGTACTATAATGAGGGCGCCATGGATCTTATCACGTACGTCCAATTCAATTGTCACGCCTACATCCCTAACACAACTTCAGACTGCGTGAGAATGAGGCGGCGTTCGACCGGTACAAAATCCGCCCGCGCATCTTGATCAACGTAGACAAGGTGGACACTAGTACTGAGATTCTTGGCACTAAGGTACAGCACTTTCTCCATTCTCTCAATTTGGGTGTGTCGTACCGATACTAAACTCCTGTGGGAACAGGTATCCCTCCCTATCGGATTCAGCCCAGCAGCGTCACACAAACTTGCGCACCCCGACGGCGAGCTGGCAACCTCACGCGCTGCTGCCAATCATAGCATCTGCATGGGTCTTTCCTCATATTCGAACTATTCGCTGGAGGATGTGGCCAGCCAGGGCCGCGGGAATCCATATGTGATGCAGATGTGTGTTTTGAGGGATCGGTCAATCACGCTGCAGCTGCTGCGCCGAGCCGAGAAGGCGGGCTACAAGGCGCTTTTCTTGTCGGTGGACGTGCCTGTTTTAGGTAAGCGGCTGAATGAGCACCGGAACAACTACACCCTGCCGGAGGATATGGAATGGCCGAATATCCTAAGTTGCGGGAGTGATACTTCCAACCGGACTGAGTACGGTAGGTTGAAAACTCGAATCACGGTGATGCCCGCGATTGTTGACTTGAGGTTGCGTTAGATCCGAGTTTAGACTGGGAAAGCACCATTCCCTGGCTCAGGGCAAACACAACGCTGCAAATTTGGTTGAAAGGAGGTAGGAACAAGTCTCAGCTGACTCGTGTGAGACAACCTCTGATGGACCTCTCCACAGTATATACCCCCGAAGACATTGAGCTCGCCATTCAATATGGCCTGGACGGCGTCGTCATCTCTAATCACGGGGGTCGCCAGCTCGACGGTGTCCCGGCCACTCTGGATGCTCTGCGAGAATGCGCACCGGTTGCCAAGGGTCGTATCCAGATCGCAATCGATGGAGGCATTCGACGCGGTTCCGACATTTTCAAGGCCATTGCTCTGGGCGCAGATTTCTGCTTCATCGGACGAATCCCGATCTGGGGTTTGGCGGTACGAATTCTTTTTCCATCTCTTGAGATGGCATTACTAATGACAAACCTCCAGTACGACGGCCAGAAAGGTGTGGAGCTGGCCATTCAGATCCTGCGCAACGAGCTAATGATCACGATGGCACTAGCTGGGTAAGGCTCCCGTTTATAAAGATTCGTTCCATTGCTGATTCGAGTAGATGCCGTTCGATTAAGGAGATCCAAAGGAGGCATTTGTCGATCCTCAAACCAGATGGCGTTCTTTCCAAGCTTTGAGAACAGAATCTTCTTTGTCCAGCCAGTCCGCCATTGAACAATTCGATATTTAGCAGTTTAGCCCAAATTTAAGACTTCTTCATTTCTGTGCATCATTATTCATCAAAGTAGCTTGAAAGCCAGGGAATGCAAGTTCACGTGTCCAAGCGCTTACCCCGCAGTACTTCACTGACCTCAACACAAATCAGTCAACAGCAACACGATGGCCACAGCACCGCCTATAATTGACTTTGGAGGTTCGAGGCCGATATCAGATGTGGATATTATGCATTACTGACAATGCTTCGTAGTTTGGAATGAAGCCGATCCAGAAAAGAAAGCAACCCTCGTCCGGCAGATCCGAGAAGCTTGCGAGAGACACGGATTCTTCCAGCTGGTCAACCATGGTATTCCCCTTGACATTCAACAGAATGTTCTCGAGCAAGCCCAAACCCTGTTCAGTCTCCCAGCTGAGGTGAAAGAGAAATACAGCATGGGTAGGCCGCTCATTGAATCATCGATTTGGCTTAAGCGACTAGGGGTAAGCTGACCCGTAATACGACTAGACATCGGCACACCGAACCTGGGGTACGAACACCTTCGCGCACAGAACTTCGAAAAACGAGGACCCGGCGACTTGAAAGAAGGATTTTACCTCTGCCGAGAGCTGGCCCCAGACCATCCTGCCGTGCAGGCTGGGAAGTTCTCGCAGGGTGCGAACAAATATCCGGAAGAAAGGAGATCTTCCGCATACTGGCATTGACATTAGATCTGCAAGAGGACTGGTTCGACGAGTTCTGCCGCGACTCAGCGACTATTCTGCGGCTGTTGCACTACCCGCCGCAGGAAACGGACGAGTCAAGCTTGGAGCGAGGTACGCAGAACCAACACCCCGACAAACAGCAGTACTGAGTCGCTTTTGCAGGCATCGGCGCGCATACGGATTTCGGCGGTCTCACTATCCTACTGCAAGACGATAAAGGCGGACTTCAGGTCTGGGACCGCGAGGCATCTCAATGGGCAGATGTTGTCCCTGTACCCGGCGCGTTGGTGGTCAACCTGGGGAACATGATGATGCGCTGGACGAACGATCGATATTTATCCAACCTCCACCGAGTGATCAATCGAAGTGGAGAGGAGCGATACAGTGCGCCGTTCTTCTTTTCAGGCAACCCGGACTTTCTGGTGGAGTGTATTCCGAGTTGCAAGGGGGAAACGGAGGCGGCCAAATATCCTCCCATCACGGTGCAAGAGTGGATGCTGGCGCGGTATGCAGACACGTACGGGAACTCGCAGCAGGTTGAGGCTATGGCGGAATTATCAAAAGATACGGGGAAGGCGATCGTCGTGGATCGGAACGTAGACTGAGCCTCATTTACTGGCATCGAGAGCGAGGGTGTGAGAGGTGCACGTGGACCATGCTGGTTCAGCTTCAACATGTGAGAGTGGATCTACCGGGCTCTCGTTTGTGGCCTCAGGCTAGTCTCTTGCAAATCGGAACTCAATTTTAGGTCGCCTCGATAAGCATGCAACTGAGATTCTTCATAGTAGATAGAAAAGCCAGTGTTCGTTTGATATCCGACCAGAACTTTGAGCGCACCTTGCAGGAACATGGTGCTGTGATCTGATTCTCGAATAATCTATATATCATCATTGCATGGTGGCCAGGCTGGGCAGCACCACAAAGCAACTCACACAGCTTGTGACAATACATGTGAAGCTGAGTCCGACTCATCGCAGTCCTGATAGTTTGAAGCCATGAGACCAGCAATGGACACGAACTGCTGCTGATCCTAGCTCGTGATAAGTTAGCGTTTTGATAAACACGAGTGCTTGCATTGCAGCTGAGGGAGGATGACTCGGTAAAGATCGGTCCGATGGAGATTTGCGAGTCGGCAATTTTGCCTCTTCACCCCTCCCCGTATTCAGGCACCAAGGCTGCAACGAAACTTGCCTCGGTACTTACTGCATTGGGCCGCGCCGACAGCCGACGGGTCTCGACCGAATAATCCCAACGCTGCTGGGCTTATTCTCGCTTCACCAACTTCCCCCCCGGAATCTGGCCTCTTTATAACGCCTCCCCCACCCCCTGTCCCCCAGATTCATTTCCACAGTTTCTTCCAACGGCTCTTCTTTCCCCCAGATTCATTCTATCTTACAATGCCATCTCCACCTCCCGATTGGGTTCAGGCCCTCAAGCCGGCCGACCCGCAGGGCTCGCACTTGCTTCAAGAGGAGCGTGCTCAGTCTAATGTCGCAGTGGACAAGCTCGGTGAGCTGCTTCACACGAAAGATTTCCTTGACCGTCAAGACAAAATCCTGTCTATCCTCAAGTCGGAGAAAGTCTTCGAGAAGTCCGACAACCACACCTTAGGCCGGACCGAGCGCATTCAACGGTCCCTGGCCAAGGCCAAGCGGTTGCATCAGCTGGCTGAGCAAAACCGCTGGTCGGACGCCGAATTCCACACTGCAAATGACTTGCTTTCAGAGCCTACGCCTTATGGTCTGCATGCCACTATGTTTCTGGTATGTCTGGACCAATTCTCTGCCCATCCCGGTCTGGCCGAGAACTAATTGGTACTTCTTTGCGCTAGGTCACCTTGCGGGAACAAGGCACGCCGGAACAACACAAGCTTTTCTACGAGCCGGCTCAAAATTACAAGATCCTGGGATGCTATGCGCAAACGGAGTTGGGTCACGGGTCTAATGTCCGTGGACTCGAGACCACCGCTACCTGGAACCCGGAGGACAAGACATTTACCATCCACTCCCCTACGCTGACTGCCTCCAAGTGGTGGATCGGCTCTCTGGGACGTACCGCCAATCACGCGGTAGTGATGGCGCAGCTCTACATCAAGGGCAAGAACTACGGTCCTCACCCTTTCGTGGTGCAGATCCGTGACATGGAGACGCATCAGCCTTTGGAGAACGTATACGTGGGTGATATCGGACCGAAATTCGGATACAAGTGAGTACCGACCGTCATTTGCATGTTTAACATTTATGCTGACTCTCCCAGCACGATGGACAATGGTTTCCTTCTGTTCAACAAGGTCAAGATCCCCCATGTGAATATGCTGGCTCGCTTCTGTCGCGTGGACCAGGCGACTAGCGAGTACCAGCGCCCGGCTTCTCCTTCCTTGGTTTACGGTACCATGACTTGGGTCCGTTCCAACATTGTCCTCCAAGCTGGTGGTGTCCTTGCTCGCGGTGTTACCATCGCCACCCGGTACTGCGCTGTGCGTAGACAGTTCCAGGATCGCGATGCTAAGAGCCATGAAGGAGAGAACCAGGTGCTTAATTACAAGATGGTCCAGATCCGTCTCCTTCCCTTGCTTGCGTCGATGTATGCCCTGCACTTCACCGGTCGGGGCATGCAGCGACTCTACGAGGAGAACCAGACCCGCATGAAGGCTGCCTCGGAGCCGGGACAGGATAAGCGTGGTGCTGGGCCTGAGCAGTTGAGGGCCGGAGCGGATTTGTTGGCCGATCTCCATGCTACCTCTTGCGGTCTCAAGGCATTGGCTAGTACGACGGCTGGTGAAGGTCTTGAGGTGTGCCGTCGTGCCTGCGGTGGTCACGGATACAGCAGCTTCAGCGGCATTGGGCCCTGGTACTCGGATTATCTGCCTACGCTCACCTGGGAAGGCGATAATTACATGTTGACGCAGCAGGTGGCGAGATACGTAAGTGACGTGATGTTTTCGATATGCCAAGACACTTCCGCTGACTGATTTAGCTTTTGAAATCTGCTCGCGCTGTTCTTGCTGGCAAGGGAACCGGCAACGACACCTCCCAGATCTTGCAGACCTACCTCAGCCGTCGTGACAAGGGCGCGTCGTTTGACATCCTCGGTAACGATGCCGACATTGTGGCTGCCTTTGCTTGGCGCACGGCTCACATGACCTTCGAGGCGCTCAAGCACCGGGACGTCGAGAAGCGCTCGTGGAACAGTCTTCTGGTCGACTTCTGGCGCTTGTCGACTGCTCACTCCCAGTACCTGGCTGTCAAGAACTTCTACGAGGCCGTCAACTCGAAGGAGGTGGCATCGGCCGTGGACGGAGCGACGACCGAGGTCCTGCAGAAGCTGTTCCGTCTGTACGCTCTGCACACCTTGGAGCGTGAGGCTTCCGAGTTCTTCTCGTCGAGCGCTGTCACGGTCCGCCAGATTGGCTTGGCACGGGAGAACGCGGTGATGAAGCTCCTGGATGAAATCCGGCCCCACGCGGTGCGGCTGGTGGATGCCTGGAAGATTCCGGACTGGCAGCTGGACAGCAGTCTGGGCAAGTATGATGGCGACGTCTACCCTGATCTGTTCCGCCGGGCCAGCCAGAACCCGGTCAACGATCTGGTGTTCGACCCCTATCCTTGGAACTCGGCTGTTCTGAAGAACAGCCCGCCCAAGAGCAAGCTATAAATTGACCTGGACATTTCATTATGGTTATAGGGTGGGTAGATATAGATCTAGAAAGTCTATAGACTAGAGGCTAGAGGTGCGGCGAATACATGTAAATATGAAACAAGAAGCTTTCAAACCGGTCGATCCTTGGTAGTAGTTAGTTACTACTCGAGTATGCCCCGTCTCGGGGAGGCTCCACTTTCTTCAACAATTGCCGTTGCCCGACAGAACGGATCACGGCTGAACAACATCCGTTGAAGATCTGCCTAGGCACTGCATCCCCAATCCAGGCCCAAATCCTTCGACTCTAACTCGGGTGCGCATTTCCCACCCTTCCGGACTGCACAACCCCAACATAAGCTTCTTCAGGTGACGTCAAACCATCCACCGTCTCCACCCTGCTTAATAATTACTTCTTTGGAGAGAGAGAGAAAAAAGTGAGGCCACAATGGGGTAATCCAAGCGGGGAGGGGGCGAGTAACTATTTATTGTGTGGCAGTGACAGCTGCCAGCAACTCAACGACTCGCCCATAACCGCATATTATTATCCCCTACAATGAAGCAGATCATCAACCTCCCCGGGCCCAGCTGCAAGCTGGTCGACTCCCCGATCCCGGAGATCAACGACGACCAGGTGCTCATCCGGGTGGTCGTGTCCGGGTCCAACCCGAAGGACTGGAAGGTGCCCGAGCTGGCGGGCAGTGACGACGAGACGTTCGGGGAGCGATACGCGCACATCAAGGACGGGGTGAACCAGGGCGACGACATCGCGGGCGTAGTCGAGAAGGTGGGCGGGAATGTGTTTGAGTTTAAGGTGTGTGCCCTCCATCTCCATCTTCCTAAAGCATTGTCCATCATGGTATGCCAGAAACGCAACTAACCAGCAAAACAGCCCGGAGACCGTGTGGGCGCCTTCCACGAAATGCTGGCCCCCGGCGGCTCGTACGCCGAATACGCCGTCGCCTGGAGCCACACCACCTTCCACATCCCGGCCAAGGTGTCTTTCGAGGGTGTGTACCCTGGCCCCCCCCTTCCTTGGGTCATACCCAAACCCATGGCAAACACAGACACACAAAAACTAACACACCAACAGAAGCAGCAACCATCCCCCTCGCCGCGCTCACCGCCATCGTCTCGCTCTACCACCACCACCGCCTCCCGCTCCCCTGGACGCCCCCAGCCCCAGCAGCTTCAGCCACCAAGCGCACCCCCCTCCTGATCTACGGCGGCAGCACCGCCGTCGGCGCCTTCGCCATCAAACTCGCCCGCCTCAGCAACATCCACCCCATCATCGCCATCGCCGGCCGCGGCGCCAGCTACATCTCCCGCTTCCTGGACCCGGCGCACGGCGACGCGATCGTCGACTACCGGGACGGCGCAGCCAAGACCATCGCAGGCGTGAAGGCCGCTCTCGCTACCGCATCCCCCTCCCAGGGTTCGGAACTGAAGCTAGAACACATCCTCGACACGATCGTCAGCGAGACCAGCTCCGAGGTCATCCGCAATGTGGTCGCGCCCGGCGGCCAGGTCAACTACGTCCTGCCCTGTCCGTACGACGTATCGCCCGGCGTGAAGACCAACACGTGGGTGAGCAGTGCGCACGAGGTGGGCGGCGCGGCGGACGCAAGGGATCTGTGCTTTGTGTTTTGTCGGTGGTTCGGAAGGGCGCTGGCCGAGGGCACGTTCGAGGGCCATCCGTGGGAGGTCCGCGAGAAGGGGTTGTTGGGGGTCGAGGACGCGATGCGGGATTTGCGGGATGGGAAGGCCAGTGCGGTGAAGTATGTGTTCCGGGTGGGGGAGACGCCCGGTTTGAAGGATTAGGGGCTTGATTTGTGAAGGGGGTAAGATGCGCTGTACAGTACTTGGTTGCGTTGGGTTTGGTGTTGGATTTCGTTTATCATCGCAGTCGTGTTGGTAAATATAGATGGTTGTGTTTTAGACTAGCCTATGGGAATGTAGAGAGAATAGAGCTGTGGATGTGAGAGTCTGTCGGTGATCCCCGGTGGTGGTGTCGGTTTGAAGGGATGAGAACTTGGGAACTATGATTCTGGCGACACCTACTGTTCTTGTTTGATGACAAGACGGAAATAGGAGAGTTCAGAAATTCTCATATTGATTCTTGACAGCAACTGTATGTTCAACGCTCGTTTATGTACAATCTATAACACATTACATGTCAAAAATCGACGGCTTGTACACCGACGGGTCGATGTACGGAGTACCGCCACGTCTCGTGAAGCCCCAACGGATCTGACTGGCCATGGAGATCTCCACATCCAGGTGCTGAGCGAAGGTCCAGGCCAAGCCAGGGTCCTTCTGGAATCCACGGCCAACGAGGATCACATCAATGCCGTCCTTCTCCATGATTTCCTCGGCCTGACGACCGTTGGTGATAGCACCAACCGCCGACACAAGCAGCTTGTCACCAACAGCCTTCTTGACCGCAGCGGCGAAAGGAACCTGGAAACCGGGGCTGGACTTCACCTTTTGGGCAGCGTGCACACCGCCGGAGCTGATGTCGATCAGATCGACGGCGCCCTGCTTGACCAGCTCCTGGGCAAACTGGATGGTGCTGTCGTTGTTCCAGCTCTGCTCGGGAAGGACCTCCTCCAGCCAGTCGGAAGCAGAGATGCGGAGGAAGATGGGCATGTTGGGGCCGACCGTGTCACGGGTCAGCTGGGCAATCTCCAAGGGGAGGCGGATGCGGTTCTCGAAAGAGCCACCGTACTCGTCGGTGCGGTTGTTGGCAGCGGGGGACAGGAAAGACGAGAGAAGGTATCCGTGGGCGTTGTGGATCTCGATGAAGTCAACCCCGACCGCAAGCGCGCGCTTAACGGCGGCAACCCAGTCGTTCTTGAACTGGACGATGTCGTCCTTGGTCATCGCCTTGGGCTGGGGGAAGGAGTCGGCAAAGGCGATGTCGCTGGGTCCCTTGACGTTGTCCGGCCACCCGCCGACCTTCTCGGTGGCTACTACGGCGGTCGAGATCCAAGGAGCAACGGTGCTGGCCTTGCGTCCGGCGTGGGCCAACTGCACTCCGATCTTCTGGTTCTGGCTGTGCACGAATTCAACGACCTGGCGCATGGGCTCGATCTGCGAGTCCTTCCATAAACCCACGTCCTGCGGGGTAATGCGACCCTCGGGCTGCACGGCAGTCGCCTCGATCATCATCAATCCGGGACCCCGCTGGGCGATCGAACCCAGGTGGGCAATGTGATAGGGGGTCATGTGGCCATCCTGGGCACTGTATTGGCAGAGGGGAGCAAGCTAGCGATTGCAGAGTCAGCTCATTATCATCAAGTGCATACAGAGAGAGAACTTACACCGAGGCGGTTTTGGAAAGTAAGACCGCGGATGGTCAGAGGCTGATAGAGCTTGGGGACCGGCTTGCCGCTAGTCTGAGGATTGGCTGCCGTACCTGCGGGAGGATCCTGAGCGGGGGTGAAGTAGGAGATGCCCGGAGCGGGCGCGATATCAACGTCGGGGATAGACATGGTGAGGATGTGTAAAATGTCTTGGAATATGCCACACTGAGACTGATAAGGGCCTGACCGAACGACCAGCGACCTTTATACGGCCTGGATAGAATCCGTTGGAAACATGATTTGAAATCCAGAGTGGAGATGTTCAACCGCTCGAAATTCGGCATCCAAAGAGCTGGTGGAGCAGACCCAACTTGCCGAACATTCTTCATCCAGGGCGGGCCCCCTTGATCACCTCCCTTTTTGTATAAGTCTCCGTCCCGAATGTGGCTAAAATCAGGGCACATCATGGTTGTGCAGGTTTGTCAGCAGCACAATTTGTGCAATCAGACCAGAAAGTGTGGGGCTCTGGCCGCGTATCCGTCAATGGCGTCGAGTGCCTGGAAAGCCTCTGATGCAAAGTTTGCCCGAGGCAAAAGTATCTTCCAAGGTGGGCTCCACCAGTGGCACCAGTCGGCTTCACTCATATCAGATCACTGGTACAATCCAGCAATTTCGAGGCAGGGCAACTGGATTTGGGGACAGGATAAGCAAGGTTGGTGGAAGCCGTTTCATGCATTGAAAATGTCTCTTAAGCAGTGGTTAGAGTGGGCCTGCAGCATTGCACCGTGAGAATCAATTCAACGATTGGCAAATCAAGTCAAGTAAATCTGCTTACTGTTGATCGAAAATGACGGAACTACATAGTACCTTGACAGCAGATCATGCCATGTCAAGAACCCGCAAATCGTATTGACGGAGAGGGGAGGATGATGCATCCGATGGATTTGAGAAAGCAGTAAGTATAAGGGAGAAAAAGATGTCACATGATCGACAGGCGGCGTGACTACCGCGGGGCGGGGCTGCCCATCACATCTACCACATCTACTACTTACTCACTCTTACTCGGTCATGCCTTATCAACAATCATTATTCTGTTCGACTCTCGTCCTCCTCTGTCTCTAATCTAGTTACTTCTCTTGAATATCGGCATTTTTCCACAGCCTTCTGGCTCCTCTCTCTTGTATTTGCAAGGCAGGAATCCTATCTCAACCAAATATGATACACTTCTGACAATGGCCTCCACAATCTCCTCCCGCTCAAAGACTGGCTCATGAGAACCATCCACCACATTGCTCGCAAACTGCCACTGGTTGTCTTCAAACCACTGCAGCACAGGAAGAAATGGATGGTCGGATCTAGAACTGACGTCTGAGCTTAGTGCGCGCATCCACTCGTCGTGTAGCATGGTCTTCACCGTAATCCCCGTCTCCCGCTGCAGTACCGCACACAGCTCACCTAGCGTGAGCCCATCCCAGCAGTCGACGTCACTTTTAGACTGGGGTGCCCTTCTAGTTGTGCTCTCGACTACCAATCGTGCAATCTGATCAACACCAGCTACAGGAATGTGCGCGTCGGTCAAATCCTCGCTGATCGCGCCAAGACTGAGAATGCTGGACGCAAGCCGCCACAGAAAGTCCTCCGTATGAGCGACACCCTCGGTCCTGGTTCCAACAATATAGCCGGGTTGAATCGTCTGCGCGGTTGGAAGATATGGGTCCTCCAGCCTGTAGACGTTGTCGTTGTACTGCTCCACTAACAGCCTCGACAACATCTTGGTCTGATCATATCCACTGGCATGCTCAAGCTTCCTCGCGATGTCTTTTTTCGATTCATCCGCTGCTGGAAGATACCCGCCTGAAACATAGGTCAGAGCACATGGGCTGGATCGCATCGCCACAGCAGAAAGAACCTCCACGGTACTGTCGACATTAGTCGGTCGGAGACTCTCATAAGAGTCAAGCCAGTTGACTCTCGCTCCGCTGTGGATAATGCCATCAATTCGCGTCTCGCTCAACTCTCCAGTGAGGCACTTCCATTTTTCTGCAGACAGCCCCAGTTTTTTCTTGCTCAAATCTCCAAGCCAGATCTCAACACGCGGGTCCAGACTTCCCGTCCACCAGTCACCGATCTCAGCATGATATTGGATCTTTTGCTCGGCTTCGGATATCTCTTTTGCCCGGACTAACCCTATGATATGTCCGACATTGGGATCCGCTAGTAGACAGCGCAGCACTTGACTTCCAAGGAACCCGGTAATTGATGTCACAAATATGGTCTTCTTGGTGTGGTGAGGCGCCAAGTTTATTTGCGGTAGGATATGCTTTAGCTCGTCGAGGATATCCACTGCCGTCTCATTGTCAGCCGCTCCGGCGTTACTATGGAATAATTCTTCAAGTCGCCCGATTGTCTATCCTGGTTCCTGCAGTCTTTCAACCCTGATGTCCATTCCCCAGTCTCGTCGCATGAGCCCGGTGAGTTGCGCCATTTCAACGGAATTAAGCCCAACACTTGAGACCGGAAAGTCATGATCTCGGAGACACTCGGCGACAGGATCCTGTCTGGCTTCTAATATATCTGCGACTATGTTGCTAAGCTTGACGGCAAACTCTCTTTTCGGATCGATCTTCTCCCACTGTGTCGTGGAAGAGGCTCCTGGTCTGTGCGCAACTAACTCTGTGCCGTTCACTCGAGAGATTGATGCACGCAAACGCTGTCTATCCTTCTTTTTCGACTCAGTCAATGGGATTGACCCGATGGGTATAAAAACCGTGGGTATCATATACGAAGGCAATTGTCCTTTCAGTGCCGCATGCATGTCGTCAGCCAACGACGGAATGATATCGTGCGGAGTCTCGACGTAAGCCATAATCTCCTGATTCTCTTCTTTCCCGTCAACGCTGGCCAGGACGACTGCAGCTTTACGCGGAGCAATCACGGATTCAATGACTCTCTCGATCTCAGTCAGCTCAACACGCATGCCGCGGATTTTAACGAAGCCGCTCTCGCGACCAATAAAGATGGCATCGCCCTCAGCATCGAGCTTAGCAAGATCACCGGTTCTATACATTGGAAACCCTGCGGTGTCTTGGAAGTGAGCATACCACTTCGGAGTTTCAATGAATGCTGATGAAGTCTGGTCTGGTTCGTCCAGGTAACCCTTCCCGATATATGGAGACTGTATGAGTAGCTCGCCTATAGCGCCGATGGGGAGTAACCTTTCCACGTTGTCTGGATCCACAACCCAGCAATTGGCTCGGATGCCTCTCCCAATACTCTGAGGGTGATCGCCTGACTTCATGCCGGTCTTGATCGTATCCCACACGGATGTTTCTGTGGTGCCGTATAGGTTATTGAGCGTGACGTGTCGAGACCAATTGCGAAGAATGTTTGAGCTTGGCGCATCGCCTCCGATGGAAATTTCTCTGAGCGAAGGCAAGCTTGCTGGCTCGAGCTGAGCGACCACTGCTGGAGTCAAAGTGGCATCTGTGACTTCGAGCTTGCGCATGACTGATTGCAGGTCCTCTACCTTTTCTTCCGGCGATGGAACACAAACAGTCCCCCCAACAATCAAAGGCCCAAAAATCTCCAGAATGCTGGCATCAAATGAAAACGATGCATATTGCAGCTGGGGTGTATCCGAGCCCATGTGCAAGGCCTCGGTAACATCTTGCAAGCCTCCAGCGACTGCTTGGTGTATGTGCACCACGCCTTTGGGCTTACCTGTACTTCCGGACGTGAACATGATATATGCAACCTGCCAAGGGTCGTTGGCTGTCTCCGTGTGCCAGCCCTCTGGAGCTTGTAGCTGCATTAGGCTGGAGAGTGTGATGATCTCGATGTTCTGACGAATGGACTCGCTGATTATGTCGGTGAGCTTTGTCTGGGTGATCAATGCTTGGATTTCCGTTTTCTGGGCAATATAGGCCAGTCGGTCCCCCGGACATGATGCATCGAGCGGAATTAAAGCTGCTCCTGCACGCAGGACACCTATGATGACTACAATCGCCCATGCGGACTTTTCCAGGTAGACTGCGACTCTGCTGCCTGGCTTGATGCCTTTGGCCGCTAGCTCGTGGGCAATTGCCGCAGACATCTCGCCAAGCTGCTGGAATGTAAGTTTTTCAGTGGTGCTGCGTATCGCAATGTCCCCAGGGCTTGATCGGTAGTATCGATTGATCAATCCATGGATTGTTTCCGGTGATCTCGGGGTCAGGTCCGCGTGCCACTTTTTGAATTGTTTTATATCATATTCTGTGGCAAGATTGAGGTGGGCTATCTTCGAAGAGGGCATGTCTGTCATCGCCTTCCATATGTTCTTATACGCTTCAACAACGGCTGACAGATCGGCTGATGGCTCGCGGGCATGGGAGTATATCCGAGCAGTCACTTCCATCTTCGTCGGATGAAGACTGGCTATCATTTGATTCTAGATTCATATTAGTTACGAACTTGAGGCAGATTGTTGGCCTTACCTTATGCTCCGCGACGACTTCCTCCAGGGGTGTATCCTCACTCTGGTCGATGTATACCGCAGACATCGACTGCTGACTCTCCGGACTCGTGGCCTTATTCACATTTGACAGGGAGTCCAGAAGCTCTTGCAGGGTCTTGTCCTCATGGATGTCGTATGACACTTGGTGCGACGCGATGGACTTTGTTGTGGATGTATCCTCTTGTTGTGCTTCATTCCGAAGAAACAAGAAGGCCACATTGTCCTGACGGTTGTAAAAGTGCAACAAAAGCGCCCAGGCAGATAGTGCGTGAGCTTCCAGCTTTTCCGGTGCAACACCAGGCAGGTTGGCTGGATGAGACAAGCGAACCTTTGGTGCTGCATTGTCTTTATGGGCATCGTGCTGGGGCACAGTAGTATGGTCGCTCTCTTTCCCAGTGGTTTGGATTGAAATAGTCATGATGTATAACAGTCAATAGGTATAGAAGTAAGATATAATAGCGGATATTCACTCTGTGTGTTATAAATTGAATTGATTCTCCGAGGTTTAGAGCAGACTTGTGAAGCAGACTCGTAGAGTATCTTATACTATCTACACGACCTTCTGCAAGCGAGCCATTGGCCGGGTTGGCAGCCGCAGTCTCTCTCCAATTTGGGTTTCTGCAGTCCCATATGGATCCCTTGCAGCCACTTCCAAGCATCCATCGCGAAGAAACCATCGCTCCTATACAGGACACCTGCGTCAACCAGAACAGACCCAGTGCACAAAGTCACTTGACATATAATTGAGGCTGTACGCAAATTTCCCAATTGGGATGGAAGTTTCTCATTCAAGGCTCCATCGCTGACGTCTTCGGATAGAATCTATCCCACCGTAGCAGACCTCCTGGCCCAGATCTACTCTGCTTGAGCTGGTGAGCTCCACTATAGTGCTCGATAATGGCGCGGCTGATCGACCAGCACTAATTGCGCAGCCTCCCATTGCCGCGACAGCTGCTGGCTTCTCCAGCGATGACGTCCTCACCTCACCACACGAAACCCCCAAATCAGACCCTCACATAGCGTTCTTCATCGCAAGTAGTAATGCTACTTCTAAGATCTCTCGCCTCGAGACTGCATCTCACCCACGCTCACTCAAAACTTCAGTTCTCAGCCCCCATCGATGTTGGTTCGCAACCAAAGCCCTGACATCACCCCGCCCCCCGCCCCCCCTTTCCTCCGTGCCATCCCCCTCAAAAAAACACCATGACATCCCCATGACACCATCCCCCCTCGAGCGGCCGCCAAAAAAAGAAATTCCCCCGTACTGGGGTTCGAACCCAGTTCTGAAGCAGGAAACCTTTAGGTGACCCACAACCGTCGTCTCCATCTAGACCATACGGGGTGCTTGTTGAGAGAGACAGCACTTGCAGGGCTGATAGCCGAACCCCGCTATGGGGCTTTTGGCTGCCATTCCACGCGGACAGGTTATTTTGGATGGACTTTTTGATAAAGTGGCTCTGGTGGGGTGTGGGTTTCATATGTGTTTCTTGGATTTGGGTTTGGGTGTTGGAAGGGTTGGCGTTGGGGGTTTCGTCGAGGGTGGCTGCTGAGGCGGGCGTTTTGGGGAATGGCTAGTGTATAGGTTTGGAATATGATGGTGATTTTGCTTTTGATGTTTTGAGGGTCTGAGAGGGTCTGTTGGGGGCTTAGTATGGATTGTGGTGGTGGAGATGCTGTGTGCATTGAGAGGGGCACGGCTCAGGGAAGTCTAGATTCGCATGTTACTTGCCCTTACATTGCAAGTCTTATCACCTAATTACTACTCGATGGTGGTTTTTTAGTATGTAAAGGCTTATGACACTGCTGGGGAAGGAGCAGGCGGAGTAGACGATAACGATGGCAGCAAAGAAAGCAGTGGAACAGAGAGCTTCTCAATGATGATTGGCAATAAAGCAACAACATTGATAGAGCTTGACATTTATACAATCGATTCTCGGGGTTTATTGCCTTGTGGGGAGCTTCGAGGGACTCACTATTTCGAAAGCTTCTCTCCTTTCATCCCGCTCAATATTACACTAGCCAGAAATACGAAATACGAATAAAGAGACTATATTGGAATGTCAAACCCCCCCCCCCCCCCTGGAACCGAGATTTCACTATATAGTTCTACTTCAATCTAGCGAGACTTTACGGCTGAACTCGATATCTCCCGCGGAACATATCTGCACGTCCGTCCGAACTCTCAAAGCACGTAGCTGAAGATCTCCGTTCAATTAGAGACTAGGAGTCGCATCGATCTATAGCCCGATGTCTATATAAGACTTCATGTATTCTCCCCGGCACCTGGGTCAACTCCTAACTTATCTGTTATCAGCCCGGCTGTGTCCTACTTAGTAGTCACATCCAGACGTAGTCCTGACTCTTCTGCGACAGCACTACAAAACCCAGCCCACAACCGAATCGCCCCGTAGTGAAAGCCTAACAAGAATGGCAACACCAGTACCTTGGAGATGGCTGGTCGGGGAGCTGATAGCCAGCTGGCTCGCTTTCAGCGCCGCCTGCGTTCTCGGATTGTTGACCTGCATGCCCGCGGCGTGGATGGGGTACAATATATGCGGCGACGAAGGGTACTGGTTTGGCTGGCTTTCTAAGTGGAACCTGGTGAATCTGTTTGTTCTCATTGTCATCTCATTGATGTGACGGACCTGTCTTTGAAGATGATGCTGGTCTCCAGCCCCACTCCCCCGCGTGGTTTCCCGCTGCCCCGCGCGGATGGGCCCGTTTGCCGGAAGGATAATTCTTCTCTTTAGGATGGGGGATTGCTTGGCGCTAGACTATCTGCTTAAGTGATATCGCTTGCACCGCTTACTGCTGAGAAAGATCTGCTGTATCGGTAGTTGTCAGTCGATTCAAGTGGGTTTGTTTCTTTTTCTAAATTATGACATTTAACATTTGACATTTATACCCATTCGGCTTTTTTCACAGAGGAATACTTACATTACTCTCCAACTCTTCTCCGTATATATTCATGCTAAACTTCAAGGTGCTCTTGACTACCTTTAAAGTAGCTTGTACCATGTACAGGACTTGGTCCAGACATCCCTCCCATGCTAAGCACCCTCATTATACGGCATCCTGCTCTCCTTCTTTGCTCCCTTTACTCACATGAACAGCATAATTCCTCGCACTATCTCAGCCTCAATCACTCAGTCTAGCTCATATACGAAATGAAAAGGACCATTCCCGATACCGCCAAGTCACCCATGAGACTGGTCTTTCTTCCAGTGAGACTTCCCGCCTAATCGCGGTATCTCCTACGGAGCATGTCTCAGTTCCTTCCTCTCAAAGCGCATAGCTGAAGATCCCCGTCCCAAACTAAGTCTCAAAGCTGCACAGATCGATAGCCCTATGCTTATATAAGACAACTGGTACAGTACTCCCCAGCATCAACCCAACCGATCAGTACCCCGCTGTGCCCTACTCAGTAGTCACACCCAAATATTCCTGTATCCATATCCTCGCCACAGACCAAGATCTCCCCTGCGCGAGTAACCTGACAGAGGAGTGTTAGTAGCCATGGCCGACCCCGTTGCGGAACACCTCGCCCTCATCTGGTTCAGTCTGGGCAGCGCATGCCCCGTGAATTGGTTGCTCTGCGCGGTATCAAACATGTTGTGGAAAGACGTATGTCTATGGGAGGACTTGGAGTTCTGGAAGGAGTGGTTTTACACGTGGCTCGATGCGACTATCTACACCGTCTTGTTCCTGGCGTTTTGGCACACCATCATGCACTATAACCTCAATTTCGCGCTACCTGACTGGATGTGATATACAGGCCTGGTTGCCGTTGCCCCATTCCCTCCCCTCCGCGGTTCTTTCCCGCTGCCCCGCACGGATGGGCCCGGTTTTCGGGAGGGTGGTCAATCTGTTGCCCTGTAGAGCCAGGAGTAGGTAGTTCACTAGTAGGCCAAGTGTGCCCTCGAATTGCCATACATGGTGTGAAGTGAGAGCAGGAAAGCACATGATCTCTTGCACAGTGACGACTACTACTGCTAATCCGGGTGGTATTTTCTCAACAATGATATTCATACATTCTCAATCAATCGACAGAACGGCCCCTACGCTTCTATCTATATTGTTATAAGTCATTTTTGTATATATCCAGACTAAATGTGTTATTCAATACGTTTTTCTACCCCGTGCCATATACTAATCTTGACACCCTCAGTAAGTTATAGGTCATTCTCCCCCCTTTCCCTTCTTCTCTCCTCGCACCAGCAGTATACCCCCACGCCATCCACCCGACCCAAGCTATATCCAAGATTCCCATCGCAATTCTCTCTCTAAGACCATGAAAGGAAAGTACCAAAAAGGGCAAAGCACAATACCCCCACCAAGCATCTCCCTGACCGGGCCCACCCTCAACGAACCCCCCCGCTTCTTTGATCAAGTCCATCCAGACCCCCACTCTTCATTCCCCATTCTTCCTTCTCTTTCGATCAGAAAAGGCAGCAGAGCTGAGCCACTGCAGGACGTGGTACTTGTGGTGTGGTCCGTAGGTCTGAAACAGAGGCTGTAGCTCCCAGAGTAGGTCATCCTGCCAAGGTCGGGTCGAGTCGTTGTTCGAACCCGATGATCACCACACTAGCAGGCAGGATATACTATGCTTGATCAAGCCGAGTCTACGCGGTATGTATCATCAGCTCGACAAACCAGCTCCCATCAGAAACCTACAGTTTGGTGGTTCCTTACACAGGTCCGCGGGTCTAGCACGCGGCAGCTTCATGCTCCTCCGGTGTGGTTATATATACCGGAACCCAACTCGGAGATTCGAGTACGACGGGTGGATTGTGTGGCGCTTTTCTTATCTGGCTGGCTAGTTACCTATCGGGTGCCCTGCTGTATATAATATCACAGTTTGAAGCAGTCCAGGGGAAGGGGCAATGTGGGATTACTTTGAAGTTCTTGGTGCGTTGGAAGGTGGAAGGTAAACTACGCAGGAGCTGACTGTGAGTCGCTGGATCACGTGGTCCGGAATACTCAGGACGGCCGGCACGTGATTACAAGGTACATGTACTGTACCTGCATCTGTAACGACATCGTTTTGCTGACTCCATGAGCAGGCTCTTATTTCTCTGGGCAGGCGCCTGGCCGCGAAGGCTCTGCAACATGTACGCTACACACTTCAAGATCGGAGACACTGGTGCAGATGAGAGATACACTCCTATCTACCATAGCGAGCAAAGAGCCCAGTGCCCACGCACCATGAATTAGAAGTCAGCTACAGCAAAAGGGTCATCCAGATAAGCTATAGCTCAAGAAAGCAATTAAACCCACTTAATAAGTCGAGCGAGTCGCAGAAACATCCTCATACAAAGACAAAAACCTCAACACCCGTGACACGTAACAAAAGCGCCGAGATGATGGTTTATGCAGCAAATATGCTTGATGCTTGACCGCTGCAGCAATATCCAATCACGCCGCCTCAATGAAAAAAAGAAAGTTCTCAGCAAGGTACCAGTTTCCGTAACACAGTTCGTAAAAAACGCCGATCTCTATCCAGTCAGTCCCAAAGATGCTGTCTGCAGAAGCTCCCATATTATACATGTCCCCACGCAAGTGCAACCAGAGATGAAGGGTATCTTATGTATTTTCTCCCAAGATGCTGAAAAGGAAAAAAAAGAAAGGAACAAGGAAAGTGATCAGCGTTCTCCCACTTTGCCATACTCTTGCTGCCATTTGAGGAGATGACGCGTGAGTACATCCATCATTTCAACGCTACTCAGTTCCTTGAAGTCTTTCTCTTTTTCGATCGATGTCGGCCCACTGGCGGCATCGCTGTCCGAGGCTGTTGCGCTGGCTGGGTCAATGTCGCCAACGGCCAGCGCCAGGGCACTCTCCAACAGACTGCCATTGACTCGGGCGGCACCGTTGTTGGGAGGCGTCGTGCTCTCCCCGGCCACAGCCATTTCGATCTGCATCCGTGAGATGAACTCGAGAATAGCCGTCACGCGTCTCTTCATCTCGTTCATGGTGGTGCGCTGGTTCACATAGCGCGGCCGACTGGGCTTGCCGGACTCTCCACTGTGTAAATGTATGCCATTGATCCTGGGCGAATCGCTGCCGATGTCGTGCGACTGCCCGCGTCGCGGAGATCGGGTCGAGAAGTTGGAGTCCGTTCCATTCATGTCCCGATCCCGAGTGTATTGATTGCGGCCCACGCGGCCACCGCGACGGGCAGGAGGACGGCCCGATTTGCGAGTGGCGGGGCGCGGTGGTGCCGGTTCTGGTGCAGGGGCGGGGGTGAGTTCAGGGCTGGGAGGTTTGGGTTCGGGGTCGGTCGCAACTGGCTTGATTGGCGAGCCGGGCTCATTTTCGGACTCTGCCTCGTCTGCCTGGGTTAGTAATTCCGTCAAATGTACTCATGGAACACACAACCTACCATCTTTCGCCTTGTCGGACCTGGCTTTCCTGCGGTTTGCGGCGTCTGCTGGTTCAGGCTCAGGTTCTTCAGTATCCTTAAGATCCTTGTCGCGCTGTCCGCGCGATGCAGCCCGTTGTCTGCGAGCTACATTATTGACTGGTTTGGCCCTGGACTCATCTTCTGAGACCTGCTGCGACACGGGATTGCTTTTGGAGACGGCGCCAGGTGAGGGTGAGCTCGTGCGTTGGCGTTTCGTGGTTTGCCTTTGACTGTCTCAGATCAGTTGATGACGACGCTACCAGCAGTCGGAATGACATACGCTTCGCTATCGCTGCGGCTTCTCTTTGGCCTCCGTGCAGCAAGTTCATCTCCAGGCTTCGTTTCTTCCTTGCTCTCTTCGATTGCACGCCGCAGCTGTTCCTCCTCATCATATGCTGCGTCCCGGCTATTCATTGTGGATCGGCGCTTGGGATTGATAGCTGCGTCATTCGATCGTGACTTTGTGTCTTTATTGCGACGGGAGTTATCGCGCGATGAGTCTCTCGATGAAACGGCAGTGGAGGGGGGAGGAGGGGCGACCGGTAGATATTGGGAGGAGTATGATCTGTGTTACTGTAAGCAGAAAGCATAGAAGGAGAGAAGAAACCTGGGCCCATAGATGACTGCCATCCAAACAAAGACAGAATCTCCAGTTTTTGCAGCTGTTACTGGTCTTGCTGATGCGGCAAAAAAATTCACAGCAGCGAGCAGTCCCACCAAGCAAAAACAAAAAGAAGCTGCCAACACAAGTGCACGCAAGCAACAAATACTAGCAATGAAAGCCAAAACCAAGCTGTGAACCTACCCATTTATCTCATTGAGGATCTTGTGCAAATCCTTTCGGCACTCCTCGCAAAAATATTCATCGGGGCTCATGGCCTCATCCATGATACCCACGCAGCCACCGTGCTGCCAGACTTTGCAGGAATCACACTGGATGAACATGCTGCCGATGTCATCCGACATCAAATCAGCAGGATCTGCGGAGAGACCCAAGAGGGCCTCGTCTTTAATGCCGCCACGCAGTCCATTGCGACCAATTGCCTCCCGACGCGAGGGAGGCAGACCTGGATATTCCTGCTGTCCACAGAGACAGCGAGTGATCTCTTCTTCTTCGTCCTCCTCATCTTCACCGTCGTCGTCGTCACCGTCGGCAAGTTTCATCTGATCGTTGTCCTCCTCCCCTCGAGCACGCTGGCGCTGCCGCGTCTCTCTGTAGTCACCTTTCGAGCCAATGTCGGCATCGTCGATCGACTGGGACCGGTTCGTGGAGGATCGCTGAGGGGAGGAGATCTTGTGGTGGGAGCGAGTACTTCGTTCGCGAGTCATCGAGGTAGAGGAGCTGGAGGAGTTGGTATGTTGTAGAATGGCTGGGGATGGTTGTGAGGTGCGAGCACGAGAGGAGCGCCGAGGCGTCATGGTGGGAGGAGGGTGGTGGGAGGATAAAAATAGCGGGAGAACTCTGCAGGAGACCCCAGCCGTGCGTATAGGAATATAGAGGAGAAAAAATATATAGATAGAGGTTGGAGCACAGCGTAGAAGCTGAGCACACCTGCCCGTGAACGATCAAGCTGTCGCACACGGGTGGGAGGTGGTGGGATTCGAGAACGACGCCCACAATGGTGGGAAAGACGATCAGAGGATGCTGGGAGTAAAAAGCCGGGGGGCAGATCAAGGAAAGGAAGCTGGCAATTGGGAACCAAAGCAGGGAACGATCCTAGAACAACGCCTGCAAGCTCAACTTCAGGCCGAGGACTACATAGTCAGAGGGGAGAGAAAAGGTGGGGAGAGGATTCGGCAGAACAAAAGAAGAGGAGAAGGCAGAGGAGGGAGCGAGCGAGCGAGCAAGAGGAGGAGGAGGAGGAGGAGGGCGAGAGGAACGGACGGACTCCAACCAAATGACGGACGGCCGCCGGAACGGGACCGACGACTGCTAGACTACGGGCGCTGCTTTCAATTCTGCGCGCGGGATTCGCTTTGCGGTCAACGCGCATTGGCTTTAGAGTCATTTCTTCCCCGCTCCTCCTCTTTTCTCCGTCTCTTCCTCCTTCTCGCGAATCTGTCGCGTTGTATCGTGTCGTACGGGATTATCTTCTCTAGAACCCGTGATTCTTCTTCAATTCCGATCTTAGCTCTCACTTTCCCCTCCTCTCCCCGCAGCTTCTTCTCTTTCGTCTTGTTCTTGCACATCAGGTGCTCGGGGAGGAATGCGACGAAAGCACTCATTCCAGTGTCCTGGAACCCCGCTTACCTTCCATGCACCTCTGTCACCAACATCTCCTGATGACGAGATGCCTGGTCCATCATTCTGTCTCTCTCTTTCCGTGTTCCAAACGTTGCAAGATATCCTACGGAGTACAGATACAGGGTTTCTACTGCTCGACAAAATAATGAGTGGGGGATAATCTGGATGATACGTACGCTGCAAGCCTCTAAGCACGGCATTTTACAATGAGCTATCATTCATCCCACAGTCAAACTGGCATGACTACATTCCCATTCAACCGAGATGTCAGACAATCCTCTTCCGGACAACACTTGCATCGCTGCCTCCTCGCTGCCCACTACTCGACCTGTCCTAATCCCCCAGATATCCATCAAATCGGGTATATGTTTTGTGAGGAATCAGGGTCTCAAAAGATCGTAGGTGAGGGAGCAGGTGGCTATGTCAGTTTGTGGGCAAGCGGCAAGTAATGTGTGACCGTTCGCTTGAAGCTGGGTAATCGGCACCGCGACTGTCTGGCTATGCTAGTACGGGTCGATAGAGATCGCAAGGATGGTCCAGGACTCGGGAATACTCGAGTATTCCTTCGCTTGGGGTGAATTTCATATCCGACAAAGTTGCGTAGGATAAAAGCACGAGGAGGTACCAGGCCAGTCCAGTGTATATCGAGCGAGCCGGCTGAGCCAAGTTGGTGCCAGGTGAGATGACGAAGCAAGAAAAGTGCTGGGACTGGGTTTAGTTGAGTCTTTGGTCGGGTGGGGCCATCACTAAAAATGGCCTAGCTCTTGACAGCCTGGAGCTCTCATGCCTCAGGCATTCACTACTACCTGAGGTACCCGCAGCTCCTCTAGAAAGGGAAAGCGGATTACTTATTGGTCATTCATAATAATTATCGACCGACGATTCGATTCCACCACCCCTCCGCCTTCTTCGTCCCCTATACCTTAATGTCTTTTCCCCCCTCTCCCCCCTCTTCTTCCTCCCCAGATTTAGTTCACCCCCATATAATTCGGCCCTCACTTGTCTGGCTGGGGTCTTTCAATACATTCCTATCCCTCCCTCCGAGTTAATCTCCAGGTCCGGGGTTACGTTGGTCTCGTTTCTTGCAGTGGTCTGTCCCTACCGACACCTCGGGCTGAGTCAAAGTCTGCATGAGCGGTCCCGGTGCATGGTCAACAATGTGAGTCCCTTACGCTCATTCGGCATTTTCTTTCGCACTTGCCCTGGCGGTTGAGGTCTGGTGGAAATGGACACCTTGGATGCACGCTTGGGCAGCGGTCTGGTCAAACATCGTGTGGTTCCGTTTGCCAACGTAGGGGAAACATGACAACTAAGTGTGGGTGCCAAATCAGTGCCGGTTTACGAACAACCCGCCGTTCTTCTTCTTCTTCCTCCTCCCCACCCTCCCTCATAAATCGCCGTTTCCCTGTCGGTCAGACGAAATCAACCTTTTCGGAGGGCCTTTGGCGGCAGACCATTAGCATCACCCAAAAAAAGCTGGGACAAGAAGACACCGCGGGCGATATCGTTGGGGTTGGTTGTTCGGAGAATCAAAACGGCGTCTCGGCCGTGACTGTGGTTGAAGCGAGTCGAGAATCTTGCAGCATGACTGCTACGTTGAGTATGTCTTTTACCAACGATATCTGTTCCTCGGGAGAAGGAACGCCTGGCGTTCTTGGTGCGTACAAATAATGGAAATTGCCCCCGAGGCGGGCCACATAGGAGGAAGGTTGGAGGGTCTGCTGGCTGCTGGGTTGCTGATACTGTTCACCCGCAGATGGGATGTTCAATGCGGCTCCTGATACACCGTCTCCTGTCTACCCGGATCGTTTAATTCGTCCTCTCCCTAGGCGTACCCTTCGCTCTCGCCTGTCCTCCGAAGCGGCCGACTCGATCCTCTTCCCTCCGGCCCCGGCAACACAACTTTTCTATGGGACCCCGGTGGATGGCGCGGATCTTGTAAATGACACGAAGGTGTACGTGCAACAGAGTGAAGGTCGTGATCAGAGCCCCGAGCGTGACCACCTCCATTACGAGAACGGAATAGAGCTGGAGAGCGGCGATGAGGACGGGCCTGTAGTTGTTCGACGAAGTGCCGGTTTTCGAGGGTCCTCTCTGTCCCCGTCGGCCTTCAGTGCACAACCCCAGGCCGTCCCCACCAACGGGGACCGGGCGCCCGTCAAGTCGTCCTCGGCGGGTCCTGATGGGTACGACGCGTTTGAGAACACTAACAACAAAAAGAAACGCAAGATCCCGACTCCAGGCAGCCTCGGGAGCCACCATTCCACCCTTTCTCCCGAATTTTCCACCATGGGGCTGGCCAGCTCGGTCCAACCCTCCTCGGCCAGTGAAAGCAGCCATGTGAGTACATTCTACGGCACCGGGAGCCCCGCGTCTCCGATCTCCAGTGGCATGTCCGGGGCCGGCAGAGGTCGTCTCGGTCGTCAGCCGCATCGCAGCACAGGGCGAAACTCTTTCTCGCTTCATTCACCGATCAGTTGGCCTCGGACCCCAAGCCGACGTGACGGTTTGTTGTCCTCCCCTGGGCCTGCAGGTACGCAACCATCCGTCTCCCGGTCGACCAGACCTTTGCTTATTTGTTCTTCAGGTGACTCGTCCGAGAAGCCTGACCAGGGTATCATCTCAACGGCCATTGCCAATGCTGCCGCGTCCGCGTTTGCCCCTCCCCCTACCGGTCCCAAGCATGCCAGCATGCTAGAGCAACAAACTCCCACGCCTACTAAGACACAATTCACGTTCACGTGTGAATCCGATTCCTCGAGAGACATGGCGCTCCAACCCCAGACTTCGTATCCCTCACACCGCCGCTCACCCTTGTCTCTCCCCGCTGCCGCACCGAACCTGAGGGGTCCCTCTCAGGGAACACAAACGAGCCCCCACATGGCCGCTCAACCCAACACGCAAGAATCTCAGCACCAAGCACAGCAACCACAAGCGGGCACGGGTGAAGCCCCGGCAGCCAGGAAGAAAAAGCGATCGCCAGGGAGCATCTATGCCCTGGCTGCGCGTCAACGCAAAATCCAGCAGCAGTACGCAAATCTCCACCATCCCCCAAGCATTGAGGACATCTGGATCTGTGAGTTCTGTGAGTACGAGAGTATCTTTGGACGCCCACCGGAGGCCCTCATTCGGCAATACGAAATCAAGGATCGTAAGGAGCGCAAGCGACTGGCAGAGAAGAAGCGGCTGCTTGAGAAAGCCAAGATGAAAGGTCGGAAGGGCAAGAAGGCGACCAAGAATGCCACTAAGCAGGCGGCAGCTCAGCCGGCAACCTATGATCATGGATACGATCGCGCATCTGTGGACCACTCTTCGATGGGAGGCGAGGCTGGAACCCATGAGGATGAGTATGGGAGCAATGAGCATGAGGAAGAGGCGGACTCAAGCCCACCAGCACCACCACCTTTAGCTCCACCGACCAGTGCCAAGGGCGCCATGCCACCGAGTAATGCACCAAAAGTGGCGGCGACGGGGTCGGGCGCTAAAGGGGTTGTTGACGGAGAGACGCGGCCGCCCTGACAAAGAAGCGATGGCGCTCGGGTATGTGACCAGTGAGCCGCCATTGCGATTGTTCGGTTTTGAGTCGTTGTCTCTTGATGTTTAATGGTTTGTTTTGTTTTTGTTCTGCATGATTGATTGTTAGCCTTGTTTTATTTTGTCTTGTTTTGCATGGAATGAATCCCCGCTCTGGTCGATGAATGTCACGTCAGCGTCATGCATGGTTTCTGGTCCAATTGGCATTGTGTTTCAACATTGATACATATTGGAAGGATGGGGGATGAACTGGGTTGCATAGTTGCATAGGAATAAGGTTTGGTTGATTGACTATCAGTAATGAGGTCTGATGGCATGTGGAGATGTGAGGTTTGGCAGGTCTGGCAGGTTAACCTGGTTTAGTAGCAGCTGTCTGGTGTATATGCTGTCTAGGTAGCAGTTAGCAGTTGTGTTAGGGAGAAGATCGAGATGAATGAGATGAACAAAGAAGCCTTGCAAGGGAGGCAGGCGGTTAACCCTGGAAGCTGAAAGGTTTCGAACTTTTGTAGTTAATCGCCAAGCGAGGATCGATTGGAATCCAGCCACCGACTGCTAAGGCGGGCGCTTTGTGTGCACCAACCATTTGGGTAGTGGGGAGTGTCTACTACCTAGTACCTTACCTACTAGGTACTACTGTAAGCGCCGCCTGTCGATCTGAAACGGGCCGTAGGAGTGTGCAGAACCCATCGGATTCCCGCAGTGGCAGTGGCTGACTTCAAGGTTCTCTTCGCGCGCGTTTGCTGATGCAAGGTCTACCTGGTCAACTCACGCTATAGTGTTTCAATCTGGAGAGGGAGGGAGGGTTCCTGAAGAAGATAAAAATAGCTGTTGAGGGTGGGTGGTCTGGGAGCCGTGGAAGGATATAAAGAGGTGAATGGCGAGGTGAAGGGGATTGTTCAGCAAGCAAGCCAGCAACGTTCTTTCACTCATTGTTCTTTCTGTGTTCTGTTGGTCGGTCATTAACATTCTTCTCTACATAAGCTTGAGTCTGCATATTGAGACTGATTAACACTCCATTCTGTTGACACTTCTTAACACTTCATTCTGTGGTGTACCTACCTCTCGAGACTATCCTTCTGCATATACCAGACATATACCCGAGGCAGCGCCCTTCTTTCCTTGATCTTTCTCCTTCTTCTCGTCTACATAGATCTGCGTCAGCATATACACATACATACATCCAGATCTAGATCCCAAGATATCAAAGTTGTCCTGCGCCGGCGCATACAACACCACACACTACACACAACCACCACCACCACCACCACCACAACAACAACCACAATCGCCCCCACGCAGCAACCCAAACCCACCACACCAAAAAAAAAATGTGGTTCCTCCTCCTCCGCCTCTTCAAATTCGGCTTCAAAGCCCACAAGACCCACAAGGCCAAAAAGAACGGCACCTACGACCCTTCCTCTTCCTTTCCGATGTCCACCTCCAACAAAACCGGCACCACCACCACCATAACCACGAACAACATCCCTCCACACCTCCGCCGCAGCAAACCCAAACACTACCTCAACCTCTGCCTGCACATCTGCCAGCTCGTCTTCGGGCTGACCACGCTGGCCCTCTACGCGCACCACATCCACACCATCCACGACTCGAGCCCGACGGCCACCGCCGGCGCGAAATGGGTGTACGCGATCGTGACGGCCCTGCTGGGCTGCGGCACCGCGATCGCCTACATCGTGCTGATGCAGTACATCCTGAAGACGCGGGTGCCCGTGGCGCGGCGGGCGAGCTGGCAGCTGCCCCTGTTTGTGTGGGAGGTGGTGCTGTGTGTGGTGTGGTTGACGCTGTTTGGGATCTTTGGGAGTGAGTATCTGGGCCGCAAGTCGGCGACGGAGAGTGGGGAGACCAGGCGCATGCGGCATGCGGTTTGGGTGGATTTGGTGAATTTGGGGCTCTGGGTGGGGTCCGCTTGTTGGACCGGGGTGAGGTGGTGGGGGAATCAGAGGAGAACTTCTGAAGAGGGGGAGGGGGTGGGGGTGGAGGTGGAGAAGGGGGTTGAGGAGGGGGGCATGGTTTGATCTCTTCTTCTTGGGTGGTTATGGGGGTTGGAGACAGGGTGAAAGGGAGGAGGGTTTGGGTTGGGGGGTGGATGGAGGCAAGGGAGGAGGGAAGAAGAAGTCTGGGAAAGCTGAGACAGGGTCGGGTGGGAAAACCGGTGGCTTAATGAAGGGCTCTACAGTGTTTACGGTGTCGATGTTTTATGATTGTCAAGCAGCATGTTTTATTTTTTCTTCTATCTCTCAAGTACAAGCAAGCCATATCTATCATTTAGAAATGCCGCTGCATACATCGTGATCGTTTCCCGTGACTTCGTATTATCAACATCCTCCTGCAACACCTCCTGGCAATTAGGCCTCGGTATTCTCAGGACGGCGCCGCCCAGATCTCCCGCGGCTCTGCTCCAGCATCATGCTGATTCCGCTGCGGCTGGGAGGCAACGAGAACGGAGTCAGCAAAGCCGGTTTCTCGTCCTCCTCGGCGCTATCGTCCTCGACATCAGAGTGCACGGAAATCTCATCGTCCGATATGGTCTCCATAGTCACGCCAGAGGTCGGGGCTGTCGATACAGTGCCATGTGAGCTCTCAAACTGAGGAGACAGGTTCGTGTTGGTGAGTATCCCACTAGATGCTGCTTGCATCGGGTCTGGGGGTGCTGGCGCGGACAGCGACCTGAAGCCGGAAACCCCCACAGACGACGCAGGGAAGTGCTCCTGGCGGACACTGTCCGAGAACCGTTGCCGAAAGTTCTTGTTGACCAGCTTGGCCGTAGACGGCTGGTAGTTCTCGGGCTCCAGGTGTCGGTAGTCATAGCGGCGAATAGCGCTTGGCACGAAGAAGTTCGGCTTTGGTGTGGGTGGCTTGACCAGGAAGTCGCCCCACGGACGCTTTCGCGGTGGTGGTGAAGGAGCTCTAGGTGCACTGTCCGGGTTGAGCAGCTCCCTCAAATCTTCAAGGAATGTTGCCGGCAGACTGCCCGACTTGAACTGCTCTTCTGGCTGAGTGGCAGCTGTATCAGGTGTCTCTGACTGCGATTTAATGCTTTCACACAGCTCTTGGTTTGTATCCTTAGGGGATATAGCAACCTCTTGAGAAAGAATCAGAACCCGTTCCTATGCTAGCAAGTCACTGCCTACCTTCCACAGTCTCGGACACCTTGATCTCATTCTCCTTGGATTCAATCTGAGAATGGTCGACGGTCAGTGCGGCCGACTCTGGAACGACAGAGACGCCAATAGTTTCCAACACCGGCTGAGAGGAATCACGCTGTATCGACTTCTGAGATCCAACAGGTCTCACACTCTCAGGAATGGAGTCGTCTTGCGGAGTCAAGATGCGAGCAGAATCACCACTAGTACCAGAGGAAAGTCGAGACGACCCGCGTGGCTTGAGTGCAGGTCCGCGAAGGTCTTCAGCATCCAGTGGGGTAGATTCCGGCGGAGTCTCCTCGAAGACTGAACTGCTGGTGGTGCCAGACGATTGCTGAGAGGATTTGCGCCGCATCAGCACTGGGCGAGTTTCGGGGTAACCCGTCATCAGTGGAGCAGGGTCCTGATTAGAACTGCCCGTGGTACCGGTGGAGTGCTGGGACGACTTGCGACGCATGATCACTGGTCGACGTTTGGCTCCTCTCGCTTTCGCGGCCACAACAAAAGCTTTCTTCTGCGGAGCTCTAGTGGCAGGCTCTGGTACGATCAATGGAGTGGTAGGAATGGGCGTGGGTGTATTAGAGGGTTTGCGGGTGGTGCTCTGACCGTCCAGGCCAGTGAGCAGAATACGGGTAGTCTTGTGTGTTTCTCCGTGGGAGGAGTGACTGCTACTTGGCTTCTTCAGAATGGGCGGAAGTGGCCTGCCGCTGCCACTGCTGGGCTTGCGTGGCTTGTCTGCCTGGGCTGCTCTCTTGTGGGCCTGAGGAAGGTTAGACCCAGAGAAATATCTGTACAGGCAGTGTCAGGGACCATACCTTGTGCAGCTCGGATAGGGAAATCGAACGCTGGTCTGGGATCCTCGAAAACAGGTCGGCCAGCATGGAGCCAGTCATAGATCGCAGCAGGTGCTTGCTACCCCAGATCCTCCAAAAGAAGTTCTCAAGCCGGTATCCTTTGTCGTCATTGTGCACTGAGGGGTTGGCACTGTAGACTAGAACATAGCCGGATAGAGTAAGCACAGTGCAATTTATCGCAGAAGAGAGAAGGTGCGGCCACGCTCACCTCTCCACAAACGGGCAACATCTGCGACGTCCACTGAGTCTGCTCCGTTCAGGTCTGCAGAAACCTCCTTGGTCGCTGTCGACAACAAGCCTCTGGGAAGAAGCTCCATTGTTTTCTTTCTCTCCGCTGAACCCGCCAAAAGACGGATACGACAACGACAAGAGGATTGAAGCAGACAAGCTACATAGTATGGGGGAATAGGGGAGCCGGGGGAACAGAGGGAAGGTAAGTGAGGTAGGTAAGTGAGGTAAGTGCGCGAGTGTTAGCAGGTGATGCTGTCAGTGTTGCGTGTGGCGGTGAATTGGGGAAGGGAAGGGAATCGAATCCGAAGGGAGCCCATTAATTCATCAATTCACTCACTCTCACTTCACACACAGGGGGTTGTGTTTGTGTTTGGGAGATCAATGGATGGTCGGAACACTTTCCAGACCGATGGATGGATCAGCTGCAAGGGCAAGCCATACGAAACCCCGGAGATCTTCAGCCTGCAGCCTTAATCCAAGTCCGTCCTGTACTCAAGGACTGAGGATAAGTCAATGGTACGTGGGGAAGTACTGTACTGTACAGTACAAGTAAGAAATGGGCGGGATTAGCAGGCGCAGATGCCGCCGCCGCCTATTCCATTTTCTTCTTTCTTGTTGTCTTCTTCTTCTTCTTCTTCTTCTTCTTCGCTTCCTGCTGCTCTATGTCCAGGTGACCACTGCTCATTCCAATCGCCCTGCAGGCACTGATTTACTGCAGGCTGACTCCAACCCAGTTTTGTGTGCAGAACATCTGCAAGAAACTCGAAAACCGGGGGGCACTGGGGGGCACTGGGGGCCCTGGGGGGAAAGGGTCGGAGCGTAACGAAAAGAGGCGGACAGTTCAGATTGACCTGTCATTTACTCACTCACTCATCCACTTCCCAAGCGCTTAGCGAAGGCAAGACTCGCCTTTCTTCGAAGGTTCCCCCTTCTCCCTTCCCCTCTAGTCCGGTTGGCTGCCTTTTCCGCTCGCCCCTCGGAGCTTGCCGACAAAAAACAAATCTGACAGATATCAGTGATTCATCTCCTTGTCTTTGTCATATGCTCGGCTCAAATTTACTCTTACGCCCCCTCCCCCGTGACCATGGCGTTCTTCTTAGTTAGTGACTGACTGTATCTTACTAAGATTCCGAGATTCTCTGTGAAACAAACTCCGAGACTCTTTCCTAAACCGCCTCCCCGCGCACTATCACTGTGCTGCTGGTCACTACATTCTGGGGAGACGAGGAACTGCAGATTCACCCGGTGGCTGTGCTGCATCCATCTGCTCCATTTCCCCGGGTTGGGGCGGATCGGGCACTTTACACGCCTATGGAGAAGCAGCAGCAAAAGCAGTGTCCTTGCCTCCCGATTACACAGTGCAACTTCTGGACTTGGAAAGGCTACACAGTGCATCTAAGCTCTTGCCTGGTGGGGCATGGCAACCACAGGCAATACCAGCCGAGTTGGGGCAAGCGATCATCGCTCATCCCATGCACCATGTCTCACCGCCAGCCTCATTGCTTGGATCTCACCTACCAATGTGCTGAAAGCCGAGGTCCAGAGGCTTCCACGTTGGAATGCTACAAGGTTGGGACCGGAGGTCTCCTATCAATTACCCAGCCTATGGGCATCAACCACTACCCGCGAAGCAGCACCGACAAATAACTTCCCCAAAATGGTCCAGCTTGTCGGCCATACTACCCACGTGCTGTGCAATGTGGTGTCACCGACTGAACGCCTCTCATATGTCAGGACCCTCCTGTCTCTTCTTTCTCTTGATGTGCTCAAATTGAGTCAAGATTCGGACACGTGATAAAAATTCAACACAAAGACATCACTTGTCGCGAAGACTGGAGTCGGCACCAGAAGCTCAATGCATCTCGGGTACACTACTGGAGAACTCAGGACATCGGTTGTACTGGTCCCGACTGATGTTTCGATGACATTGCGATAGCAAGATGGATTTTCATTTCCATCAACCTGACACGCATACATATATACACATATCTGTTGACACCTCATGCTGTAGTCATCCCCATCGTCGCGTTCTGCCACTCGTTGCCATACTCGTTGACAATCCATTGACAGAAATCCTCCCATTGCTGGTTCCACACTTGCATATACTGCGCTTTGATGCCGGTGCCACGTTCTCCAAGATCGATGTCCCGAACCCAATCTCCATCCGACTGGTCCTCGAAGTTGGCCCATCGAAGACTATTCTGAGCGAGGGCTCCCTAATTGCACGGTGGCTGGTTAGATAAGAATGGTAGAAGAGTATCAGGAATTGACACTCACCAGTCCAGCAAGTCCGATGTTGTCGAACCCTTGTATGGTTTGATAAAAGTCATAGCTTAGGCCGGCCGCATCCTGGCCAAGCATTGCGGGGTCGTCGTTGCTGATGGCAGTAGCAATGCCATGGGCAACCATCGCAGGCAGTGGGTGATGCAGAACATCGGTCGCAAGGCGGAGAACCTCATTCGAGATAGGACAAACTTCAACCATGATTGAGTTGGTGATCACCTCGTCGATAAGTTGAGGATGCTTGTACAGACTGAACCCGTGGCCAATCCGTCGAGTGTTGAACAAGATCGCATCGACCAGATTGTAGTCGGTTGAGTTACCATCCCCAAGGGTCTCTCCAGCATGGAAGAAGAAAGGAATCGTGAGATTCAATCGCTCGGCTTGTTCACGGAACCAGACCAACTCCGGGGCCACATCGGACAAAGGACGACCAAGATCTTCCTGGCCTACCAAGTCGTATCCGCTAATAAGTTCAGGGAACTTGGCCTTTCTCCCGAGAGCAACCTTCATGCCTGGTCATGTCAGCCCACCTTTCCGGATACAAGGGACAGGCCCACTTACTGCTTGTGAGCGAGGCACGATCCTCGCTTCTGATGTCCGACCAGATGACACGGGCGCCCCAGAAATTCTTCCCTTTGTCGCTCTGCTTGAACTTGTCCAGTTCCTCCACCATCACCTGCCAGTACACATCGAGATTTGGGTCGGCATCTTCGTCACCTTGGTGGACTAGAATCCCCGAGGATGCGCTGGCACGAATTTCAACCCAGTTGATGCCGTCGTCGATTAGAGCTGCAAAGAGCTGCTGGTAGAATGTCCGTAAAATAGGCTCGTACGACATCATACTGTCAGCCGGCGTGAAGGCAGCTTGGAAGATCCTCCAAATCTGGTCGACGCCAAGGTCATGCCTAATGGAATCCTCGGGCTGGAGCTCGAGCTTAGACAAGACGAAGTTGGCGAAAGCTTGGCTTCCCCCGGTGAATGATTGAGCGGCATACTTGACCGGGAGCTGAGTGTTGGGTACGTAGTCTGTGGAATCAATTGCCGGCCCTGAGGCTGCAATTGTGTGGTTGACGTGGGCGAAGGTGAGGGTCGCGTTCTTCTGTTCGATTTCATTCGTGACCGGCTGCGACACGGTGACGACCATCCCCTCCGTCTTCATGACAGCGTCGAGTAGAATCTCATACGGAAGCATCGAGGCCAGATGGGCATGCAGGAGAGCGCCCTTGGGCATCCGCTTCACGATCTTCCAGAGTTGCGTGTCGGGAATGAGCGGCTTGGCCTTGGGAAACATCTCGCCCGTGAACCTTTCCTTGTCCTCGTCTTCCACCGTCCCGGGCACCCTCCAGAAACTGTCAATCTCATATTGACGGATCGCATCGACAATGGCATCTGCCTGTCGAGCGACTGCAGAGAGGTTTTGTCGAAAGGCGTGGTCTGCGCCCGCGTCAGTCTGAGGCAAGAAGATTTAGGATGATCCGATCTACGCACCCTGTCGCTGTCGCTTCTCCAAGGTGATCAATGCCGACCGATCCTGAAGATGCTTCTGCACCGCACTGCTGTTGACGTCCGGCTCTCCATCGAACACAAGTGCAGTGGAAACAGCCGAGACCGAAAGGGCGGCGACCAGAGTTTTGCAGAGATGCATGGTGAGGGAGAGAACGTGGAAGGGGGGTCACTTCCAATGCCACGGGGAAAACGGCCGTCAGCAGAACAACAAAAATCGTATGACTCTTCTCTCACTGCAACAACAGGCAGCACACTAGAGCTTATATGTCCTTTGACTCCCGCGTTCAATTGATTACTGAGAGGCGGGGGAGTAGCAGTAGCAATCAACGCGCGGGGGCAATTCATCTAAGATATACCTAATCAGGACCAGCAAACACGACTAGCTGCCCTCGATCCAATTTCAATGGGGACAAGGGATCCAATGCATGCGAGAGCTCCGATCCCACTCAGCCTTGGCGGTGGGCCTGAGAAGATAACCTGGCGATGGAATGGAACCGGTGGACTTTAGACTCCGTCCGTTCCTGCTCGCTGTCGCTGCTATCAGCGTAAACTATCGCCAAGCTGCAGCCACTAGTCCACCTTACAACACTAACTGACACCAATGACATGTGGATTTGTTAAAGAGGGAGAACAACCGCGTCAATGGCAGAGAAAACAAAAACAAACCAAATCAATCTTTAGAAAAATCCGGAAACAGAAAAAAAGACACCACTTCCACGACAAATTAAATCAGCTGGGAATTTCCATGGTTCAGAGCCCAATCTATCAGGGACGGGGGAAGAGGGACTAGGGAACCAGGACCCTAGCTTAGCCTGGGTGGCCCTGGTTAGAATGCCTGGAGACTAACGAGTGGCTGGACCAACTGTGGGAACGCAGCGGATCTTCCCAGGAGGGGAAGAAAATCAGGGAACTCCCGCCAAGCCCCAAGCCCCCAATCGATCTGCATGCCCGTGACAACTCCTCGGGGGATCACAACAACAAGAAGTAACCATGACTTCTGACTACGCAGTACGGAGTAATCCTACCCATTTTTCCTGAAACACGATGATGAAGTCATTCTCGAAACACACACGGTCAATTTACTCATAAATACGGAGTAAGTGGACTGTTTGTGGCGGATCGGACTATAAGTTACAGATTACTCGCGGATTACGTCAATGCAGCCCTGCTTCTGATCCACTGCTTTACATCTGGGTTCGGCATCGAAATCGAGATGGGGCGGTCCCTGGATTAGCATCGTACGGCACGGCTGTGCACAGAACGATTAAATGTGGCTACTTACTAGCTACGGTACGCGCTGGAATCCTAAGGCTCTGAGTGTGCACGCAGCACAGTGCCACGCGAATCCTACCATGACCACTCACTCAAGGACGCGTGTATCATCTCGTGGGAACCGCAACGGAGACGGCAAACCTTAACAGCCATTGACTTTGACAGTGCTGCACAAGCGGCTTGGCCGAGATCGTGTAATGGAAAGAAACTCTCGCCTCAAGTCATGGTTTCATTGAGACATCCGATTGAACCATCTAGTCTCCAGCATCCCCATTTTCACTTTCACAGACAAAAGTCACAATCCCGTACAATTACCATCAATTCGCTCCGAAGAGACCAGTTGCATCAGCACCCCGTCCTCCGCGAACAACAACATATTGTCCGACCCCTGCTCAAACTCGGGCCAATTGAATAGACTCCGGTTATTCGGGTTCACCGCCGCCCCCTCGATGGCCAGCCGGGCCGGACCCCGGGCAGGATCCTCCGCGAAGGACAGCCATAGCGCCTCCATCGCGTAGCTGACGTCCCACTCGAACTGCGTCGAGGGGCCCCGGTACTGGAAGTGGGTGCCGAACAGCATCGGCAGCTCGGAGCTATGGTAGGCGCCGAACCATGGCAGGGGCGAGATGTTGGAGAAGTTGCCGGCGTACTGGTAGCGGTAGGTGGGGAGGTTGGCCAGGTTGCGGTTCTTGACCTCCTGGGCCACGGGGCAAGCGATGATGGATTCGGTGAGCTGGAAGAGTGTTGCGGCGCCGGGGCCATCGGGCGTGAAGGAGACGAAACCGGCGCCTTCGTTGGTGTTGCTGCCGATGATCATGGGCTGGGTTTGCCGGGGTTAGCTGGAGAGATGACGAGGGGGATACAGGAGGCAACGCAGCACTCACAATCTTAGCCACCTTGCCTTCGAGTGCCCGTTGGGTCCAGTTGGCAAAGACGGTGACGTTGTCTACGGAGGGCTTGAAGGAGATGGACGGTGTGCCGGAGTATGTGGACAAGGCGGTCTCCAGAGTCCGTGCGGGCACTCTGCGCACGCAGCTGAGCTCGGCGGAGCTGTTCAATCCACCGCAGCCGACAAGACCCGCCAAGAAGGTGAAGTTGCTGTGGGTGTAATCCGAAAAGCTTACGATGCCAGGGGCACCAGAGTCGGCAGAGATGGCGGCCACGATGGGATCGTTGGGGTAGGAGTAGGTGTAGAGCGAGACACTGCCTCCTCCGGCGGACTGGCCCCAAAGCGTGATTCGATCCGGGTCTCCGCCAAAGTTGGCGATATTGTCGTGTACCCACTCCACGCTATATCACGTCAGCTTTGTCGCAGACTATTATGATTGCAGGGTTTAAGTGACGTACGCCAATCGCTGGTCGAGCAGTCCCGCATTCTGATTCTCCAGTCCCTCAGCATTGGGGAATCCAAAGACATTGACACGATAGCTTTGATTGATTAGCCGCGTCCTGCATTATGCCACCATACAGGAGGAGATATACTTCATAATAACCACGATATGTGCCTGCGTCCGCTGCACCCAGTTATCCGGGATCTTATACAAGGAAGCCTGCCCTCCGCTCGTGAACCCTCCTCCAGGGACATAAAGCAGCACCGGCAACGGGCGCTGCTGAGAGCGGATCTTCTCCACCGATGGAGCCCAAATCGAGAGGTAGAGGCAATCTTCCGAGTCCCCTCCGCTGATCAGGAACCCGGTCTCATACGCCGTGTAGATCGACGTGCTATTGCTCGTCTGCTGCATGCAGGAGGCAGGGAGTGCAAAAGCATTGACCGTGCCATTAGGCTGCTTCGGTACGGGTTTGGCGAACCGAAGATCCCCTACGGGAGGCTCTGCAAATGGAACCCCCAGGAACTGACGGACATCGGGGGTAGTGAGGTTGACGAAGCCTTGAACTGGGCCGCTGGAGGTCTGGACAAGAAGTCCTTCTCCCAGGATTGAGCCTGGTGAGATGGGGGATGCAGATGACCCGGGGCCTAGGTTCAGTAAGGCGATGAGCCCCACCGCTGCGCGAAGAGTATCTAAAACCATGACGATGGTGTGTGATGGATAGGTATCACGGATTGAACGATGGGGGACAGCGGCCTTTTATGTCTCAACTCGCGCAACCCCGCCCAAGGACCCGGGAGATTGAACGTGGCCTTCATCGCTTGGGGTTAAACGGTCTGTTGAAGATCAAGAGGAACAGGGAAAGGGTTCTCCCGTCGAAGTTTTTCGGACTGTCGGTCAGCTATAAGAAGCTAGGACGGGACGATTGGTTTTCGCGGCGATTCTTTGTAAGGACTGTGTTTGTACACATTCTTGGCACTCTGCTGGCCGCTGATGAAGGTCCAGTGCTTGACTTGGCGGGCATGCAATAGCCATACGTCTTTCAACAAGTATCGACGAATTCATCGACACGGGATAGACAACCAGGGTTGCTTTCAGGGATTCAGGAACAGTGGAAGGGGTCGACAAAGAAAACGCGGGGTGCATTCGGGGGGGTAAGAATTTTGGTAGCTGTGGGGTAATCCGGGGGAGCCGGGGAAATATGTTGATCTGGATGAATGCAAAGCCCAGTTATGCAGCCGAGGTTGATGGTGTGGTCTTGTCTTCATCCCGGCTGAACCTTTTGCCCGCCCCCTCAGGCCAAGACATGACAACGAGCATGGGCCTCGCGACCTGAGCTGATGGTGCGAAAATCATGGCAAACAGTAAACAATGCTTCCGCGCATCAATGCCTCACTAGTACTACAGCGCTTTTGAGGGTGTTCAGCGACCACAAGACCGTATATATGTTTCAAGGCTGGGATCTCTTTCTACATATTGAGGCATCAGGCAGTCAGCAATCTGGCTTGATCAGGGACTTGCTGAGTACCTGCTTTGCATTGCTCTATCTCGCAAATTCATTGCCCTTATCTTCAATCTTCCAGACCGGGTCGGACTCGCCCTATCTGCCATGCCATGATGGATTTATCACGCAAAAGCTGTCAGACAGCACAACAATAACGCATTTTAAACAGGTCGATGAGTCGTTGGGGCTTTGGATGCCGCTCTAGTGACAACCTGGAAGGGCGGGTGGCCCACAGTTGGCCGGTGGTATGATCTTTTCATGAGTTGAGCGACGACTTCTGCTTAAGCGAGAGTGTCTGTGAAAGGACTGAGGAGCGCACCAAGTGTTCTCAGACATCCTTAAGTGCACCGTGGACCTCGGATGACATAACCTGGCTAAGCACTCTTGGCAACCTGGCAAGCTTTCCCTTTCGGGCCGTCCTTCTCCCTGTGGTTAGACTCGGAACCAGCAAGCCCAGCAAGCCCAATCACCACCGGGTCAATGCAGGAAATCTAAGCAGCTGCCCGGATACTGCCCATTCAACTGATGCCGAATTGCAAGGCTGACCTGGCCCGATTCGAGACCAGATCTCACCGGATTGTGTGTCGAGGGCCGACTTGTCCAAAGGATTGTCGGCCGAGCTCATCATGGATTCATGGCTCACAATTTTAGTCGACCACGGCCACGACGGATCCCTGGATAATGTGGATGCCAACGCAACCGTCCTATGATCATTGCAAAATGTCGCAGTCCCCCGTCAGACAGTCAGACACAAACTGACCATGGCGAAGTGGATACCGGCCTCGGTCAACCTCCGCGCTCCCCGTCGGAAAAATTCTGGGTCTTCCCCCACTCTGGGGTGCATTCTTTGCGGAGAACAAACAACTGGAGATGTCGAATCAGCCAGGCAATGACTGGAAGGAAGCCGACGCTTCAACCTCTCTGCTCACCGGACTCTCGCCGGTTTAGCCACTTTGCCGACTGCTCGTGGGGGGACGCACGTATCTTGACTCTGCTTTCCCCCATCCCACCCAAACCCACTCTCTGGCCAAATGACGACTCAGCTCTCAAAATCCGGACACTTGTGTTCCGCGTTGCCGTTTCAGCGAAACCCAATCCGAGCTGCAGGAAGCAAGTCAGCCATGACTACTACCCAAGTCAGCCGACGAAGTACCGACAGACGTGGGGTGGGAGATGTCTGAATCTGGGCGGGATGATACTTGCGGGGATCAGCCCATAAGCAAGATAACAGCCAGCTGCGTGTATCCGGAGGCTGCCTCAGGGGATAGTCCTTCTTGCGTTCTTCCCACGTACTTAAATCCCTCGCTCCATCCTCTTCCTAAGTTTTTTTTTTTCTTTCCACTGCATAGCTCCTGCCTTGCTCTTGACACAGCCAAAAGCCGAAGTCAGAGCCAATCCGAGTCAAGATGCAGGGATCAGCCCTCCGCTATGCCCAAATTTTCTTGGTCTCGCTACCTTCCTTCGTCCTGTTTGGATACAATCAATCTGGTGTAGGTGGTCTGGATGATTTCACCTCCTGGATCCGACAATTCCCCGAAATCGACACCGTAAACACGACCGGGGCTCAAGAAAACCACAATGCCACCGTGCAAGGCGCAGTTGTGGCCTCCTACACAATCGGGGCTCTCATCGGGGCTCTTTCCTGTACGGCAGTGGGGGACATCCTCGGTCGCCGGCGAACGATCTTCGTGGGAGCGCTGGTGGCCCTGATCGGACAGGCCCTGGAGTGCACGGCGTTTGCTCTGTCGCAATTTGTCGTGGGCCGAGTGATCCTCGGTGTGGGTGTGGGCATGCTGAGCGCGACCGTGCCGGTCTGGCAGTCGGAATGCTCGCCTGCGGCGCAGCGTGGACGCAACGTGGTGCTGACGGGCATGTTCATCGCGCTGGGGTTTGCGCTGACGCAGTGGGTCAACTTCGGCTTCTACCACATGCAAGCGTCATCGGCGGCCTGGCGCGTCTCGCTGGCCATCCCGGCCATCTTCTCCTTCATCGTCATGGGCAGCATCTTCTTTCTGCCCGAGTCCCCCCGGTGGCTGGTCATGAAGAACCGGCCCGACCTGGCGCAGCGCACGCTGGCTGCCCTGCGCGGCCAGGCGCTCGAGTCCCTCGAGGTGGTCGCCGAGCTGCGCGCCTTCGAGGTCTCCCTCGAGGAGACCTCCAACGGCAACCTGCGGCTGCGCGACATCTTCACGATGGGCGAGGAGAAGCTCTTCTACCGCTTCTGCCTGTGCATCATGCTGCAGTTCTTCCAGCAGATGAGCGGCGGCACGCTCATCTCGGTGTACATCCCGACGATCTTCGAGACCGACCTGGGGCTGGGGGCCAGCCTGTCCAAGATCCTGGCCGCGTGCGCCCTGACCTGGAAGTTTTTGTGTTGCTTCGTCGGGTTCGCCATCATCGACCGCATGGGCCGCCGCACCGCCTTCATGGTCAGCGGCGGCGGCATGTCGCTGTGCATGCTGGCCCTGGCCGTCTCCAACTCCTTCCAGGACAACCACACCGCCTCCATCGTCTCCGCATTTTTTATCTTTTTGTACAACTTCTTCCTGCCCGTCGGCTTCCTGGGCGCCAACTTCCTTTACCCCGCCGAGGTGGCCCCTGCGCGGTTGCGCGTGGCGATGCAGTCGTTCGCCATCGCCAATCAGTGGCTATGGTATGTGCCTTGCTTGCCCCAATCTGTCATTTGGGAGATTAACCCGGTGTAGGATGTTCGTCGTGGCAATGATCACCCCCGTCGCCGTCACCGACATCGGCTACCGGTACTACATCGTCTACACCGTCATCGCGGGCATCATCCCGCCCGCCATCTACTTCTTCTACCCCGAGACCAAGAACCGGTCGCTCGAGGAGGTGGACGAGATCTTCCGCGACTCGCGGTCCATCTTCGAGGCCGTCGCCATGTCCAAGCGCAGGCCCGTGGGCGATCGGGTCGTCGAGCAGTTCATGGAGAAGGCGACTGTGGAACAGGTGGAGTAGTCGCTGTCGTCTGCAGCATAAAACATAGAGTAAGTCCATACCATGATGATAATGATGTATGGCTGTATGGTCTAGAGTCTAGATGAATAGATTGCGTTTCTGTGAGCTGCTCCTTCTCCTTTGCGCATGATAACCAAGTAACTTGTGTTGGTTGGTGGGATGAGTGCTACCCTTCTGCTTGAGGTCTTATGACTTCGTCCTTTTGGACCTACTGCCGTGTAAGCTATACGGTGCAACTGGAATCGTCCAAGACTACCTAACCCTAGTACTGTACCTACTTCAGTCCAGCATTGGTCACTGGTCACCAGCGAACAAACAAACTTTTCGAGATACATAAAAGCACTGCCCGGCGGTACAGTACACCTCTAGGCTCCCTCGCCCCGTCCTCTAATTTACCCCGCAATATCGCCGCCGCCGCCACTGTTTATCTTCCTATCCCTGCTCACCCTACAAGTACCGTAGACTATACTGTACATATACATTTACGTACATCCTCTGAAACCAGGGTCCGATCGTCATCGTCCAAGGAAATATGACTGCATTGGGTAGTGTATACATGGCTTGTACGCAGCTCGAAGGAGGGCAAATAACATCATACTATTCCGTATCTTGGCGTGGACTTTTCGCCTCCTTCTCGCGAGCGCTGGGTTTATTGCAGCAATGAGTTCACTTGTGTGTTGAATGATTGCACACTGTGCCATGATGCAATGATGCAGCTCAACGGGGGTTTTTGTGGGCACTGACCCCGCCCCGCTTCGTTATCAAGAAGAGAAGCATACAATCCCCTGAGCCAAACAAGATAGGAAGAGAGTTCGGAAACCGATATCATTAGGCGAAGGGAGATACGCTAACAGCCAAATCACGCCGCTTTGATCTCCCATGCAAGTAAGTACATCATTTTTGATTGGCATTGTACCGGTACATATCAACATTAATGATCGGGTGTAAGGGTTTGAAGCTAGGTCAAGGTGTAGCCCCCGTCGACCCGCAGATCGGCGCCGGTGATATACCGGGAAGCGTCACTGAGGAGGAAAGTGACGGCGCCCATCAGGTCCTCGGGGGTGCCCATCTTGCCGGCGGGGATCAAGGAGATCCACTTGTCGCGGAGGTCGGGGTTCTCGTCGAGGATCTTGCGCGTGCTTGTTTGGAGGGGGAGGGTGTTAGCAGGCTTGAAGCTCAAGTTACTGGGGGTTGCGGGAAGCTTACAGGGCTGTCAGCATATACCCCGGGCTGATGCAATTGACGCGGATGTCGTGGCCGGCCCATTCGACGGCGAGGGAGGCGGCGAGGTGGCGGACGGCGGCCTTGGCGGCGTTGTAGGGCGCCTGGGGCTGGGGCACGTTCACGATCGCCCCGGACATGCTGCCGATCAGCACCATGCTCCCCGCGACCTGCCGCTCCATCAGGTGCTTGGCGACGCCCGTCGCGAACAGGTAGGTGCCGTCGACGTTGACGCCCCACAGCTTCTGCATGCGGTCGTGCGGGTACGAGATCGCGTCGAAGTTCTCCGTGAACCCCGCCGAGGTCACCAGGTGGTCGATCTGGCCGTGCTGCGCGATCACCTCGGCGATGGCGCTGCTCACCGACTCCGGGTCCGAGACGTCTGAGTAGTGCGCCGTCACGTTGGGCATTCTGCGGGGTTGTCAATCAGCGTGAGACCCACCGCGTTCAAGGTCGGGGAGCAATCGTGACGTACTGGTCCGCCTCCAATCCTGGATTCTCTTTCTGGAACTGTTCCACCAGCTTCTTCGCTTGTTCTTCGGCCTCCTGCTCTGTGGTTGACTCCGTCAGTCCCTGATCGATGGCTGCCACCCAACCCAGCCCAACCCAACCGGGGACAAGACCTACTGTTCAGATCGACAATGGCGAGATCCGACCCCGACGCGACAATCGCCTGCGCCATGACCAGCCCCAATCCGCGCGCACCCCCCGTCACTAGCGTCACCTTGTTCTCCAGCGAAAAGTGGGCCAGCGTTCGCTTGAAGTGCATCCCGCCGCGGCCCTGCACGACCGGCGAGCGGGGCATGTGTTCGTCGTCCGGGTATTCGATCTTGACCTTCTCGTCCGTCCGCGCGTACTGGCCTTCCGCCTCCAGCGCGCCCCCCGGGGCCGTGGTGGTGGCCGCCAGGAGGGGGTCTTGCGTGCTCTTGCGGGCGTCCTTTCGGAGCGGAGCTGTGGAGGTGAGGGGGCGGAGGAATGCGGTGGTTGGGGTTGGGCGCGTGGATTGGCTGAGTGCCTTTGCGGCTTGCCGGACGACTGCGGGTCTGAACATTGCGAGGGGAGTGATGAGACGCTATATCGATGCGGTTAGTGAAGGTTGTTGGGGGATGAGTAGGTCAAGTGGTAGGACGACAGAGGAATTGGCGTGTATAAGTATAAGTATCTAGGGACACTTACAAGTAGGGAGATGATGAGCACAGTGGATAGAGAAAGAAAGGGTCTGATCAAGAGAGAGGAGATGCAGGGCCTAAAAGGCAAACAAACATGGGGGCAATGAATCCATCGAAGGCAAAACCAGGAGAGGTCAGGTCAGGGTCGGAGCGAATGACAATTCAAAATGTCAAAAACGGATTCGAGGGCTGGGCTGAAAAAGGAACCGGCATTGCCCCAAAGAAGAAAGCAACCCTCCATTTAGTTATTCCAAAGGGAGTCGATAGAGAAAGCTGAGGAGCCGGGGAATGAGTATACGTATACTCCGCCGCGGCGGTTGTTGTTGTTATTGCGGCTGTTGCGGTGTGACCCAGCCGACTGGTTGGGTTGTTTTCCCTCCACAACCCCCCGTTTACCACCCTCTCGCCGCTACAATTCTTCTGGAATATTGCTTTTTTTTTCACAACTCCCAATCGCAGGTGATGTCAGGCGGTGATGAGGCATCGCTGGGCCAGGCCTCAACCGCCATGCAGCGATCGGACCAGGATTGTGCTCTTCGCCTCCGCGTGACTTGACCGCAGAGTGGCCTCAGACCGGCCTTCTGGACGATCCCCTGTCGGCTTCGACTAGTCAGAAGTATGGAATCCGCGGGAAGAAACCTAGTCCTTCTTCGTGTCTGACTTGTGACAGAGCCATGACGGATGCTTGAGAGCTGTTGTTGGAGCGGTGACAGACAACTTGGAAGAGACTCATATCATCGACATCAACCGACTGCCGGGGGCATCCAATCATCGCCAATGTCTCCGATCTATCTTGTCGATGAAATAAAACGCGCCAAGCGACGACTGCTCAGAAATCCAGACCAAGCTCGGTTCCTTAGCTCTCCCCCTCCCCCTTCAGCGGTTCATTCTTCCTTCACCTGGCCACATGACCCAGCCAGGGTCTCACAGACCGGGCTATCTCTAT